TGATTGGATTTAATGGGGTTTCATGTGATTTCATGGGATTTTATGTGATTTATAATATATAATTGGATTTAATGGGATTTACTGGGATTTGCCCCCCACTCCTTAGCTAAGTTGGTGAACATCACCAGTAATTCACCTGGGTGTATGGATGTTTATGGTGATTATAATTGTAGTTGATAAAGTTATAAATCAACGTATGGCTGGTAGGGCCTTCTACTTGAGGTGCAAAGAATGCTATAAGGGTGGGAATTAAAACCCCAAAAAGTTGGGATATGGGGCCCCTATAAATGTGGTAAAATATATCCACTTAGTTCTCTGGAACTGCACTTCCACGTATGAAGCCGTACCTTCCAAACATGGGTGGCCGAAGAGCTATCCGTATTTGAGAGATGGTTATCGACAATCAAAAAATAGTGGTTGGTTCAACCTCCAATCAGATTGTGTTTGTCCGTTTCAGGAGACGCTACTGTATACTTAATACTACTACAAACCATTTGCAGGCGCAAGTCCCTGTTTTTTTTTTGTTTTTTTTTCCGAGAAGTAGGTGTGTTGTAGTACATGCAACTTCACCGCTGCAACCCCCACAAAGTATGTGGCTTGGTTGACATACCTGGTTTCAACAACACAGATCTAAACAATTTTGATCTTCCTACTTTCATTTCGATTCCATCATTTGAACGGGTAATCCAAAACTAATCAATCGTTTTGAAGGGAGAAAAGGCGTGTTTCTTTAAAACAGTGCATTTCCGTTGGCGCCGTCCTGTCAGGCTGCTCAGAAACAGAAACAGGCCAAGACCAAAGCGTGGAGGTATTAGCTGGGCGAAGACATCAATGGAAACTACGGGGCATGGAGACCACCACCAAGACGTTGATGAAAGGTCTGTCATTTGCCCATCTTTGCCCATGGACAAACAAAGATTGGAGCCGGGGCTTAAAACATCTCCGCTTGCAGCTTGAAACCTCCAGGATTTTTTCATGAGTAATCCAATCCCCCTGCGATGAATACTATGATCCCAGCCATCTGTGTTTTTTGTGCACATCCACGTTGACTTTGGGGGATGTTGGATGAAGCTTTTCTGATTGTTTCGGGCTGTGTACTACCCTTCTTATCCATGGGAAATCCTATGAACCAGCCAGTGAAATTCACTGTTTGTGTAGCGATGGCCAGCGCGTTGAAACCTGTATGATCCTCCCTTTGACGATGCTGAAGCTCATTGACACCAAGATCCAAGTTGTGAACCGCAGCGCCTTCTTGATTGATGAGTTCGATCATGTTCATCAATGAGTTTGTTTGGATGTACAGAACTGTTTTTGTCGAACAAAAATGTGTTTCGCCGTGGTGCCAAGCACATTTTCAAGTTTTTACATCGTTGTGTTTTGATGCTAATCTTCGGGATTTGTGTAAGATGTTTTTCAAATTTCTCATCAACCAAAAATACATGTTGAAAACATCCCTTACAGGGGATCGCGAGTTTTTTCGTTCTCAATTGCGTCCGTTTTCAGGGAGCCAAGTTGTATCTACCTTTGCCTTTCTGGGATGAATTTTGGCTTTGAGGCCATGTAGCGCACAAAGGCAGCCATGACCATAGGCATCCCCAGGCAGTTTGTTGTTCCTCATCGTCTACCTATGCGAAAGGTCGTTCGCGTAACATAATCTGAGTCTGCAAATACACAAGAGAGGTTGTTAGCTTAGCATCTCAAACTACAAGTGCAAGAGAAGGGTCCTTGGCTTAGCATCATCTATGTGTGCAGGTGCAACAGGACGTTATTGCCCCCCACTCACCCCACCCACCCCTGACACCCCTCCCACCCCATCCGTAAAAACCAATTCAATGAAGTTTGGGCAACCCCCCGGTCTACCCAACACGTTTTTATTTTAGATGTGAACTCAGGGAGATATTTTGCCTCAGGAGCGCGTAGATAAAACTCACGCCCATCCTTCTTTAGGAAGGAAGCAAGAGACGTGTCTTGCTACGTTTTGCTCCACAAGTTTGGGCACCACTGTCACTTTGGACCAGGTCAAAGGTATGAATTTAGCGTGCACGATTCATTCCATTCGTTTCGGTTGGATATCTCTTGTTTTCTGAAACCAGCGAAACAAGAGATGTGCATAGAAAGCCAAAGTGCACAGGATCGTGGATACCATATTCACATGTACACAAAACACTGCATTATCAACAGCCAGTGAATACATCAACTATACCCTCAAGAGATGTGCATAGTTTATGTATACTGTATACTGTTTTTTTGCATGTACCAAAAGCTTATCCGAAAGCGATGCATGTTCCAAAAAGCTGAATCACGGTGATTCAGTCGTTGAGACCTTGGGATCTGATGAGATGGTCGTAATCGTTGTGTTTTGGACATGTCATGTGTACATAACTATACCAAACTATATGTATATATATATATTTAATATGTATTTATATGTATTTATATACATATAAGACTATGTATATACAGTATATGTATATTAAACAAACATGTATACATATGTATACACACATCCGCACTACTTTGTATCGTGTATGTTCCAATTTTTGCCAAAAACCGCCAGCACCTGGTTCAGACAGTGCGAGCACAAGCTGTAGATCGCGACCAGAAAAGAAAAAACGCGGTGGGAGGACCAGCACAGTGGGATGATTGGGTAACTGCGCCATGTATGTGGTATATGTGGTACCCTAGAATAAACATGCAAAAACATGTAGGGAAAACCCATGGTTTTGTTCGGAAAAAGGATCTACAAAGGTAGGTTTTCCACATCCATTTTAGTTTACAGGGGAGTAAATCCATTAGATTTTCCAGCAAATTTTGGATGATAATCCCCACTAAATCAGCATAGAGTTGATCACGACGTCGCGGCGTCAAATGTTGGGCTCTTTTGAGGTTACTGTTGTTTTTCACTTATCCAGATCTGGTTGGTGGTGTGGAACATTTTTTATTTTTCCATATGGGAAAAATAATCCCAACTGACGAACTCATATTTTTCAGAGGGGTAGGTATACACCAACCAGGGATTTATTAATAGTAGACCCAATGTCATGAACCTTCCCCCATGACGTATAGCAATGGCTCGGTTTATGGCAGCCAGGGTGAATCCCGCATTTTTTTTTTCGCCCCTCCTTTGATGGGATAACCCCAGGAATTGAGGACTTCTTAACCATGTTTACTACTGGTTGATGGTTTGGGACATGGCTTTTGTGACTTTCCATATATTGGGAATGTCGTAACCCCAAGTGACGAACTCATGTTTTTCAGAGGGGTAGGCTCAACCACCAACCAGACTATCTACTTTTACTAGAAGTGGGATGATCGAGCCTCCAAGAATTCGTTCTTGAGCTTGGCAGTCAAGAAGGTGACCTTTTGCAGTTTCTGAACATACAGTAGTTTCTCGCGCGCAGTTCAATTTGGACTAACTCTACGTCATAGCTGACGCCTGCCCTGTTTCAGTTTTTAAGGTTGTTGTTGGTGCAGAAAGGGTGGAGAAAGCCACCTCTTCCATGTGGGTGTGTCCAAAAATGGGGTATTAGTATGAACCATTTTTTTTTGATAAACAAAATGCTGGTCAATCATAACTTTCCCTATAAGAAACTATGGCCGTATTAGGATATCGCCCATGTTCAAACCTCCTCCATGTCATCACAAAACATGTTTAAGGCCAGAGTCGGTATGTTCAAATGATTCCAGCGCACCTTTGGTGGGAGAGGACTACAATTGGCATGTTAAACGCTTTGAACTTTGATCATCTTTGATCCACTACCTGGATGCTTTGAGATCAAGGTATTGGTGCAATTGAAGTATACAACTGGTTGGTGGTTTGGAACATGTTTTGTTTTTCCATATAATATATATATATATATATATTGTGAATAATAATCCCAACTGACTATTTTTTTTCAGAGGAGTTGAAACCACCAACCAGACAAGTGTTGTGTTTGACACTAGTGTTGCGTTCTTCCAGCATACATTCCACCTGGCTTGTCCTGCTTTCGGTTTGCTCAAGGGCGCCAGTTCCGGCGTCAAACAACTCTGTGGTCGTAGCCCCAACAAAAAGGATGGTTTACATCATATATAAAAATAGCTGGACCATGCTGGACCTATGTTGAACCACGCAAAGACGTTTGCTTCGGGAGGTTCCAGGCAATCTACAACGACACGGTTCATCCAGCTTTGTTAACTTGTTGCTAAAAAACAAAAACAGCCCAAGAACAATTGCACAAACTCACTAAGTCAACCCCCACCATATTTCATCCATCTGCAGGATTTTCTCTTGCTAAGCCTTTTCTGAATGGATCAGTCATGATTGTTTGAGTGCTGATCGTCGGAGCGGAGGCGCATGGGCTGTAGAATTTAGCCAGAGAAATGTGGAAAGCGGAAAGCAACTGTATGGGTGGTCTAGTGCATTACTGGTTCGTGGTTTCAAACAATTTTTATTTTCCATAATATATGGGATATTCCTTCCCATTGACTTTCATATTTTTCAGAGGGGTTGAAACCACCAGACAGATTATATAAAATGGACTAAAAGTGCGCATCTAACAAGAAAACATAATCTACTTGCTGGTTTACCCTAGTTATGAAGTCAGTTATAGCTCCATTTATAACTGGGCTAACATTACCCTACTTTAAACTGAGGTCATCCACTAAATGGGATGAAGCCTCCAATGATTCCCTATGATGCTAGTAACGAACTGGTTAGATTCTATGGGGTTATTTGATGTTATTTGCACCAACTTTGCTCATGATTGGGGGTCCCAAATTCTCCAAACACTCTGTCGTTTTATGATGATTTCTGGAGGGTTCTGGAATGCATATCTACCGTTGATGTGGTTTATTAACCAACAAACATCAGTCTGGGGTTGCCACCTTCCAGAAAATTCGACAGTTTTCTTTGCTTCAGGTGGATCCAAACATTTTTGTTTTTCGAGGCTGATCCACCTGCTTCAAATTCCCCATGCAGTTGGGCCTTGTCTTGTCCCAGTGGCATGAGGTGAAAAGTGATGATCCGCGACAGTAGCGATGAAGAGGAGGACGATGATGAGCAGGAAGAGGAAGAGGACCGTTTTGGAGGCTCAGGGCTGGAAGAGGCTCAGCTGTTTCACGATAAATCCACATGGAAAATCCATCAGTGTCTTTTTATAACCCAGTGGTCGAGCTAAATTCTCAGGTGAGTTCTCAGGGTTGGTCACAGCTGCCGACAATTTATGCGTGGTTACAGGAAGGATCTCCCTGATGCCTAATGTAATCAGGCCCTCAGTTTACCCATAAACATAGCGGTAGGAAATCCATACGTTTCCCGTGAAGGGACGTGATCCAGAAAAATGGCGGAGTTGTCCATAGCCATAGCGGACGTTTACTGAAGGGACACGTGGTTTATGAAGCATCTATAGTTCAAGAATCACCACTCGTCACCATTCATCACCATAAATCCTAGTTAACTATAGTTTAATAATCACCATTAGTCACCATCATATCCTATAGTTATTAACTATGTATAGTTGAATTATCACCATTGATTACCTTTAATTCCTCATCAATCCTACCATGTGTGGCCCCCAAACGTTATGTTTGTTGCTTTATAACCCCATCTAACTATACACTATATAATTATATATATATAAGTATCATAAACCCAACACTTATTGTAGTTATAAACGCGCCAACTTAGCTATCGAACGGGGCCCCGCATTGTATAGTGAATGATCGTTTTTTCAGGCACACCATGAATTTTGGGCGAACAGGAGCCCATCGACTTCGCCGCGGAGGCGGCGAAGACTGCCGCAAGGTGGGCTGTACGAGCGGTTCATATGGGGGTTTGAATGGGGATCCCCAATAGCTGGATGGTTTATGATGGAACATCCTTTTAAACTAGATGATTTAGGGGTACTGTACCCCTATTTTAGGAACCTCCCTTATGAAGTGGGTTAGTTGGCCGAATTTCTATTGCTACTGACCCTAGTTACAACTGGGCTTATGATCCACTTACTGACCGGGATGAACCACCACATGAGAGCTCGTAAAACCCCGCGCCTATTCGCTTAGTCTTCCATGATCCCCCATGAGCCATTTTTAGCTTTCACTCGAAAAAACGATAAGAGGAAAAAAAAAGATAACGTTGGTTATGTATGGTTATGTTAATGATACGTGTCCAGACTCTTGAAATCCAAAGTTCTTCATTTGTCCATCATTCTGCGGCTATTTAGTGCTTTTGGTCTCTTCCTTTCATTGTTTGTTGTCGTAATGGCGCAGATTCTGCACAAGGAAGGTGCCTGGTAGGTGGCCGCTACACTCCTTTTTTGATGATTGCAGCCATTTCCAGCAAAAAAGGAACACACACACACAGGATTCACGAACGATAACAAAACGATAACGATATCTTTTGGCATCAAAAATGGTCCGTGTGAGACACTGCCTTTTTTTCCAATTTCCTTTCCTTTTCCTGTTGCTTTCTTTTTCCTGTCCCTTTCCTTTTCCTTTTTCTTTCCTTTTCCTTTCTCTTTCCTTTTCCTCTCCCTGTACTATTCTTTCCTTTCCCTTCCTTTACTATTCCTTTTCCTTTTCCCTTTCCTCGCTCATGTGAATTCTTTGATCAAGGTGTGAAGCCAGCGCTTGGAAAAACGATAAGAGGAAAAAACGATAATGTCTGGAAACGCCATTTGAAAGGGCTCGGGGTCTTTACAAGACATCACATATAGGAATTGAACCGTCTGAACTTCTTTCTGGCAAGATTGGTGATCTAAGAAAACCTTTGGAGTGAAGCATCAAAAACTGGGAGATCGAACTACAAACAACTAGAACAAATAAGGTGGTTGAACCACAACTGGAACATGATTTGAGCATCAGCAATATAGTGATTTTAGCAACCAATCTGGATGAATCACAAAGACCGACCAAGGCCAACATTTCACCATTGGTGCAATATGATATCATTCAACCAGCAAACGTTGGTACGATTACTACCTGCCAACTGACTGAGTTGACATTTGTTGATTTGATCTTCTTGCTGCTCGCTAAACTACATCCTCATAGGTGGTTGATCCTCATAGGTGGTTGATCCTCATACGTGGTTGGTTCAACAATCGATCTGGTCATATCCCCATCTTTTAACTGGTTGGTGGTTGAGAACATTTTTTATTTTTCCATTCAGTTGGGAATGTCGTCATCCCAAGTGACGTTCATATTTTTCAGAGGGGTAGGTCAACCACCAACCAGTTGATGTCTTGAATTAGTTCTGTCACGCTCGGGCCATCCAACGTGGCAATCTCTCTTATTCGCAGTTTGATGCGTGATTTTTATTCGGCTCGCCTCGCATGTCACGTGATCAAATAGTTTTGGTTTACATAGCGACTTGACGTGCTTATACCGATTTGCCCGGCCTGGTTTGAGCGATTTCCCAATAAGATCTCCACTTTTGAAATTCTTACATATAGATCCCCTTTGTGAACGGGTCCCTCATATGGATCTGGGTCATTCTGGGTCCAAATACCCGATACCCACAAAATTTCCATGATTTAAAACTCCGTTTTCCAATTAACATGACCATTTGAGGTATTCCCCGGTGACACACCCATGGGGCTCTTCAACATTGTTTTTCCTTCTGTCCATCGTTCCTTTTAGATTTTTTAGCGCGCTCCCCCTGCTGTCGGCTGGGGTCGGCGGATACATAACCATTACAAGTGAGACTAACTTGGGTAGTCAAAATTGGGTCCCTGCCCTCAAAAATTAGATGGTTCATACATAATACATGATAATACATTCTATAATATATATATATATACAATACAATACTAAAATATACTAAACATCTTCTAAAATCTCTGATCCCTTCTCTTGGGCTTCATGGGGGACTCATCCCCAGCAGCTCCAACTCGCCAGGTCGTTAGCGAGATCCGCCTCGTCCAGCTATCTGAAAGCTTTGTTTCCCAAGTGCCAGGAGGCGGTGCGAAGCTCATGTGACGTGGTGGGCCTGTAATACTAATGTTGGATTGTGGAAAAGATCCTACAATGGTATATAATGGTATATATATATATACATATGTGTGTTTATATAATTTTAGAATATTTTATACATGTGAATCAGAACTTGTTTTCCGATATGTTTGTTTCACATCGGGTGAAGCAGTGTCATGGTTTCGGAGATGTTGTTGAAATGCTGTTGGCATTTAATGACGATGCTGTACATTACTAGTTGTCAGGGGGTGGCTGGAAACTACCAACCATACGTAGCCGTGATCCTCATCCCGATGGCATGGCGGCATCGTTGGGGGATGACTCATCAACATTATATGTATAAAGTGTTTTGCCAAATCAATATGTATCTTATTGGATATTTAATGTTTGGTTTTTTTATTATTATGTATTGTTACCTAGCATACCCAGGTATATATATATATACTATGTATATATATATATGTAATATACTATACACATATATATATAATATTATATATACATATATAAAAATAGTCACCAATAGCGCGTTCCTTTTTTGAAGTTTACGGTGTTCAAATTTTAGTTGTTGAAACCACTGTGTGAGGCCAACAACATATTTTTTCAAGGGTCTTTTGGACCTCCATGACGCGAAGTTTCCAAATGGTTCTGTGTGGACATGGCTGGCAGAAAACATCGGAAAAGTTTGATTCACAAAATGATGCCCCTGGATCCCCAAAAACTGGATCGATACTTTCCATGTTGACTACATCTGACTTTTTGTGCTCCTAGAGGTGTGCACGTTCTTGAACACTTCCAGCGCCAATGACCGAATGATCAAGTGCAAACTGGGGTTCACGCCAAAGAAAGGTCGCCTCCGAACCCCCTTTCTTTAAAAGGTCGAGGACTCCCAGGGTATTTATATATATAATTTTATATATTATATATATAATCTAATTCGGTTCATAAACTCATCCGCGGAAAGGTTTCTCGGCCACACCTTGCTGCCATTCTTTTTTGAGGCGGTGGGGGATGCCGAGATCCAGGCGAAACAACTGGAGGCATTGGACGAGCTTGTGGCAAAACGTCCAGAGACTTGGTATTCGAAAGGTGGAGATACAGTTTCTCTCGAAGATAAGTATGACAAATGGTGATTTTCCCATTAGAAATGGTGATTTACTGTAATGTAGTCCATAAGACATATGATAAGTACTGCAATGTAGTCCATCAGACATATGGAAATATATGGAAATATGTATGGCAGATTTACCAACATTTGCCTTAAAAACCATTCTAAAGTAGCTAAATATACCATACAAGGAGCTTATGGTAAGACATATATGGAAATATGATGAAATATGAACATGGATTGATTTGCCATATTTTCCCATTATTCCCACCCATTACCTAGACCCTCCGTTTGTATCCATAAAAGTGTGTATCAGCACGGTCTAAACGCCGGGGACAAGCCTTTGATTGAAATTCCTGTTTGACACAAATAATGTCATGACCTTTTAGATATCTTAAATACATTTGTTGCCCACAGATTGATGCGGTTACTTGTGTTTGTGTTCTTAGTTTTGCTTGCATGCGCTTGTCCACAAAACCCACCACCGCTTACTTGAAACCCACTCCCAAAGGAGATGGCCAACAAACGCCGCCCCGCCGTGGCGCCCATTGCCACCCCAAGTCCAGCTATGCCAAGCCCGGCCCAACCGCTGGAAAGCCCAAGCACCGCGGATGGCAGCCCTACGTCGGCGCAGTCCGTGTCGCCGGCGAGTCCCATGAGTCCCTTGAGCCCGGCCAGTCCGCCGGATGCCGGGTCCAGCGGAGCCACGGGCCCCAAGAAACCCGTGCAGCGCGGTGCCCGCGCTGAGCCCGCGTCGCCCAAGTCGCCGGCATCGCCCAAGTCGCCCAAGTCGCCGGCGTCGCCCAAGGTGTCGCCTAAGAGACAGGCGCAAGTGAGGAAGGCAAGGGGCTTTAGCGACATTTTTCAGAGGGACTCGCTTTTGTATAGATTTTTGTAAGGAAAAATTGGCCAGCCCGCCCCCAAATTCAAAAGGGGATAGAGGATAGATTGAAGTTGATTCAATCATTGTTTGTAGCCCTGAATCCGGCAAAATCAAGGGAACTGTCCTCCAGATATGTTGAAGGACTGGTTCAGGTTGTTCTTCTTGCGCCTGATAGAAACCACAAATTCCAATTTGAGAGTTTACGGGATGCATTGTTGCGGGCAAAAGTCATACATTGTCGTTTTCTTTGAATGCGATAGACTTAGCCGCTGAATCCAAAACACTTTGCTGGGTGACTTCCTGTTGCTGGTTTCAACCCACAGCGGCGCAGGTAAAATCTGCCGCTGGAGACGGTGAGTCGATGGACCAGGGTAACCAGGCGAACCATGGACCACATCCTGGGAGGAAATCCTGTGGTGACGCGTCCCTTACAGCGATTCTTGGAAGCTCATTGTTCAGAGTTCCCCATCGACAGATTTAGTTGGTTTTTATATGTTTTTTTTAATTGTTTTTATGTGTGCGGATGTTCTGCCCAAACCAAGACTTGTTCTGTAGATAGGTGTCCACTTGGTGTCATTCTGTTTAATGTTTCCATTCGATAGGTGTCATTCTGTCGTTATCTCTCGGACAGTGACTGTTTCTCCACATTGTAGAAGGGAAACTTCCGATGAACTCGGGGGCACAAGAAAAGATCGATTGTATCCTTCCTTTTAGGCAGTATGGTGTAGTGGAACTTTGGAACTGGATCTATGTTGCTTTGTCATAATTCTCTCATATGTTCCCATATTTTTCCTGTTAAAATCGGTGTAAATGAAGAATGTTCAGACCTCAATCGCAGCAGCTTTGCTTTGCCCGGAGGCGCAAAGCATGAGGGCCTTTACGGAGATGAATTCCGGTGAGACGAAGGAGGTCACCGGTGAGCTGAGGAAGGCCCGGCGCTTCGAGGATCTCGATGGCGGTTAAATGGGCCTTCAGTGGGCCTTCACTGGGATGATATATCTCCCGTAACTCTTCAATTACATATATCATGAATTATATCATGCTATGATATTAAGCCAGGAATATATTTACATTGCTGTACACTAGATGATGATATATCTATGAGAATCCTGTGTTCTGAGGGTGATGATATATCATGAAATAAGCCAGGAACATAATTGGCTGGCTCAGCATCGGCCCCAGCACTTTTTTTTTGTTTCTCGGTGTGAACATGAGCCGCTGGGACAACAACTCCAGCTCCTGGGGGACCACATTGTCCCTCCTGGTTGCTGTGCCTATACCAGTGCTGTACCCAGTTTCTATCCTATTTCTACTTGGCGCTTCAGCCCAGTGTGTCATATAGCCCCAGGATGCCCCAGTCACACTTGAGTAGGCTGCTTACATCTGTGGAGAAGTCCCCATCTGTGTCGGTCAGATCCCCCTATTTGCGCTTCTCAATTTTGCCTGGTGAAATCAATTGAAATCACCATTTCTGCTAGGTAAATCACTAAATCACGATGTTTTGCTGTTGTTGTCAACTTCCAGATCCACTTAGCTTGACATCCAGTGGGAGCGGACCGTCGAAGGCGTCACCAAAGAATACTTGGTCCACTGGGTTGAAGGTTCGAGAGCAAAGTGCCAAAGGGAAAAGGACCTGTTTCTCCACTTGAAAGATGATTTATAGTTGATGTATTGATATCTATGAGTATGATAGGTGTCTGTTGATGATACACACACTATATATATATATTATATAACATATTATTATATATATATATAGATATGCATGTATACATGTATATATCCAAGACAACTGTTCGGTGTTTTGTTTGACACATATATATATATATACACGTACAGTTAGATCGGGTTATAAACCAACAAACATGACTCGCTGGGGCCTTCCTTTTGGATGAACTGAATAAATCTAGGTAGACCGCCCCAACATGACCTTATTTCAGGTATTGGTAGTGTTACCCTCTGGTAATCAAACATGGCGTGCTGGACAATCTCCCATTTAGTTCGTGGACTCTCCAGCTTGCGATGTTTGATTCCAGGGTAGACCTCAGGATGAATGTGAAGATCACAACTGTTCTCAGACAAAGCCATGGATCATTTTCAGCTGGTTGGTGCTTTGGAATATGTTTATTTTCCATTTCATATATGGGATGTCATCCTTCCCATTGACTTTCATATTTTCAGAGGGGTTCAAACCACCAACCAGTCAGGGATGGAACATCGCAAAGACCATCTGAATGCACATCTTGAAACATTGTGAATCCACCCGCCCGAAAAGGAGTGTAATTCCCCATTCCTAGTAGCACTCGTTACTGGAATGATTTAAAGCGAGGATGCTTATAGCAACTGTTCACTTTGAACGGGGGATGGAGGATGGGAGCATTGGTGATTTAGAAGCATTATAGGCAATGTTCAATGGATAGATGTGACTGGATACAGGGTTACTCCCACATGTGCACTGGTTGAAATGCAATCTTTTCATCGGTCGGTCGATGTTCATTTCCTCATGTTTCGTGGGTTAAATCAGTTACCCTCTGGTTATTTAACATAGCCATGGTATAGATGGCCCATTTATAGGTGGTTTACCTATTACAAATGGTGATTTTCCATGGCTATGTTAAATAACTAGATGGTAAATCTCTAATATTGACAAGGTCGCTCTGATCCATTCTAGGTCAATCATAGCCAAGTGTCATTTTGCCTCTTTGTCTAGCCAGTTTCGCCCCGCTTGTAATTGGGTGCAGCCCTGAACCTAAAATCATCAGTACAAGGTGCTGCCCTGCCCCCCAGTTATATATAAGATATATAAGTTTATAGACCCATTATATACCTATAGATATACCTACCACAGTTCCTAGCCAAGTAACTGCTTAGCACCCCTGGTTCGGAAGTCCCCTAAGAAGGTTATCCTATCTAGCAGAGAAAGCCGCCCGACAACCACGGTAAACCACTCCATGAGGCCGCCTCGTCGACTGGCCGTTTCGAAACCACCATGCGATCAGCGCCCAAGGTGAAGGGGTTCACCCAGCCAAGATGCAAAGCTGATGATTGGAAATCATCATGTTTATCATCCCATAACATCCCCAAATGATATTGATCGATTTGTATTGACAAATGGATACAAATGGGATTTGAGTGGTTTGATTGCTTTAAAGTTAATACCACCAAATCAATATTATTATTATCCCGTAAATGATTTGATTTGATTGCGAGCTTTGGGATTTTTCCATATTTTTCTGTGCCATCCGAGACACATGTGCTGTTCAATAACTCGTTGGCAATGTGTGGATCCGGGTCATAAATTTGATACCATCTGGTTATTTAACATAGCCATGGAAAATCACAATTTTTAGTAGGTAAACCATCTATAAATGGGCCATCTATACCATGGCTATGTCAAATAACCAAAGGGTAAATTTGGTGTACGAATCGAACCCAAGTGACCCCAGAGATGTGGTCTTGATTGGTCATGTTGAGCATGAGATCACCCTACTTCTGGGGGCCAAGAATGGCGGCAACCCCACTTTGTTGGCATTTCCAGCAAAGACCTCACTACAAATCATGGTAAGTATAGTAACCCCCCCAAAAAAAACAGACAAGTAAAGTCCCACTGAAGTGATAAAACACGTTTAACTGTAATGTCAACCCTGGATCAATAAACCCCTAGGCTGTTTAATTGGGAAGGTACCGTTTAAGTATTAGATTATGACTATTGGAGGATTACCTCCCTAATTTATAAACCAGGGTTTATTAATCTGGGGTTGACATTACTTGTCTATCTGTTTTTGGGGATTGCTATAGGATTAAACTCCCACTCAGTGAGTTTCTTTGAGGTTTAGGAACTGTCGATCATTTACATCATGGGATGATGGGGCCCCTTACTTAGTTCAGAGTGGTTATAACAGGGGTTACGCGTATCTGTAGTTTTTGGTGGTAAGATCATCATGCCCGAATTGTTTCGGATAAAGTTCCCAGTTTCTTTGTGTGATTATGATTATATTTACACACATAATCATATAATATGTAAATATATATATATATATAATTTCAACCCCAGATTAATAAACCATGGTTTATTAATTAGGGAGGTACTCCTCCAATAGTCATAATCTAATACTTAAATGGTACCCTCCCAATTAAACAGCCTAGGGGTTTATTGATCCAGGGTTGACATTATACTTCAAAACGGAACTTTCTCACGATATGTGAACTCTGAATCCTGTCGATGCTGTAGGCGAATTCCGCCTCCTTGACTCAGTTGCCATCTGGGACGTGGCGAGGTCAGCGTTGTCAGTGTTGGGGAGGCACTGTGAAGGTTGGGGTGGGTTTTCATACACAAAAAAAAACACAAAAACTGTATATTTTCAAAGAGGATCAATCTACTGTTGTTCAATGATGACTCTTGTTGGGCTATATAATATATGTGTATATTCCTAAAGTGGGTCTCAGTGTTGCAACGGGGATTATTCCAACTGGTGCCTAAGCCACCACCCCTTGAGCGAAGTCATCTCACCTGGTTTGGTGATCCAAACTGAAGAACTTGATGAACTGGGAGATGTTTTACTGGATGGGTTGAAACCAAGGGTTAGTCATTTTGCAGATTTGAAACCAGGCAAGTACTCCAGGCCAGTTGCTGAGACGTTGTAGGCTGTCCCCTCTTTTTCCGCGATCGGAAACAGTCAGGTATTGCACAGCTTGATTCATTTGTTTGCCGGTGTTTGCCACGAGTTTAGTCCACAAAAATCAGGACATCCCAATATTGCCAAAGAACTACCGAAATCTGCTAGCCGCAAATGGAAGTTTCCAAACGAATAGGCTACCCCAAGTCATCATCCAAGTCATTGGAGCATGACGACTCGTATACCCCAGTTGGTAACAACTGCGGATGCCACATGACGACTACGACACGTTAGCTATATGAGTTCAAACTGGGATGACTATTCATAGTCTTTCTTTGACACCCATGACTTAGCATAGGTTAACCCAAGGTGACTGTTAATAGTCTATCTGAGTAACCGACAAAATGAGCTAAACACTAAAGTAGTAGGGAGTGGACTCGGGATCTTCAAACTTGTGTTGAAACCTTCACAACCGATAGGGGACCATCCACGTACCGATACCCTAAACCTTCACAACCGGTAGGGGACCACCCACTTTGCACTCATATAATTATATCTACCATAAACCCTATAGTTGACCAAAGTTAATCATATTTCATAGCTACATAAACCCCCTTAAATTGTTGGTGCCGTTTCTCAGCGAGCGGTACGCTGCTGCCTGGTTTTCGCTAGGCCCTGTGGAGACCAGTGGCAACGAGCGGGAGATGTTTTTGCCTCTTGGCAGACCTTTCACACAAAGCGGCGGAGACATGGGGTGTGTTGAAACTTACAGCCCAAACTTATCTGGTTGGTGGTTTCAAACATGTCTTATTTTCCATAATATATGGGATAATCCTTCCCATTGACTCCATTGACTTATATTTTTCAGAGGGGTAGGTATACCACCAACCACTTATTACTGTCTGCTTTTATTTGATTGTTTTGTATACCCTCTGGTAAACTAACATAACTATGGAAAATCACCAGTTTTAATCGGAAAATCCACTATTCTATGGCCATGTTCAATAGCAAACTCTTAGTTTACCAGAGGGTATGTGTTTGATCTTGTGTACTGTAAATTTGGTTGGCTCTATATTTTGGAATTTGGTGATCCATGTTGGTTCCGGGTGTTTGAGGCTGCGCAAATCCGATTTTGCGCCTATGTTTGGTATGAGAAAATCGCCTTATGGTCATAGTCATTGTCATCCAAGGGAAGAGAGCCCGAAAGCCAGATTAAAGAATCCCTCCTGTGTAGTACGTTTACACAATATAATATAGGACATGAAACTATGATATGATGGTTAAAATGGTAGGTGTATATATATATGTATGTATATGTATATACAGTATATATTTTGGAAATAAAACATATACATATATATATATATGTATAATGTATATATATATATATATATGTATATCTATCAACATATTACATATAATTATAGGTATGAAATAGTATGAACTCTGATAGTGGCAATGGCGAACGCTGGTAGAAGACGGGTCATTTTTTTGCATTTCTCAGTCAAGAACCCTCTGAGAAATGTGGTAAACCGGGAAACCAAAATAATGATAGTAATTAATAACATGTCCCAGTATTAGGTTGGGCTTATGTGATGGTATGGGTTGGTGGTTTGGGGGGTCGGGGAAATTGAGTTTTTTTTTTGTTTGCTGGGGGTGTGGGAAATTGTGATTTTTTGTTTGCAAAGCTCGGAATGGATGTTTGCAAACCTTTTTGTTGGTCCTTTTTTCAGCCGCTCCTCTCCAAAAGGCGGTCAGCGGGTGTTGGACGCAGAAACTGTCCGACTAGCTGGTCCTGCTCGCTAATTCATGCTGTGCCTGAACCGGACTACTTGAATCACGTGGGTTTTCATTGTAGCATGTTGAAAAACTTCGAATTCCCAGACCCCCCAAACAACCAAGCCATACCACCACATAAGCGCATGTTGATAATTATTAGTGGTGCTGAAATTTGTCATCTAAGCATTAATTATTACATAGAATAAGTATGACGATGACGACTTTAATTTACAAGTAAATTATGCTTAATTGTTGAATCATATGAGTTTCAATTAATGTATGCTGCCTAATAGTAACCCCCCCTAAATAAAATATTTTAAAAAAAAGTCAGGGGGGGTCAGCATTCCAATAGTAAATTTTTGGAACCTTATGGCTGGGATGGAGGCGAAGGAGGAGGACGAGGAGGAGGAGAAGAAGGAGAAGAAGGAGAAGGAGAAGGAGGACAACAAAATTGGAGTTGCGGAAAAAAGTTTCCACCATTGCCATGCCTGGTGCAGGTTTGTTATTGCTATTCTGGGGCTTGCAAAGGGGGTACCCTTTGTGGACCTGTTTTCTTGCTTTTTGAAATAAGGGTTTTATAAGGAAATCAGCTGTTTGGTAATTGGATCAGATTTCTGGAATCTAAGCTTTTGCTAATCAAAAGTGAAGGCTGCTTTGAAAAGGAGTTGCTTTACTTGACTCTTTTGGCGATACTAAAAGTAAATGGAGCTAATTGACTTTCAGTATTGGAGAAAAAATTGGAGTTGGGAAAAAAGTTTCCACTATTGCCATGTTGGGTCCACTATTGGCCATGCCCTCTGGACAAGGTCTGAACTTGACTCTTTTGGCAATATTAAAAGTAAATGGAGCTAATTGACTTTTAGTATTGGAGAAAAATTGGAGTTGCGGAAAAATGTTTCTACTATTGACAAGATATCACTATTGGCTAGACAACATTACTATATTTTTTTTAAAAAAAAAAAACCTTCACTGATTGATCTTAATTGTATATTTCTAAACTAGGGGTCCTTAGAAAAATCGTCCCAGTGAACCCACTTGGGATAATTCATGGCCATCACTTATCTAGTTATAGACATACCTACCATAAACCATAAATATTGGAGCTATAATCACCATAATCCCATGAATATTCCATTAACATCCTTTTCTCGCATTAAATCTCCATTGTATCCCCATTAGGCAGGAATAAATCACCATAAACCACCACAAATAGGTGGGCCCCCCAGTCATAAGTTGGTTTATGAACCTCATTCACCATAGTTGTTTTTTTCATAAACCCCAGTTAACCAATTGTAAGTCAACTTACTTATCATTGTTTGTTGGTTAAAACTTCATGTTTCCTATTTCTATCGAACTCAGGCGCCTTTGTAGAAACCAACTTCGCTATCACGTTGTATTCGCGTCGACACCACCGAGGCGCTCGTTGTCAAAACACGAATCCATGCCGTTGCTCACCTTCCGCCCCCGCCGTGGGAAGTGGGAAGGCCCAGCTAGTCCGCAGACCAGGGGGTGCGGGACCCAGGGATAGTTATAACCATATTATGAAATGCCCTAGGGGTTAAAGTTACATATATATATATATATATATATTATACATATTTATATACATAATAACCACCCCTTTAAGGCTATTTTTTAGGGAGGGACCATACCAACATTGTAAGATACATTTTTTGGAACCCCCACTGAAATGTAAAATTTATTGCTGAACTTCCCCCAGGTGTCGTTTTTGTAGGGAGGGTCTTCAAAATACTTTGTAAGCTTACATGTCCAAGGCCCCCCCTCAAAAGCACCTTGAAAATGTAGCTTGCATTTTGGGTATGAACCCCCTTAAAACGGTGGTGATTATACATTAATATGTAATATATACAACATTTGATGGTTATTTATGGATTATACAGTTAACATGGTTCTACAATTTGAAAAACATGGGATACAGACCGCTTGCGAAGTGAAATACGCATCCAAGCAGTGGAATCTAGCCCAGATATAGAATCTTACAGTTGTAACGTGCAAATCAATTTGCCTAGGCTAGGTGTATCTACCACAAACCCAAATTGTGTTCGCTATAAACCAACTTAGCTATTCGTTGGTGCCCATGAACATTTGGTTAACATACCAAACTACAAAAAAAAATGGCAAAATGCATTTTCTTGTGGCTCAATGGAGTGCCTTGAATTTGTTTCTGCTTGTTTGGTCCAGGTTCAGATTTTCATTGTCCAAGCTGTGCTGAGGGACCTTTGGGTCACCAACGTGAGCAATCCAGCGCAGGGGAACCCGGCTCCAGAATGGTGAAGCTCAACGATCCAAGAAAAAACATGTGCCCCTGCGATGTGAGCCCCACGTTCGATAGCTCAGTTGGTGCGTTTATAACTACAACAACTGGTGGGTTTATGGTAGTTATAACTATAGTTAGATGCGTTATAAACCAACTTATAGCTAGGGGCCCCACATTGTGGATCAAATGGTACAGGTGCCAATTTCTTCTTACAGATGTTTTGTTTCCGCAAAGATAGCCGGCAACTGTGGATGTTTGTTCTAACAAAATCTGGTCTGATAAGTTTTTAGCCGTTCCAGTTTGAGTTCCAGAGAGCATGTCCTCCATCATCCGAGGAAGTTTAAGGTGGTTCTACATGTTCTGTTTGCTTTAGTTCCATGTCAAAACATCCCTACCAGACCAGAGTTTGAAAGTTGCTGACCTTTTCAGATCGTTTCCTTCCAGTGGGGGCCCCAGCGTGGTTCATATTGCGAAAGGCCCGGAAAAAAAATCTACGGATTCGAATTGGACATGATGAAAAGTTTTCTTCCTGGTTTAAGGATGTGAGAATTTTCAGGAAAGCCCTAAAGTTAGTTGAACGGTGTTCCAAGTGCAGGGTTTCCTGCAAATGTTCCCCACAAGCGGAGCCTTGAATCTGTCAATCAAGTCCTTGGTCGTTCAGTGATGGCTTAGTTTTTTTTTCAGAACAAGATTTAAGGTTTGAGGGCTTGATAGAAAGTTGGATACCCACCACACCATTGTTTGATATTAATATCTATATATATATATATAATTATATATATATCTACATATGTGTTGATCATGATTAGCCTGAATTGTGGTAACCAACTCGAAAGATCGAACAGATATGAAAAGATCATTTAACACTATTTCAGGATATTTTAGGATTTAATCATAATTTATATTATAGCTAATATATTCAACATAGATTACTGTATATAATATCATATTTACCCAATATATTGAGGATTTAACCATCATTTCTATCTTTTTGGGGCTTGCTACCTCCAATATACATATGTTATATATACATATATATGTATATATACTATGAATATCCAATAAAAGATATGTGTGTATACATTTCTGTGCATGTATGTATATATATATAGATATATGTTTGGGCCACCTCCGGCCGTGGCAGGCCTGGGACCTATCCAGACCTCGACGAGTCGCCAGAGCCCTGGGTAAACGGGTGCGGGGTTGTCGTAAGGGGGGGGGCAAACACATTATATATATATATATACATGTATATATATATATATATATTTAATTTATTTATACGTGTATCTAGTTGGACCTTGGCCTTTGACGGCCGTGGTGTTTTGATGGGGTGGGGTGGGGTGGGGCATGTATTAACGTTCATGTGAACTTGCACATGAAGTAGATGCTACGCTGTGGCTGCCGATTGGTGCATGTATTCATGGGTGGGGGGGGGGTGGGGTGCGGTGGGGTGGGATTAATAACGTCAATGGCTCTCTCACACATACGTCATTACGTCATGCTATGCTACTGTATGTCCTCTTCGACTTCCACGCATGCATCATGCTTACACTACTGTACGGTTCATCAAGTGAAGAATTTCACGTCAGAAGGTCCCAAGCTGTTTCCAGGCGTTTCGAACATTGCTGGTACCCAAACGTTGAACCGGCCCTGGAAGTCTTTGAATTTCTTGCCAGCTCACATGGTTTTGAAATGCAAAGAGCGTGGACATTCCACTTTGCACCCCTCCGTGACACAATGTGTGTTCGTGTGGTGCTGGCGATCAAGCTTACAGAGTCCAGATCTGGAAGAACTTGAAGCGCTGCTGTGAACAAAAAGACGGCTAAAAACTTGTGAATACCAACTAGCTGGGGCATTGGAGAAAGCCCCAAAAAGGTTTATTTCGTGTAGGCGAAATGACTGTTTTCCTTCTGCTGCTTGTAAAATAAGGGTTGATTTATTTTAATGCTTGCTGCTTCCAAGGTAAGGGTCTTAGCTTGGTACGGACAAGGTTGGGAGGTACTATGTGCAATGCCTCGACGCCGTGGCGGCACATCCAGGCGTAATGTCAGCAGCACTGCATCAGCAAAACAGTATCTATTATCCTTGTCGTTGCTTCTGCCAAGCTTGTGGTATATAGGCGAGCCGGAAGACGCCGCGATTCCAGCCCCCGAAGCTGCCGCGGCCCTTGTAGGCGCGCCGTTCATTCGAGCATCTGCGCACCATTGAACCATTCACAGCTTCAAATGCAAATGCAGCAACCTTCTTGATGGCACACGTTTTCTTTCCAACTGTCTCCCTGTTGCAGATGATGCTGCCAAGAAGGACGCTGAAGCCAAAGGCGCGCGTTTCTGTCATGTAACAACGGTTTTCTGGACCCCCCGTGTTCTGCATCCATTTTCCTCCCTTCCCATTTCGCCGCCCAGAGAAACACGCACATGCATGCATGCATGCGCGGGTCAGGTGCCATCTTTCACGATGAGCCCTTCATGGCGGACGCCGTCCAGGAGCATCATCATTGCGCCAAGCGCCGACGCTGCAGATGGACTGCAGCAGTCGCTTATTATACTTATATGCATATCTTATATAGGCAGACATGTCTAAGTCTAAGTGACCGGGGTCAATCGTGCTTGCCGCAGGACAATCAAGAGCGGGTGCTCCTACCCGGGCACTTCGCCGTCGTGGTAGCCGCTCTTGACTCCTCGCGTCTGTCGCGCGAGCTCGAAGTCACGCTCTACACGGTGGACTGGGGTATGCGAGGACCGACGTCATAGAGTTGGGTTTATAGATAAATCTAGTCACTTGACCGACCAACTTCTCCGCATTCCCCCGCATGGCATCGTGTCTGTAGGAGACAAACCCGACACCCTCTTCAGCTGGACCAAGAGCGTGCACTTCCCGCGGCGCTTGGAGGCGGTCAGCGGGCGCGAGGACTGTACATGACTGTGTATGACTGTATGACTGTATTCTGGCGGTGCCTCCTGTATCGAGACAGGGAGAAACATGGAACACATCTATGTTTTGAAATTCATTGGGTTCGAACTCCACTTGTGCTCAGCGCGAGGACGGTGGCATCATCTACTCGTCCAAGCCGCTGGCCTGCAGCATCTCCGCCACGGAGGCTCGCAACTCTCCTCATGCGCACATGTTGTTCGGTTCCGCATGCAATGGCCACCATGCACCATGATGATTGTTTTCCCATGATTGCGATGATGAACTTTGCCAGGTGCTCGAGTCTGCTCGAGAACGCGGGGAGTTTGCAGACAGCGTATGCCCGGTTCCCGCTGCTCTGCACTTCCTCGCGGACCTTGCAGCTCCCCGTGGAGGCTTGCAGCTTTGTCATCCTACAAAGTATTATATAAATGATGATTACATAGCATCGCACGAACATATATGACTGGAGCACGAACCCCCACCCCAATTAAGATTCCCGCAGGCCGAAGTCCACGTCGTTGGCGACACCTTCAACTCGAAGGGCGAGAACGTCACCGATTGACAGGCCTCCTACGCCCTGGCCGAGGCGCCGGCGCTGCGCGCAATGTTTCTTTCGTGCTCACGCGCAAAAGCGTCCTTCAATAACGAATGAAATTATATGATGTTATATGCCATGTGAAATCATGATGCCTGTCCCTGTCAGGCTTTGGAAAGGGCCTTTTGGTCGTGGACGAGGACAGTCAACTTCAGCCGTTTATAATATGCATAGCGAGGTAGCTATTTTGTGGAATCGACATGCGCAACTACAGGGTAGCAGTGTAGTGTCTGTGGACATATGCTGATCTCACTGGTTCCACACATCTGCCCTGCATGACAGGACGAAGACCACAAATGGCAGCTGCTCCTCCCAAAATCCACCGCGAAACTCCGGTGGCATACCGGAGTCGACGGTGCGGAGGGGCACCTTGGACTCGACATCGTCCAGGCCCACGGTCGCTTTTTTTCAGTCACAACATAGACACATAACTTTAAAAGAAATAATATATATCTATATATCAGATATATATCTATATATATATATATATATAAATAGAGAGAGTCTATAGATAGATAGATAGCTAGCTAGCTAGCTAGATAGATAGATAGATAGAGAGATAGATAGATAGATAGATAGAGAGAGAGATAGATAGATAGATAGATAGAGAGATAGAGAGATAGATAGATAGATAGAAAGATAGAGAGATAGAGAGATAGAGAGATAGAGAGATAGAGAGATAGAGAGATAGAGAGATAGGGAGATAGAGAGATAGAGAGAGAGAGATATAGATAGATAGATAGATAGATAGATAGATAGTCTACTCTGCAGCTCTGCATGCATCACACCTCCACCGTTCTTCCTAGTTTTTATGACGCATCCACAGGACAGCGCGGACAGCTTTGCACCGCCGCGCTGGGTCCCGCAGCTGCATGCTGCCTGCAAGCTGCGGGCAAGGCTCTGCGCCTCTCCTGAGGCAAGCTCAACTTGCACCCCTAATTAAGTTTATTCCCTCACCTGGCATGTAGTCTCCGCGCTCCAGCCGCCACATTGTTTGGGTTGGCCAGGCTTGTGTGAGACTCGATGCATGATCATGCCGTGTGCAATCTTCGCAGGACAGAGCCCATGCAGACGGGCTTCTGCAGAAGTTCTTGACCGAGGGCAAGAAGGTCGCGTTGAACTTGTTTCCACTTTTGCAAAGCATGCATACAAACACGGACACACGTCCTGCTGCCCAGGCCTTCGTCGAGCAAAATGCCCGCACCGCCTGGGGGCTTTCACGTGACCGGGCACGACCCCCAACTGTACAGAAGGCCGGGTTTCCACAACATAGTCATCCTTGCCAAACATTTGGCGTTGCTGCGACCCCCATTTTCTTTAAAACCACCCAGTTCAGTCTTTTTGCTTGCCAGGTGGTGCGGGACCCGCAGGAGCGAGGAGGTGCGGCGGCTGCAGCGCGACAGGTCGACCTGTTGGCAGGCGATCGCACCTCCCAACACCGCGTCGATGTGAAGTACGTCGAGGTCATGGAGGCGGGGTGTTTTAGAAAAGTGTCACTCCCACTTCCCATACATGCTGCGTATGCGGACAGGGTCCGCCTGCACCCTACGGCCTTGCTTGGTGCCTTTGGCGGGGGCAAGGCCTTGGTGCGCGGTGGGTTGCGAAATTTGGAGCGGCATCAGCTCCAGCTAGCCCCGCGTAGTGCTGGTGTCGCGCGGCAGCGCCAGATTCTGGCAGGGGAGTTTTGGGTGGAACTCAGTTGCACGCGTGAGGTGCAACTCATATTCGGGCAAATTATTTTTTACAGGAGGCAAAACAGACAAACAATCTAATAATATTTTTTAAGAGCTATATAGAAAGTAACTTTCAAAGTAGGAATAATGTTACATTGACAATAGTAAAGCCCCCCCTATTTTTTTTGGGGGGGGGTCTGCTTTGCAATAGTAAATCGAAAATCTCAACTCTTCCCCAAGGCTTCTGTAAGGTTTTGACAAATCCTCTCTTTTCTGATAGGCTCTGATGGGGTCTTCATTGGATTCTGATTAAAAAACCATTAAGGAAGGAGGGAAAAAATACAGCTGAGCCAGAAAGGTTGTTTTTTTTACTGCAAGTGCTAATTCCAATTTTTAATTGCACATGCAAGGACCTGCAAGGGGGTACCCTTTGTGGACCTGTTTTTGCGTTTTTTAAAAGGATTTTAATAAAGAAAACAGCTTTTTTGAACAAGGTAAAGTTCTTGATTTGGTAAGGGTTTGCTTTGTTTTTTTTGCTTTTGAAAAGCATGCAATCACAATTTAAAACCATTCAACCACAGTTAAAAACAGTAAGGAAGAAGGGAAAAAGAACAGCTAGAGCCAGAAAGGTTGTTTTTTTATTGCGAGTGCTAATTCCAATTTTTAATTGCAAATGCAAGGGCGTGCAGGGGGGTACCCTTTGTGGACCTGTTTTTCGCAATTTTTTAAAAGGATTTTAGTAAAGAAAACAGTTCTTTTGAACAAGGTATTTTGTTTGATTTGGTAAAGGTTTGCTTTGCTTTTTGCTTTTGAAAAGCATGCAATCACAATTTAAAACCATTCAACCACAATTAAAAACACTAAGGAAGAAGGGAAAAATACAGCTGAACTGTAACTGGTTCTGAGTTTTTTTCCTGCATCCATACTAAATCTCAATATTTAATATTGGAAAATCTGATAATTTGGGAATTTTCTGAAAATTATTTGTAGCTATTGCGAATGAACCACATTTATTGCAGATGTTCTGGACCAAGGTTGATGTTTGTAATTTTAAATCAATAAGGCCTAATTTAAAATCAATAGGGGCTGAAAAATCAGATTCTGAAAACTATTTGTAGCTATTGCACGCGCTTTACTATTGTCCATCCAACATTAACCTAATAGATAGGATTTAGTCGAACCAGAACTATTGGGTTACGGGTCTTAGCGTATCTCATGGTTTTTTACTCGTGCCTCATTGGCCCAACTCACGAAAACTCACCCAAACTCACGGTTTTGAAATTCATGACATGCTGCAGTTTCTGCAGCACATGTTGGCGTTCGGATGGGTTCCAGTGCCCTTTTATGTAGGCATTCCCCATCGTACTTTTAGGTGCCTAACACCTTAAAGGGAGCATTATCGGAGCTGCTTCCCATTGTAGTTTTCGGTGCCTAAGACTTTAAAGGTACATGTACCTTTTATGGCCACTTCTACGGATTAAGACCTTAAAAGTAAATACATACCTTAGACTTCGTCTAAGGTAATATATGTATATTTAAATAACACGTAAAATATCAATTCTAGTTTATAGGAATTTTAAATACATACCATGGACATATCCGGTTTTTGTAATGTGGCAAGTGTCTAATGTGGGATATGTCCATGATTTGTTTCACCGTAGCCGAACATTTGATACGTGGGTTTGTCGAAAAAATGGTGAAAGACCAAGTTATGGCAATTTGAAAAGGAAAAAATGATCAACCGTCAATTTTGGGGTATCTTATTTTCCGACAAATTCATTTCTAAACCCTCAAGTTATCTGAAATTACCCACACACAAAATTTGATAGGTATGTTGTATGTTACCCAAAAGTTTGGTATCGTTGCACGTGTTTTTTTGTGGGTGTGCACTTTGAGGGTACACAGGTATTTTAATTGCTGTGCGCAGAATCCTGGTGAAGGGTATAAATCCCGTACACATTGGTTTATTTTCACTTTGTGGACAAGTTTGGGGCTCATAGGAAAGGGCCTCCTTTTGTTATGTTTTTCAATATAGTAGGAGCAAAAGTATGTGTTTCCTGAAATTCCCGCTGGCCTTTACAATCACCAGGACTGACTGGTCGCCCTTGGCAAAATTGTCATTTCAATGTCCATTTGGAATCATTTGGATAGTTTGTCTCTTGGGCATTCGGCAAAATCCCAGGATCTTTGTAAGGCATCTATTTTCCAAAATACTTCTCCCACAATCTGATGCAGATCTATTTCCAAAGAGACTTTTGCCAGCAAAAAATTGAGGAATCCGAAGCCGTCCCAGGCATACCAGCAAGTACTTAGTCGAGGGCTTGGTTGCGGGTGTCACGGGAGAAACGTCGGTACGTGATGAGAGCTCAATTGGCAGGAATGGGCATATAAGCTACATACAAGTGTTTTTTCAATTGTTGATTCTTGTTTGGCACAAGATTCATACTAATTGCCAAGTTTGCGTTGAGGAATTATTCGTTACGAAGTATGGAAATCTCTATTGACCAAGCGTAGAACCACCTCGCAGTAGAGAACCATGTAAATCAAGGCGATGCTCCAAGGAAATCTCCCCTCCAGCTTCCCTCATTTGTAGTGGATAATGATGTGTAGGCATTTGCTTGTGCAGTTACAGCCCTTAATTAACAGATATGTTCAACTGGTTTATTTCATGATGTATAGGTTATAGAACCCATTAGTTACAGGAGTTCCTTCATCCCATTTAAGGCCCATTTATGAGGGCCATAGCTGTGGGAGCACTCCCTGCGTATCCCAACCCTTCTCCGAACCACGGCCTATACGGCCCCACAGCAAGGCGCCACGCCAAGTGTCCTTTGGTTTCAGTCGCAAGAGCTCGCGATGGCCGGCGAATGCCGACCAGAAGCCCGGGCCAGGCTGGTGCGCGATGTGGAGTTTTTTTTTGTGCTTGGTTTGGTGCTTGTGGAGTGGGTCCCAAGTTGTTTTTTCTGGATCGGAAATTTGTCGTTCAAGTGTGTTTAATCTGTGTTTGAAGGGGTCAAACAGGCGTTGAGCAATCCGGATGAAGCATGTGAAGATGGTGGCTTCAAGGGCAACTGTAAGACCAAAGCGAGGAAGGTACAACAGTAGTTGACTAAATTTGGAACCCAGCCACCAAGGGTCTCCAAAGTAGAGAGAAATTATATCAGGACAAAACATATTGCCATGGGCTTTTGAACGGGAAACTAGTTACCATCAATAATATGTTGCTGTTGGGGGATCATCTTAATCCGCGTGCCATGTTGCACGATCGACAAACATTCTACCTCAAAACTTCCAGGAGGAGTTGCAATGACAAATATTCCATTGAATCACAACCCAATGGATTTCCAGTGGTTTGTTTTCCACTTTTGATATCTGATACCACGTGGATACATGACACCTTTGTCCGTCTCAGGAGCGCATAGCGTGGTGAATTTCGAGAGGCTGAGACCGGATGGGGTCAAAGTTTCACTGCAAGGCTACATCCTTGCATCCAGGTTTAGTGAAGTATCCCATTTGCGTGATTTTTTTTTGATACTTCTGTTGTAGATGTTTATGGCTATAAATGACAAATTTGCTGAATTTGGCTTTGAACCATCATGTTGGTTTTCTCAATCTTCCCTCTTTACTAGACTTCAATGATCCGCTATTGCCAGTATGTTTCGCAACATCTTTCCATGATGTTTCCTAATGGTAGTGACTGTTCTTCCTTACTCAAAACCTATCCTAACGTATGTCTCACAAAATCAGAAGTCTCGTTTCTTCAATTCAAGATCCAAAAAAATCGTCAATCCGCAGTCTCGTTCCTCCTATTTAAGATCCAACACGTCGTTAATTCACGAATCCACAACATATTCCTAACATCAATTGCTGCTTGGTGCTTTGGAACATTTTTGTTTTTCCATATATTGGGAATAATCATCCCAACTGACTAATATTTTTCAGAGGGGTAGGTATACCACCAACCAGCCTTCTGTTTGTAGCTTTCCAGCCGTGGCGCGCCGTAGCCAGGTTCAAATACGCCGATCCTGTGCGACACAGCTTCGGCGCCGCACCGCGAGGGCGACCCAATCCCATCAGGCAACGTAGAGGGCTAACGAGTGGATTCAAAAACATGTTATCTGTCTACTAGTCATTACTCCACTACATGTACTATATGTTTATTATTGTTATTATTAGTTCTATGATTTGATAATTATATTTATTTTAGTATAATATTAGTTTTTAATATCTATATATTTATTATATAGAGTAGTATATATGTGAATAACCGACAAAATTATAGCGGAAAACTAAAGAAGTGGGGAGTGGACATGGGATGTTCAAATTTGTGCGAAAACATTCACAACCGATAGGGGACCACCCAGTTGCCGATACCCTATTTTTGCACATAGCATGGAAGTACAAACCTTCACAACCGATAGGGGACCACCCACTTTGGCCATGTCCAATGCGGGTAATAAGTAATTTGTTTGCCACACACATTTATATATATATATAACTATTTTTATTTTCATTGTTTTTTATTTTTATTAATGTTATTTTATGTGTATAGATAAAGAAACACATGATAATGTTCAGCATACAGTTTTTTTTATATATAATTATCTATTAAATATTGCACTTTATAATGTCACCATTTTGTTTGCAGACAGTGATCTATATATTTTACACCAACCATATGCTTTAATATAACCGACAAATTGCAGAAGTCATAATCCCATTAAAAACTGTGACTTGTAAGGGCCACAACTGTAGTAACCCCAAAAACGATACAACACTTTTTCCAAGATGTAATAGATGATATGTTACTTCATGTCTCTAGGCTTCCAACTTTTCTATCTTTTTTGGGGTTGCTGCAATAGTCATTGTCCATTGACAATCATAAGTATGAAGGAAACGAAAACATAATACAGCCCGAGCGCTGGTTAAGAATTCGAAAGCTTGAGGTCCAGGGTCCCTGAAATTCTTATTTTTAAATGCAGGCGAATTTACAGCACAACAGGCCGAGGGTCCTTCAAATTCTTAGGGCATTCTTAGTTATGTATTGCATGCATCTGCACAAGTTGGAGCAAGCTTAAACGAGGTAACAAGGTGGAGTTGGCAGATTTGACAAGAGGCATGCGAAAAAAGGATTTTTTAGAGCCTGAAAAATTGATTTTTGCAAAGCCGGGCTTGTCTGAGTTTCATGAGGGCAGTACGGAAAAAAAACATTTTTTTAGAGCCTGAAAAAATGTTTTTTTTTGTAAAGCCAGGCTAGTATGATTTTTATAAAGTTAGTGCGCAAAAAACAATTTTTGGGAGTCTGAAAAGTTGTTTTTTTGCAAAGCCGGGCTTCTCAAGTTTCATGAGAACAGTGCGGAGAAAAACACATTTTTTTAGAGCCTTATTTTTTTTTATGCAAAGCCATGCTTGTATGAATTTTATAAGGTTAGTGCACCAAAAACATTTTTTCGGAGCTTGAAAAATTGTTTTTCTGCAAAGCCCAATTTCATCCCGTAAGACACGCCAAAAAAATGAACCGCAAAGGGGAAGTGCAAACCTCACGTATAAGCAGTAATTCAAGAATTTGGCAATCCTATTCCAGGGTCCTTCAAATTCTTAAAGAACTATGTGTTTGGTATACCTGAAAATATGTAGCCCGCCTTTGATTCGAGCCCCTCAAATTCTTATACAGTGAATTCTTGTACAATACTCAAGCTGTATTTAATATGGTGATTATCCACTAACAATAATCAACATAGCTTAATGTTTTAACAATAATGCTTTTTTTTAATGGTAATTATCGAACCAAACACTGAATCACAAGGAATGCTCCGCAGGCAGAGTGGCCCAGGGCCAGGAGCCTATGGCATTCAACGCTCCGCGGACGAGGAGCAAGGGCGTGTGGCAAGTCCTTGAGGATAACCTGGGAAGATACGGTGGGTGGAAGGGAATGCTGCACCAAAAGGATGGTTGAACCCCTCTAAATATTGGGATAAACTATTCAAATGGTGCAGGATCTCGCAACCATCCACAGTAGATCTATATACAGATATCAAACCATGTTCAGGATATACATGTATATATGTATGTATATATACACAACACATAGGTTTATAACCGCTGGTAGAAATATGGCAGAACTTTTCAGGATTATGTTTCCCCGGTGCGCGGATGATTAGATGTTATATCATCGTGTACTCTCTGCGAATGTGTTACATTGCTATGGAACATGGCCCATTTAGTTCGATGAATTACCTTTTTCTTCTTTGATGTTTGCTGATAGCTACGTTAAATTACCAGGGGGCATATGGTTTTATACCTACACTACATATTATAAATGACATGTGTGTATATAAAAATATAAGATATATGTATGTATGTATGTATGTATGTATGTATGTATGTATATATGTTCATATTTTATACCCAATAAGTATCCATGCAATATCACCCAATCCAGTTTCGTGGGATAAAATGGGATATAATGGGGATATGTCACATTCATAATCAACCATACCTAATTTATGAACCAACTATAAAGAATTTGTGATCGTGCAGGAGAGTGGCACGTTTAGGTGGATTTGGTGTCTCAGCTTTAGGGTTTCATCGGAATACTTATCTAGTCGTGTGTATTTATTTCTCTACATTATATTTTTTTGTATCATTTTTATTGTTATTATTAGTTATTATTATTAATTACTATTATTTATTATTTATATATATATATTTGATTACTGTGTTTATATATACTATTATACTATTATTATATTATTCTTACTATTATTATTTTTATTATTATTATATATATATATACATAAATAAGTTGATAAAAATAGGTATGTAATTGTATATGTCCAACAGTCTGATAGATTCTGTATTTATACACATATATATACAAATATATATATATATATATATACATACATACATACATACCTAATTAACATGGAATAAATTGGGATAACCAGCCCTAAATCTTACTGGGATACTTCATGTGATTCTTTCACTTGGAGTGTGACAATGTGACATTTGGGTGTGCACGTAGGACATGGTTTGCACGTAGGCATGCACCACCTAATTTGGGAACATCATATTTTCAGACAGACCCATAGTTTATAAACTGGTTGGTGGTTTGGAAGATTTTTGAATAATAACCCCAACTGACGAACTCAGATTTTTCAGAGGGGTAGGTAAACCACCAACCAGTAAATCAAAGTTGGGTACCATTTGGTTCATGTCTTCCCGTGAAATGAAGCAGGAGGGGCCTGCCGTGACGATGGTGGGCAAGTATCGCAAGTCGTGCACCTGGAGCACCGGGAACCAAAAAAAAAAAGCCTAAAATTCATGACCTTAATGGAGTTGTTACCCTCTGGTAAACTAACATGACTATGGAAAATCACAATTTTTAATGTGTAAATCAACTATAAACGGCAATTTTCATTAGCTATGTTCGTTTACCAGAGGATAATGGGAAAATCATGGAACATCATGAATCTTTTTTTTTTCAGCCAGTGTCTACCCGAGGTTCCACAGTAGGCCTAAGGTCCGTCTAATAGACGGGCCTCTGTTGTTCGGAACTCCTGTGGTCCGTGATGCAATACCAAGTGATTATGTCATCAATATTGGAAGGGTACTGTATATATATATATACACATGGATTGAGAATTAGTACAACCTGCTGAGGTTGTCATCATTATATTGCATTATTCCCAATTTACACATATATATATATATATTATAGGTTGTCATTTCAATTCTTGGAATGTTTGGGCTGGTTGGGAATCAATCGACAACCTGCTGAGTTGTGGATATGGTACAGCACCCCATTCCATCCCAGGTTTTACAAATACGGTTTCATACAGTTTCCATTTGATGGCCATAAATAGCCGCCCCCCCATTTTGAGATAAACCGATTGATCCCCAGGCAAAGTGCTGGATGGGTTGTTGGGTTGTTTAGTACTTGTCCAACTCACATGTGACTTAAGGATTATCAGGTCTCAGCCAAAGCAATGCAACCCAGGCCCAGGCAAACATGGATTGGATGGCCATGTTTTTTGGGAGCCATAAAATGAGAGCCCAGCCATTGAAAATTAAACGATGGTGAAAACGACACATGGCAAAACATGGTAAGATTGAGATATACCATACAGTTTGATGAACTCTGAAGCCTTTATGGGTTCTATGCTCTTTGTCATCGGGCAGCACGATTTTTCATCACCTGAGGCGCGGTGTCCTGAATTACGACGAACCAGGTGTGGCATGTGTTTAAAACCACCCATGTTTAAAAACGGCAACATACCCGCTTTCGGTTGCACACATGTGTAGGAAATACTTGTTTGAATGATTTAGGTCTTGTTCATCAATACATCTTTGCATCTATAGACCATACATCTCTACATCTACACAACTATACATACACATACGTACATATACTATAATATGCATATACATATTACATATACACATGATATTGCATATACATATACATATACACATTTACATGTACATATACATATACACATTTGCATACACATTTACATAAACAAACATTTATATATATATGTATATATATATATTTATTGAAGTATATACATATATATATATATATATGTATATACATATATATATAAATACATTATATGTATACGTATGTATATATATATATATGTATACATACTGTGTATATATGTTTACATATAGATACATGTACGCATTGCACCTGGGTATCCCTGGTGTGTGCCCGATGCTTGGTAGCCTTCAGTCACGCCAGTGCTCAGCCATCCCAAGGCTTAGCTCAGCTGTGACTCATGGGATCATGTACCTTGAGCCGTTTCTGCCAGTGGCACCTGAATAATGGCACTTCCAACTATCATTTTTTGCAGATATGGCACAGTTTTAGTTTTTTGTTTACTACATTAGTTTCTGAAGAAGTAAGAACGATTGTAATTCAATTGATTTGAGGAGTATTGATAAAACATAACCAATCAACGACGACACTAACAACGATGATAATAGTAATATAAAAACAACAACAGCAACAACAACAACAACCAACAACAACAACAACAACAACAACAACAAGCAACAACAACAATAACAACAATAACAACAACAACAACAACAACAACAGCAGCAGCAGCAGCAACAGCAACAGCAACAACAGCAACGACCGCAACGACAGCAACGACAGCAGCAACAACAACAACAACATCAACAACCGCAACAACCGCAACAACAACAGCAACAACAACAACAACGGCAACGACGGCAACGACGGCAACAACGGCAACAACGGCAGCAACGGCAGCAACGGCAGCAACAGCAGCAACAACAACAACAACAGCAACAACGGCAACAGCGGCAGCAATGGCAGCAACAGCAACAACAGCAACAACAGCAACAAGAGCAACAACAGCAACAACAACAACAACAGCAACAACCGCAACAACGGCAACAGCGGCAGCAATGGCAGCAACAGCAACAACAGCAACAACAGCAACAACAGCAACAACAGCAACAACAACAACAGCAACAACAGCAACAGCGGCAACAACAGCAACAACAGCAACAACAACAACAACAGCAGCAACAACAGCAGCAACAACAGCAACAACAGCAACAACAACCACAACCACAACCACAACGACAACAACAACAACAACGGCCAACAACAACAACAACAAGAAGAAAAACAACAAACAACAACAACAACAACAACACTAACAACAACAAGAACGGCAACAACGGAAACAACAGCAACAATGGCAACCACGGCAGCAACGGCAGCAACAACAACCACAACAACAACCAACAACGAACAACAAACAACAAAGAACGAACAACAAACAATGAACAACAAACAACCACAATCACAGCCATCTCCAGGCCCAGGAGCCTATGAGCCCACCATGGTACGGACCCTGTGACCTCGAAAAATGGCGCTTGAACCATCAAAAAAATATGTTTTTACCATGACAAATCGTAATTTAACCAGCAAAAACGGGGTTTAACTCATAACCAGAGAACTACATGGTGACTTGCCCAACAGATATTGCACTTTGGGATGTTTTGCGCTTCTGATAGAGATTTGTTGAGGTTTCATGAGGAACATCTGTGAGAAACATCTAGGTTTCAATCCTGATGCTGGAGAATTCACCATGACAGCTGGTGACAGTAAAATCATGTGGAGTGAATGATGCTGGATTGTCAGTGGCACCCATGCACTTACTGCAATTACCAGCAGTTTTCCTTGCAATATCAGGTTCATTTGTTTCATAGTTTCCTTTGGGAGGCTGTCAAGATTGCAGAGAAGCACACATGGATCATGACCTTTTTGTTAAACACACATTCATATAGACAGATAGACAGATAGACAGATAAACAGACAGTCAGCCTGATTTCACCTTCTTTTCAGCAACCCACCCCCCTTATGCCTTTCATGGTTTGCTGCTTTACTTGGGCCCTGGTTATGGACTTGGTGTTCGATGCAGATGGAGATGCTAAGCAGACCCATCAAAACTGATCAGTTAACTGTTCAACGCCCAATCAGAACTCTCAAACCAACCAAATTTAATCACTTCGAGCATTGGCTTGAAGATGTTTCAAAATTCAAGACCAGTTTTGCATTGAACCACCATATTCTGCTGAGATTTGGAGGCTTTGTTTAGGGGCCACCGTGCCGCCAATTCTCAGGTCCTGTGTGGCCCATCAGCGCCCTCCGTGGGTTTTGCCACCTCCTTGCGACAGGCGCCACCTCCGTGGTTCTTGGGACGTTGTGGCGCCACAATGGGTGAAAAGTGTGGTGAAATACAACAGGTTTCATGGTTTATATATATCTAGCCTGATCCAAGTTAATCCTTAATGATTACCCGGTTTACGGATTAGCGGTTTACGGATTAGCCCGCGGACCGGGGCACAGGTTCCACATTAAGTATTTAAAATTAAAGGTTTTGGGGCGTTCTTTCTTTCAAACAGCATTTACCTTTCGGCCTCAGCAAATCCAAACCCCCCGGAAGCCGAAATCAGGCCGAAAGTGATGAAAAGGGGTTTGGCGGTGGACCTGCCAGAGCAAACCCCTTTTAAGCAGAAATCAGGCCGAAAGTGCTTAAAAGGGGTTTGGCGGTGGACCTGCCAGAGCAAACCCCTTTTAAGCAGAAATCAGGCCGAAAGTGCTTAAAAGGGTTTGGCGGTGGACTTGCCAGAGCAAACCCCTTTTAAGCAGAAATCAGGCCGAAAGTGCTTAAAAGGGCTTTGGCGGTGGACTTGCCAGAGCAAACCCCCTTTTAAGCAGAAATCAGGCCGAAAGTGCTTAAAAGGGCTTTGGCGGTGGACTTGCCAGAGCAAACCCCTTTTAGCAAAATCAGGCCCGAAAGTTGCTTAAAAGGGGTTTGGCGGTGGAACTTTGCCAGAGTCAAACCCCTTTTAAGGCAAGCAATCAGGGCCGAAAGTGGCTTAAAAGGGTTTGGCAGTGGACTTGCCAGAGCAAACCCCTTTTAAGCAGAAATCAGGCCGAAAGTGCTTAAAAGGGGTTTGGCGGTGGACTTGCCAGAGCAAACCCCTTTTAAGCAGAAATCAGGCCGAAAGTGCTTAAAAGGGCTTTGGCGGTGGACTTGCCAGAGCAAACCCCTTTTAAGCAGAATCAGGCCGAAAGTGCTTAAAAGGGCTTTGGCGGTGGACTTGCCAGAGCAAACCCCTTTTAAGCAGAAATCAGGCCGAAAGTGCTTAAAAGGGCTTTGGCGGTGGACTTGCCAAGCAAACCCCTTTTAAGCAAAAATCATCAGGCCGAAAGTGCTTAAAAGGGCTTTGGCGGTGGACTTGCCAGAGCAAACCCCTTTTAAGCAGAAATCAGGCCGAAAGTGCTTAAAAGGCTTTGGCGGTGACTTGCCAGAGCAAAACCCCTTTTAAGCAAAATCAGGCGACAAAGTGCTTAAAGGGCTTTGGCGGTGGACTTGCCAGAGCAAACCCCTTTTAAGCAGAAATCAGGCCGAACGTGCTTAAAAGGGCTTTGGCGGTGGACTTGCCAGAGCAAACCCCTTTTAAGCAGAAATCAGGCCGAAAGTGCTTAAAAGGGCTTTGGCGGTGGACTTGCCAGAGCAAACCCCTTTTAAGCAGAAATCAGGCCGAAAGTGCTTAAAAGGGCTTTGGCGGTGGACTTGCCAGAGCAAACCCCTTTTAAGCAGAAAGCAAGCCGAAAGTGCTTAAAAGGGCTTTGGCGGTGGACTTGCCAGAGCAAACCCCTTTTAAGCAGAAAGCAGACAGAAAGTGCTTAAAAGGGCTTTGGCGGTGGACTTGCCAGAGCAAACCCCTTTTAAGCAGAAATCAGGCCGAAAGTGCTTAAAAGGGCTTTGGCGGTGGACTTGCCAGAGCAAACCCCTTTTAAGCAGAAATCAGGCCGAAAGTGCTTAAAAGGGCTTTGGCGGTGGACTTGCCAGAGCAAAACCCTTTTAAGCAGAAATCAGGCCGAAAGTGCTTAAAAGGGCTTTGGCGGTGGACTTGCCACAGCAAACCCCTTTTAAGCAGAAACCAGGCCGAAAGTGCTTAAAAGGGGTTTGGCGGTGGACTTGCCAGACCAAACCCCTTTTAAGCAGAAATCAGGCCGAAAGTGCTTAAAAGGGCTTTGGCGGTAGACTTGCCAGAGCAAACCCCTTTTAAGCAGAAATCAGGCCGAAAGTGCTTAAAAGGGCTTTGGCGGTGGACTTGCCAGAGCAAACCCCTTTTAAGCAGAAATCAGGCCGAAAGTGCTGAAAAGGGGTTTGGCGGTGGACTTGCCAGAGCAAAACCCTTTTAAGCAGAAATCAGGCCGAAAGTGCTTAAAAGGGCTTTGGCGGTGGACTTGCCAGAGCAAACCCCTTTTAAGCAGAAATCAGGCCGAAAGTGCTTAAAAGGGCTTTGGCGGTGGACTTGCCAGAGCAAACCCCTTTTAAGCAGAAAGCAGGCCGAAAGTGCTTAAAAGGGTTTTAGCGGTGGACTTGCCAGAGCAAACCCCGTTTAAGCAGAAATCAGGCCGAAAGTGCTTAAAAGGGGTTTGGCGGTGGACTTGCCAGAGCAAACCCCTTTTAAGCAGAAATCAGGCCGAAAATGCTTAAACGGGGTTTGGCGGTGGACTTGCCAGAGCAAACCCCTTTTAAGCAGAAATCAGGCCGAAAGTGCTTAAAAGGGCTTTGGCGGTGGACTTGCCAAGCAAACCCACCCCTTTTAAGCAGAATCATGGCCGAAAGTGCTTTAAAGGGCTTTGGCGGTGGACTTGCCAGAGCACACCCCCTTTTTAAGCAAAATCAAGAAGCCGAAAGTGCTTAAAAAAGTGCTTTTTGGGCGTAAACGCCAGAGCAACCCCTTTTAAGCAGAATCAGCCGAAGGCTAAAGGGCTTTTGGCGTGGGCTTGCCAGAGCAAACCCCTTTAAGCAGAAATCAAGCCGAAAGTGCTTAAAAAGGGCTTGGTTGGCGGTAAACAGGCCGAGCAAAACCCCTTTAAGCAGAAATCCAGCGAAAGTGCTTAAGGGCTTTGGGCGGTGGACTTGCCAGAGCAACCCCTTTTAAGCTTCATAAATGAGCCGAAAGTGCCTTAAAAGGGCTTTGGCGGTGGACTTGCCAGAGCAAACCCCTTTTAAGCAGAAATCAGGCCGAAAGTGCTTAAAAGGATTTTGGCGGTGGTCTTGCCAGAGCAAACCTCTGTTAAGCAGAAATCAGGCCGAAAGTGCTTAAAAGGGCTTTGGCGGTGGACTTGCCAGAGCAAACCCCTCTTAAGCAGAAACCAGGCCGAAAGTGCTTAAAAGGGGTTTGGCGGTGGACTTGCCAGACCAAACCCCTTTTAAGCAGAAATCAGGCCGAAAGTGCTTAAAAGGGCTTTGGCGGTGGACTTGCCAGAGCAAACCCCTTTTAAGCAGAAATCAGGCCGAAAGTGCTTAAAAGGGCTTTGGCGGTGGACTTGCCAGAGCAAAGCCCTTTTAAGCAGAAATCAGGCCGAAAGTGCTTAGAAGGGGTTTGCGGTGACTTTCCAGACAAACCACTTTTAAGCAGAAATTCAGGCCCGAAAGTGTTGAAAAGGGGTCTGGCGTTTGACTTGCCAAGCAAAACCCCCTTTTAACAGAATCAGGCCCGAACGTGTTAACAAGGGCTTTGGCGGTGGACTTGCCAAGCAAAAAAAACCCCTTTAAGCAGAAATCCGGCGAAAGTGCTTAAAAGGGTTTTAGCGGTGGACTTGCCAGAGCAAACCCCTTTTAAGCAGAAATCAGGCCGAAAGTGCTTAAAAGGGGTTTGGCGGTGGACTTGCCAGAGCAAACCCCTTTTAAGCAGAAATCAGGCCGAAAGTGCTTACAAGGGCTTTGGCGGTGGACTTGCCAGAGCAAACCCCTTTTAAGCAGAAATCAGGCCGAAAGTGCTTAAAAGGGCTTTGGCGGTGGACTTGCCAGAGCAAACCCCTTTTCTTGCCAGAGCAAACCCTTTTTAAGCAGAAATCAGGCCGAAAGTGCTTAAAAGGGCTCTGGCGGTGGACTTGCCAGAGCAAACCCCTTTTAAGAGCAGGAGGTAACTGTAGGTAGATAGTCAGAGAAACAGAGAGAAATAGTTAGAGAGATCAATCACCTTTCGCTCCATCAGTGGCTTCGCTCTGCCAACCCTGATTCACAACAACCAACCTCTCCTATAGGTTTCCTATTTTTGAAACTTCCGCCTCCGCCATGCGCGGTACTACTGGTATCGCTTGATTTCCATTCCGTGATCTTTGCAAGATTTATCGCCGCTCCTGAAAAAAATTAACAGTCTTTCAGTGGTCCACCCGACCGACATCTTGTTGACCACACAAGAGCCAGTTTGCTGCAACGAAGAAGTGGGCGGATAAACAAAAAACCAGAAATTAATTTCAGTGTATATAGTCTCTCTCCTACATTTGGTTTACATTACCGTTGACAAACACTGACCATCTTTCAATGGCGCACTGGATCGATATCTTGTTGACCACTGAAGGGCCAAGCTGCTAGGACAGAGGAGTCAAAAAAGATCTGGATGAAATTCAGTGTAAAATATCTCCTACAATTTTCTCAGAGGGTAATTTCAGCCGGTTCCGATTTCTAGTCTATCGCCTCACTTGTCCCCTCAAAATTGACCATGATTCAATGGTTCAGAAGGCCAAGCCAACCGCCATACAAGGCACTTGTGGGAACTGCACAGAAACTTCGGTGGAAAACTCGTCGATCCACTGTGTCTTTGCGTCTGATGCCTGCGGCCCGGTAGCTTGAAAAAACGAACCGTGAAAAAATACCATGTTGACCTCGGATTATGAGTTGCAAAGGGTGAGCGGCATGGAGAAGCTAAATAGGGTTATATCTGGAATATTGGTGGGAATGCAATGTCAAAGCTAGAGTCGCTCAGGAAGCCGTGAGCAATAGCTCGTCAAGAATGATAACTATGGTCTGAAAACCTGCTTGTTGTTTGATGAAAAAGGAAATAGTTGAAATATACGGAGGTTACGGCAATGGCGGCCGCGAGTGTCAGGTCGGTAAACTATATGATGGCTGTCTCACGTTTTAGGCCCAAGTCAGATAAATGACTTGTGCTCGGACTCTTCGGCTGCAAAACGGAGAGCCTGGGAGAGGGGTTTGTTCTTCTCTCTCTCTCTGCTTTTGCCTTCTCTTTGTACTCACCCTTGGCCTTGCAAACCAAATTGCACAATTCCCTTCTCACATTTGCGAGTCAAACCCTCTTCTCGGAAATACTTCGTGCAAGGTGAAGGATCTGACATGTAAAGTCTGTAATGCAGACAGAACAAAAAAAAGTTCTTTCGATCTGACATGTAATGTGACGGATAGTTTGAGATACTTTGTGAAATTCCGCATCACAAATCTGTCCACATCACTAGCTGCAAAAAAAAGAAGAAAAATGGATTCTGCTAAAGTAAGTGGAGCAGATTGCGCGCCCAGGCACTTGGTCATCCATGGCTTTCCAAAGTGCAGCACCATCTTTCGGCCCCACTTTTCGCTCTTTCAGCATCCACTGAAAGGCATTCAAACCGCCCATCTTCGGTCCAGTTCGGCGGGGTTTGGCGCTGGACAAGGTTGAGCCAAAGCTGCTTTGACACCACTGCAATCATGCAAGCCCAGATCTTCAATCCAGAGCAAACAATCATAACACTGGCTGCACGTTGTTTTCCGTAACTAGACAATCGGACTAGAAAGTAATGGACACACACAGTAAAACACTTACGCTTGTAACTTGTCCAATTCGAAAAGCTTGCTTTTCCAAATCTCCCTCATGGTCAAATGTACACGTGTCCCGCAAGAACACTGGTGTTGTCTCAGATAAACCATAGTTATACGTTTGGTGATATGTATTATGTATGTATAAACTGCCACACTTCTATTCAATTTCATACCGTGCCAGAATGAATCAACAATTTGAGTCGTTGGAACTGCAAAGGCTGCATCGGAAAATCCATTGGTCCCGTAGAGTACAAATGCACCATTTGCTCTGGCAAGTCCACCGCCAAAGCCCTTTTAAGCACTTTCGGCCTGATTTCTGCTTAAAAGGGGTTTGCTCTGGCAAGTCCACCGCCAAAGCCCTTTTAATCACTTTCGGCCTGATTTCTGCTGAAAAGGGGTTTGCTCTGGCAAGTCCACCGCCAAAGCCCGTTTAAGCACTTTCGGCCTGATTTCTGCTTAAAAGGGGTTTGCTCTGGCAAGTCCACCGCCAAAGCCCTTTTAAGCACTTTCGGCCTGATTTCTGCTTAAAAGGGGTTTGCTCTGGCAAGTCCACCGCCAAAGCCCTTTTAAGCACTTTCGGCCTGATTTCTGCTTAAAAGGGGTTTGCTCTGGCAGGTCCACCGGCAAACCCCTTTTAAACACTTTCGGCTGATTTCTGCTAAAAAGGGCTTTGCTCTGGCAAGTCCACCGCCAAAGCCCTTTTAAGCACTTTCGGCCTGATTTCTGCTTAAAAGGGCTTTGCTCTGGCAAGTCCACCGCCAAAGCCCTTTTAAGCACTTTCGGCCTGATTTCTGCTTAAAAGGGGTTTGCTCTGGCAAGTCCAAAACCACCCCAAACCGCCAAAGCCCTGTTTAAGCATTACTTTTCGGGCCTGATTTCTGCCTTCAAGGGGTTTTGCTCTTGGCAGTCCACAACCGCCAAAGCCCTTTTAAGCACTTTCGGCCTGATTTCTGCTTAAAAGGGGTTTGCTCTGGCAAGTCCACCGCCAAAGCCCTTTTAAGCACTTTCGGCCTCATTTCTGCTTAAAAGGGGTTTGCTCTGGCAAGTCCACCGCCAAAGCCCTTTTAAGCACTTTCGGCCTCATTTCTGCTTAAAAGGGGTTTGCTCTGGCAAGTCCACCGCCAAATCCCTTTTAAGCACTTTCGGCCTGATTTCTGCTTAAAAGGGGTTTGCTCTGGCAATTCCACCGCCAAAGCCCTTTTAAGCACTTTCGGCCTGATTTCTGCTTAAAAGGGGTTTGCTCTGGCAAGTCCACCGCCAAAAGCCCTTTTAAGCACTTTCGGCCTGATTTCTGCTTAAAAGGGCTTTGCTCTGGCAAGTCCACCGCCAAAGCCCTTTTAAGCACTTTCGGGCGGATTTCTGCTAGAAAGGGCTTTGCTCTGGCAGGTCCACCGCCAAAGCCCTTTTAAGCACTTTCGGCCTGATTTCTGCTAAAAAGGGCTTTGCTCTGGCAAGTCCACCGCCAAAGCCCTTTTAAGCACTTTCGGCCTGATTTCTGCTAAAAAGGGCTTTGCTCTGGCAAGTCCACCGCCAAAGCCCTTTTAAGCACTTTCGGCCTGATTTCTGCTAAAAAAGGCTTTGCTCTGGCAAGTCCACCGGCAAACCCCTTTTAAGCACTTTCGGCCTGATTTCTGCTTAAAAGGGCTTTGCTCTGGCAAGTCCACCGCCAAAGCCCTTTTAAGCACTTTCGCGCTGATTTCTGCTTAAAAGGGGTTTGCTCTGGCAAGTCCACCGCCAAAGCCCTTTTAAGCACTTTCGGCCCGATTTCTGCTTAAAAGGGCTTTGCTCTGGCAAGTCCACCGCCAAAGCCCTTTTAAGCACTTTCGGCCTGATTTCTGCTTAAAAGGGCTTTGCTCTGGCAAGTCCACCGCCAAAGCCCTTTTAAGCACTTTCGGCCTGATTTCTGCTTAAAAGGGCTTTGCTCTGGCAAGTCCACCGCCAAAGCCCTTTTAAGCACTTTCGGCCTGATTTCTGCTTAAAAGGGGTTTGCTCTGGCAAGTCCACCGCCAAAGCCCTTTTAAGCACTTTCGGCCTGATTTCTGCTTAAAAGGGGTTTGCTCTGGCAGGTCCACCGCCAAAGCCCTTTTAAGCACTTTCGGCCTGATTTCTGCTTAAAAGGGGTTTGCTCTGGCAGGTCCACCGGCAAACCCCTTTTAAGCACTTTCGGCTTGATTTCTGCTTCCCGGGGGTTTGGATTTGCTGAGGCGGAAAGGTAAATGGTGTTTGAAAGAAAGAAGGCCCCAAAACCTTTAATTTTAAATACTTAATGTAGAACCTGTGCCCCGGTCCGCGGGCTAATCCGTAAACCGGGTAATCATTAAGGATTAACTTGGATCAGGCTAGGATAGTAAAGGGTGGTCGAAAAGTTCGAGTGATTCAGAATGCTTTGATTCCTTTGGAGAGCGTGTTCAACTGTTGTGAACTGGAACACGCCTACCTGGATCGATAGTACAGCAGCGGAAACTGTCAAATTACAATTCTATAAGCGCAAGAGTCAGCTAAAACCTGATCTCTGTCCACCCAGTCCTGTGTGAAGAGAAGCAGATGTATGAACGTTTATTTGGTGGCACGGAAGTCTTGCTCTGATGCTGCCATGACTTTCAAACAGGAAGCCAACGGCACCTTTTGGAGAGCATGTTCAACTGTTGTGAACTGGAAGACAGCCTACCTGGATTGACAGAAGTGGAAACTGTCCATGCTGGCAGAATCCACTTACGAAAGCTTCAACAACACGTTTCTCCCTTTCACCTTGGAGGCTAAAGGCACTGAGGCCTGCTACTTCCAGCCGGGCCAAGATTTCCGTCTCACTAGAATTCTCACAATGTGCATGCAGGGGCAGCGTTCTTTTCAGACAGCAAATTGAAGACCTGTCAGGTCTGTCTAGGCCTGGTGAAATTACAATTCTATGAGAGAAAGACTCAGCTTAAACCTGATCTCTGTCCACCCAGTCCTCTGTGAAGAGAAGCAGCTGTATGAATGTTCATTTCGTGACACTGAAGTCTTGCTTTGATGCTGCTATCCTGGTCTGGCAGGAACCCAACGTGAATCTTTGGGACCTCATCAATCAATGAAATGAGTGTCGGGGACCGATGCACTACGATGTTACAGCCAATCGTGCAGCTAGAAGTTCTCCTAGCACTGCTACATTGAGTGCATTGGCAAAAGTAGCATGAATTGCACTGTCTCGATCATCGCCGTGAATGAACTTGGTCCTGCGATGCCAACAACATTGGGAGCTCTTCTGCGTTAGCTCAAGGAGCCTTGGTTACTTGAGTAACACACAACCACCGCCCACAGTTAAAGCCCATGTCCATGTGAACGGCCAGGAGCTACAAATGATTGGGAGAAATGCACATTGCGAAAGTCCGTAAAACTACCAGCGACAAGGGCTTCAGAAAATCAAAGTGAACCTGTCGGTCCTCCCTGCAGCTGTGATGGTGCGGACACCTCATATGCAACACCCTCAAATATCCTCAACTTTGACACTCGGGGGTGATTATCTGCACCCATGACTGAAATTAGAAGGTGAAGGATACAAGAAGGACGGGTTTCTTTAACATCGTTGAAAATATCACCCAATATCACCCAACACTTTCTCGGCTGCCCATGAGGAGACGAAAACACTGCTACGTGGGTGGTAATGCCCCGTAACAAGCCTAAAATAGTGAAATCAATGACTATTAAAATTCGCACTATGAATACACTGGGGGTAGATTCATCCTGGGTCAACATGATGTAATTGTCTCAAGGCAGCTCTATCTGTTCTTTGCCGGCCCCGTTCATATTAGCTCATATTAGAATCCGTCGTAAAAACCCTTTCGGTCCTTTCGCCTCTTTTCATGTGAATCGAGAACGCAAACGCAAATGTGAATGCAACCTGCTAATTGTATGGTTTTCCCCGCCTGCCAGGTGAGGGTCTCACTAGATTATTGATAATTTGATAATCATTCGATTTTTCAATATTTTTCAATTATCTGAAATTATCTGCAAAACCGATCTTTCAATTTGCTCACGAGTTTCCAAGGCATCCCGGATCTCGTCCAAGACTTCCTGGATTGAAGCCAGGGATACAGTCATCGGCTTGCCACGGCTTTCGCTTTCCTGTCTTTGCCAATCACCTACAAGCAAAACAAGAATCAACAAGAATCAACAAGAATAAACAAGAATCAAGATGCAAGATGCTCCGAAGCAACAAACTCAAAACGTAAAACGATGTAAGAACATGTAATAAATTGTAATAAATTGTAATAACGTGATGTGAACAAAATGTCTTCCTATTGTTTTCTTGCTGTGCATCGAAACCCTGGACTTGGAGAATCTGCTTTGAGGCCAGAGATGGCCTAGGGACATCTAGGGACTAGAGTAGCCCATTGTCGAAATATATCTACTCTATTCTACTCTAGTCCCCAGGTGTATTTCGATCTTTCGACACATTTCGATCAGAAACCACACTATTGAAAGATTCGGATTGGTGTGGTTTCGTTTATGCAATCTTGTCACATCTTGTCACATCTTGTCACAGCCCGACCTTCTTCACTGAGAAGCTCTTTCAAGCTGGGCACCGCTACAGGATGCAGAACAGCTGCTACTTCAGGCATATCTGCAACAATCTCACCTTTCACTGGCGCCATCATCAGCTGGACGCCTTCTTTTGGAGTGTTTTCCTGGCAAACTGAAAAATGAAAAATCAGATCAACATGTCGAAATAGACCATTTTTGATGCAGACAAATAAATTTAAGAAAACTCGTAGAAGTTCCTTTTGCTTGATTCAGATATGTTCAAAACATCAAGCCATATCAAGCCCTGCGAGTCTTTCCGCGTGGATGGGTTTCGCGTCGTGACGCAGTCGGGGCCGTACACGACCAAACGTAACAAACGTAGCAAAATAAATCAAACATATGTACAACACAATATATACTAATACAATCCTATCAACATATCGTGTATATAATCTATATTCATGAATGCGATAGTCATATGCGGATATACGTATAATATTATCACAAAACAGTGCCTTTTTTGGCAGCGTTGGCATTGAAGACCTGGAAGGGAGCTGGAAATAGCGATCCGCAATTATCTCACTAAGCATGGTGTCAGGCTGCAGCTGGGTCGGATCTTCTGCAAACGGCCCTGAAACTCAGCGATGTAGTTTTCTCGTGTTATCTGGTGTTACTATTTACCGAATATACATGGTAACACCGTGACATGGGATTTTTTGTTGTGATCTATTCAATTGTTTTTTGTGTGCCAATGCACTGGGGTGATGCCCATGAAACAGTACACGCGTCATCTACGTTGAATGCTGTAGAACTGACTGCAATGGCACCAAACATACCTCCACCCCCAAACCAGTGGTAGAGCTATTGTTGGCACAGTCACAGCTCTTCTCCAGTTTACATTCATGAGTCATCATTAAGAAATCTAAGAAATCAATAAACAAGGTTTGCGCTTCCCTAATTACAAAGTATTACCGCTCATGAAGCGACCATGTTGGCCACTGGTACTACTACAAATGAGCCATAGCAAAATGACTTGTGAAGCATCCATGGTAGTAGCAAGATTGGAGAGAATGTCGAGGTGACTGTCCAGCTTGGGGGGAGGTGCAAGTAGTATAACGTGAAATCATGTGTTCATATGTTTTATTGCTTTCTTCACATGTTCATTGTTATTCATGTTTTCTGTCTCTCCACAAACTTTGCTGATGTACAAACACCTCCAGCTACAAGAAACTAACATTCGTGGTGTGTGACACATGCTGAAAGACCTAAAGAATTTCTCAAAAACTGTCAAACCGACGACATGCTGGTACCTCAGCATGATACATCGATTGACCATCATATCGCTGCCCAAAAAGACTTTTACCGAAGTACACATGGATCCAACTACCAAGAGAACTAAAATCGCAATGCTTTTCAACACCCTCCACTTCAAACAAATATAGACATAAGTAGACTACAAAGTACAAAACTGCAAGATCTCGGTTCACAAAAAGGCCTTTACCAAAGAGGCCTGTAAGCAACTCAAATGGCTGAGGGTTTCAAGCACGTCTTGCAATGTACAGAAACGCACCGGGTCCGCACTGCAACACTGCAGCTTCATGTTCAGTTCATGTTCAGTTCATGATGTTTCAGTATGTTTCATGCGCTTTCGATGGTCTGACCATGGCTGTTTGAAGACCGGTCTGCGAAACGCACTAGTGCCGCGTATTATGCCTCTTGTTATGCCTCTTATGCCGTGTATCAAGCCGTTTCAAGCCATGCTCCTCCAAATTCTTCGAAGCTAAATGAGGAGCTGGGTCTCTTGGTTGGAAGGTGCCAAGGTCTGAATCATCTCCTGACACTGCGCAACTCAGAGCGTCTCAGTACCTTTAAATGATTTCCAAAAGGCAGAGCCATGGACAAAGCTGTGACAAGGCGGCTCAGGCCCCAACTAAGTAGTTTTGCCTTCGAAAGTTTTGCATTTGGAGCCTTTGGAGCCATTGGAGCCATTGGAGCTGTCTTTGTGTCAACGACAATCTCCCCTTTGGCACCGTTGCTTTCTCCCATCCGCCAGCGCATGTAACCTTCATGGCAACTAAAAGATGTATCGATACAAATCAATAGAGTTTAAATGTCAATGCAAGTGAACAAACATGCAGAAACGTGAAAAAAACACTCACGCACTCACGCACACAGAAAAATAAGCCCAGCTAATCAACAACAAAGGAAGTAGGAAAGTGTGACATCATCCAGTTTGCGCCTACTTGACTGTACCTGTCTTGTGCTTTGTACGCTGGAAACCTCCAAAACCACCTATCAGTTATCAGTGACCTGCACCTGCACCGGATCACACATGAGAACCTCCGATCACAGAAGCACCTAGAACGACCCAGAGCCAATCACACCGGAATCACGCAGAACAATTGCCCAGAACCTGTGAGAAGCCACACCGGAACTGTCTGGAAAGCCCAAAACCTCCACAACCACATGCAACTAGTGACTACTAGTGGAGCCCGCACCGAAACCTCTCGAACCCGCAACCATCCTGGAACCCCACACCAGAAGCCGAACAAAACAGCTAACGCTGTTGGGGAAGAAAAATCTTCTAAAAAATGCAACACAATGGTATGACATGGTTATGGTCCTCCTGCCCAATTTCAAGGCAGTATACGGCAGTCGAAAATACCTTTTTTTTTTTTGCTTCGTGATGCTCGTGCACATGTCATGCACATTTTATGCCCCCTATCACCTTCTCGCCACTCGAGGTACTTCTCGTAGGCACCAACCTTCTTCAATCGCTCTGTGAGGTCTGGCCAGCTGGACACACCAGCACCAGGACCAAAACCATAAGGGCCATAATCCTCCTCAAGGAACATCAGGAAGCCGCAGGAAGCCATGAACATGATGAACATGTCATGATGATGCCATGATTTACATGTCTGCACCGTATGCACCGTGCAAGGGGGTGATACACTTTGAGAACTCCACCGCTTGCATCTGAGACTTGCTTTTCTGTCTGGGGTTAAATTACACTGCAAGTCACGAAGCGTCGTCTGATTGGGGCATATTGTGGCTCTTGGGATTCGCAGCACATTTTGGTAGAGACGCATTTGCAGGGCGCTGCAAGGATTCACACCCCTACAAGAATCGTAAATTGTCCCTTGTCTTTGGCTGCGCTCCGTTCATAATTAGAGCTGGAAAAAAAGAACATTACTAGTCCTGCTTTCCATAAAGAAGGCTTGGACTACGCATGACCATACTGCATTCACAAAAAAGCGTGTCTTATGATACAGGGGGTTCAAAATCCAAAACCGGACTCTCAAGTGGAAATGCACGCAGTGTATATGTTCATGCTCTACCAACTCAGAATCTTTCCAATTCTTTCCAAAACAGCCGGCAAAATCGGCAAAGGAAAACGTCACGTCGTCCAGTGTCGTCCAGTGTCGTCCTTCACATGTTTGACCAACGACTCATCAGCCGAGACCAGGGCAGGCAGCACTGCCCGCACACCCATCAAGGCTGCCACCACTCTCCCCTGCCTCGTTTTCTGATGTTCTAACACACAGAGAATATACTTTCTCAATCTGTCAGAGAACATATGAGTCATACGAATTCATACGAATTCATACGAGTCATATGGGAACATATTCATCACATATTCATCACATATTCATCACATATTCAATGCTGTAACATGCTGTATCCATGCGGCCTTACGTGCCCTGTATGCGCATGTGGTACCCTGTCACACGTCGCGTCACACGTCAACTTGGAGCAGCACAGCAGGTCACGCGCATCAACGGGAAGGACACACCTTGCCACGCTCGTTGCGCTCCCTAAAACCATTGAAATATATCTATTGTATCATGGTTGATGATGTTTGATGTCCGAATACATCATATATCTGGTGCGTTTGCACGTTTGATAAGTTGAAACATGTTGAAAGAGGTTTTACTCGGAAAAACTCAGAACACGCAAACTACTGAATCCTACTGAATTGGGTTGGACAGGAGACCTGAAACACAACGACAATTTCCCACGATAGACGATAGAATGACGATAGAATGACGATAGAATGACGATAGTGATTACACTGATTACACTGCCAGATGAATAGCACAGAGTCACGTCTCCACCAGGACCACCAGCAGGCCTCGACCCGGGGAAACGTCTCCAATCGCGTTTTTGAGATGTCTGTTCTGTCTGTTTTTTTGAGAGTCTGTTTTGTCACTTTGTTTGGTAATGTTTCATCAGTTTGATATCAGTAATCCTTCCACCTCTTCCCTTCTGTTAGCCTTCTTTGAGTGCCTTCAAAACCTTCAGTGCCAGGATGTGCCAAGTCATGGGATCTCAGGCCAAGCGACATGCCCACATGCAAGATGTGATTGTCGCAGAGAGCTGCAACACTCCACCAGGTCCAGTGGAGGAAAGAAATTTGATGGCTGTGAATGCCGCGCAGAAACCAGCCTGCAATGCATTGCAATGCAGTGACAAAATGACACACAAATACGAGACACATACAAATACAGGTATTTCAATCAAGATATGAACACATGGAAATACCTGGACTTGTTGTGATTCAGTGAAACACTCAGACAGAAACACCGTGAAACATTTGACGATATCTCAAATTCTCCCTCGTAGATTCTCAGGGCTGCGCATATGCATAGGGCCCACCCCTGAAGTTCACCAAGGTGGAGAGAAACGTCCAACCGAGGATGATCAAAAGCGTCACCACGATAGACAAGTCCCATGTTCCAGGAAGGTCCCTGGACCAAATGCAAAGCGTTCTCAACACGCTGCCGACCTGAAGTCAACAAAAGGATGTTATTCTGATTTAATAGTTTAATCGTATGGAATGGTTTTTGAAGAACTGCTAAGCAATATGCGTACGTTCATATCTGATGTTGGTTTTTCATGCAAAAAGGGGTCTTGGAATGCACACAAAGGATTTCTATCAAGGGACTTGTGCAAAAACATGCTGCAAATGTTGGTTTTAAAGAAACATCATTGAAAATTCTACAGCCCCCTACATATCATCAACAAAACATCAAAAATAATTCCAACATAGACCCCAACCTGTTTCCACAAACATCCACAAAGTATCGCTCCAATTCCGTGTGAAGCGATCGAATTTGTCCAGGTACTGTTGCTCCGGCAGAAACGCCAACTCCACGAGAAATGGCCCGTCGCAGGGAACCCCTGCGGGCAATGCTTCATTTTTTCGAAAAAATCTTCAAAGGTTGGGCTGAACATGTTCCCACGTTGCAGAGCCACACGAAATCAGCAAAAAAAAAGGTACATTGACATATATGGAAATATAAATTAAATGCAGTTGCGCACGAAGTCAACCACCATGCAAGAAAGACCGAGCAGGTCAGGAAATGGCGTAGCGCATTTGGCCTCTTTGAGCTCAATTCCCACCACTGCGGTGGACACAATCCAAACAACAGCTTCAGCTGAAAATGAAAGAACATGTTTTCATGACGTGTTTGGAAAACACTTGACATTGGAGAAAAGGAAATTGGGCTAAGTGCACCCTGTACATGATTGTAATACCTTGGTGACACCTGCTTGGGCTCAAAGTGGGCAGTCGTGATTCAGGTGCCAACAACGTCCATGTCTAGTCGTGATAGTTTCATATCGCGAAGTTTCTACCGTCGCCAGCTGCATTCGCAAGTTGTTTCTCTCCTGGTGATACTGGTTGATCGCCATCTCAATGTTGCTGATGATGCGCATTGCATGATCCATTTGTTCTCGATGATCACGGAGTTGGCCCTCCAGCATCTCTTGGATTTCCATCAGGCTCTTCTTGACCTTCTCCTGGTAATCAATCTCTTGTTCAAACCCACGCTTCTGCAACTCAATCTGATTCTCAAAGTCAACGACCTTCTCCTCCAACTCACGAATCTGCCTTTCGAATTCCCGCTGAGGGATCTTCTGCAGGGCGAAAAGATGTTTCACCCAAAGCATGACTTGGCCTATCTTCTGCAAAACAATAGTTGCGGTGCCAAAACACTGCGATGGCAAAAATGACCAAAATGGTCATGACCATCATCCACCAATCGCCATTGTTGATGCCATAGACCTTGTTCATGATCGACTTGTTGATCTTGTTGTCATAGTTCACCAAACCACCTGGATGTTCTCATCACCATCGCCACCAAAGCTGCGGCTGCGGTGGATGTCGATCCCATGGTCTACTGAATTATTTTCCTTCTTTCCTCCTTTGTTTTCTTCTTCGCTGCAGTGAAGCTTTCGTCTGACACCAGGTACATGATGTCCTCGAAAACGGTCTGAGAAATTCTGCCTCGCTGCAATCTTCGTCAAGCCATCTGCAAGCTGTCGTGCCGAAAATATCCACTTCCACTGGCATTTCATGGAGAGCTCCTTGGTGACCAAGCATTCCAAAGACACTCTCTTGTCTGCCGGCTGTTGAATGGTTTCACGCTTGATACCGTCAAACAGCGATTTGCAATCTGTAATGACTGCACATTGTCCACTGGCCTTCTGCTGCACTTCCTTCAGTGAGAGCTCTGGAAACTGAAGGTGTGTCAAATAGTTCTTGACCAGCAGCAGCTCCTCCAATCCAATTGAGAGTGCTTGACACCCTGCTGCCGGACTTGACCTGCAGTCTCTGTTCAGCTTGAACGAACGCCATGCCAATATGGACATAGGTGTCTTTTCACCTCGAAGGACTTGGGCATCTCCTGCCAGTATGATATATCCTCCTCGGCTTCCAGGATCCTTTCTCACACTGAAGGCCGCGTCCACAAACATGATGACCGCAAGGTCGTGGATGTTTCTTTTCTGGTTCTTCTCAGGCTTCGCCAAAAACTTCATCCTCTGTTGTGCCACTGACTTGGCAAAACGTAGTATCTTGTTCAGCTCAGTCATGACCTTGACTTCACCACTTGCTAAGTCACTAGCCTGGATTGACACCGATGCCGCCAAGGCTGGCATACCTTGACCTGCTGGCCACTGCAAGGCTCCAATCTAGCCTTTGACTTCTCATAGTCAGTCATGGGGCTCCCTTTTCTCATGCTCACTCCATATACTCCTCCTATGATGTCTGAACAACTCCATCCTTCAGCTCGATAATGCCACCACAATACTTGATGGGGTTGGTCTCGGAGAGCTGATCCCACTTGGCGAAGTTGAAGCTTTTTTTGAGGTTCACAATCGCCCGCCCCATTGAACTCTGTGTTGTAGGGATCTCCTCCAATCAGGACATCGTCCATGTGCAGGATCATGCAATCACCTTATCTGCATCATCTCCATCAATCAGCATGTAGCAACATTTGTCAAGTGGATGTCGTCTCCATCCATTGTCCTGCATCTGCTGGCGTCTTCATACCACAGCAGGGGCGCATCTGACAAACCATATGCGCTCTTCAGTGCGCATAAAGCAAGGTGCTTCGACCCCAAGCAGGGCAGCGCAATCATTTGGCAGCTTGACGACCAATTCGCGGGTGAAGTTCTTCCCAGAAAGAAATGCTGCTCGTACATCACGACATAGCATGACCCATCCAAGCCATCCAACCAAGTCAAAAGAAAACTCTTGGACAACCTGCTTCCTGTTGGTGCTGCTTTCTGCAGTGACAGCACATCTGGATCTTCAAAACCTCGTAGACCTGTCTGCTTTTTCCTGGCTCTTCCATGTCAGCACCCATCTGGCTGAACTTGTTCTGCCATTGCGCTCTGCCTTGATGCCCCCATTGCGGGTCGCAAACTCCCAAACGAGGTTGGTGAGGTAATGTGAAAGCTCCTGCTTCTTTGCCTCCACAAACTCCTGCTGCTCTTCAATGTTGAGGTGCCTTGGATTCACCTCGCCTTTGCGATAAGCCGTGTAGAGCATGTCATCAAGCTCGAAGCCTCCTTCGACACACTTCCAGCCACTGGCAAATCTCCAACAACATCATGCACTAGCACGTCAACATACAACTCATCACCACTGGGTGGCGCTGGAACTTGAGCAGCAGCTTCTTGTTCTCGCTGAATTCTAATGGCATGGGCATCAGTAGAGCCTGTAGATGCCTGTAGCATAAGTCTTGGATGCCTTTTCAATGTTCTCAGCTCCTTCTATTCTCCTCTTTGACCTCTTTGGAGATCTTGCCTTTGGACTTGGTGGCCTCTCAGGTGCTCGCGGTCAGCTCGTTCAGGTTCCACAGTTGATGCCACTGACATTCTGCGTGACTCTTCTGGATGTCCTTGTTGAGAGCGTCGTGGAGTCTCGATCAGCTGCAGTGTTCTGGATTGGCACGGGCAAAACCATGCGCACAACCCCAGGTAGAACCTGCTCATCTTCCCAGCGTGGTTCACCTTCTTCTGCAATGCTGGGTTCACAGTCAGTCAGCTGATCCTGGGGGAACTTGCGAATCATCCATGTTGTCCCCCACAGCTGGCTCAACTTCAGCTTGAACTCCATCCTTGAACTGAGTTGTCGATCTGGCTTTCAAATCTTCCTGATCTTTGAGAGCCGCTTTCACATCTTCTGGTTGCAGAAATCTACTTTCCTCCACCAGTGGCCGTATACTTGACGCTCACCGCATCTGATCAAGCTTGTTCCATGACAAAGCCACAAAACTCTGGTGCCCTCGTGGCCCTCGTGGTCCTCAATTGCCACAACTCTTGCTGGCCCTCTCCACTCGGCTTTCTGCAAGATTCCTGACCCAGCAACACGACAGTACCAACACTTCTGTCCCACCACCAGCATGTCCTTCATTCACATGTCCTTCACGTCCTGGAACTTCTGGTTGAAGGCTCTGCGAAGTTTGGCATCTGAATCTGCTTTCAACCACGCCATCTGTGCGCGCAAGCGCTTTTGCTGGATGAGTGCAAAATTTCCAGCTTCATCAGGAGGTTCTTGTCTAGGATTGAAGATCTCGGACGTCAGGCCATGCACGTAGGTCATGGACTTGCCAAGGACCCACTGCTGAGGTGTAAAGCCTCGGACCATCTCGGTCTGGATGATGGCATGGGGCACGTAAATTGCAGCCTCTTTCAGACTGCTGAGGTCGTGCTTGTTGACTTCATCCTGGTAGAGCTCCAATGCTCGCCTGATCACTTGGTGCTTTCTTTCAACCACTCCAAGCCATGAGTGTTGCTCTCGGTTGTTCTTCTGCCTAAACTTCAAGTGCAATTCCACGGCCGCTTGCCCATTCTCGCACATGCTTTGAAGTCCAACCTTTCGCTTCATCAATCCTCATGTACTTTGGAATGCCGAACTGCTTGAACCACATACGTTCGATGCCCTTCGTGAACTCCTCAGCTGTCTCTCTCCTCTCAGGATGCAAATGGCACAGTATCGGGTGGCATGGTCCACGATGGTCAGCACACATTGTCTGCCAGACAATTCACGCTTCTTGCGTTTGGCTGCAGGTGCACGTTGTTGAACGATTGAATCTTCACACTGGATCCAATGGCTGTCCACCTGGATGCGTTCATTGAATTCTGCGCTTTCCACACCTGAGCTGGCTGGAGCTTGTGCTGGGCGCTTTCTGGAATAGCACACACAGGGCAAACATAGTGTTTTGCAGCCGTCAGGACATTCTCCATGGCTTGCACTTCTTCAAGCATCTTGCAGAGGGTGTCGTTGCTGATGTGGCCCATGTCCTTGCGAAGCCTCTGGACATGCTCAAAAGGTCGGCTGCCAACTTGCTGTCGGAGTTCTCGGTTCTTCTGCGCTGGCTCGCTGACAGTCACAGGCGGTGACTCTCCTTCCAACTCTCCAACACCATCACATCTGTTGTAGGCTTCTTCAAGAGTTTCAGCAGCATGAACATCTTCACAATGATTCACCTGATTCACCAAGGCCTCAGCAAGCTTAGCTGCCATGTTGGAGGTTTTGGCATCCGCTTCATAGGTGCTTTCCCTTTTGCCTTTGAACCGTTCGAAAACTTATTGCCCTTTGACTGCCCTTTGGACGTGTTCTGTCCTGGCACTACCGCCATCACTGGGTAAAAGCCGCGAGCAGGTCTTATCTGGTTCATCCGCTGTCTTGCTTCAACGTAGGCAGCAAACACCTCGTCACACTCTGCAGACATCTCCTCAGCAGCATAGGCCGTCTCTGTCTCCTCCTCATAGTCATCATCCCAATACGCTGCATCATCGTCATAGAAGTAGCTCTCATCAAAAGCGACGTCAAAGTCCGCCTCGATGTCATAGTTCTGCTGGTACTCATAGTCAGCCTCGTAGTAGATGGAGTCCTTGTTGCGACCGGCTTTGGAGGGATACCCAGCACTGACTTCAGGAGTGCTGTCTTGGCCGCTCACAAAGTTCAATCCCATCCGCACGGTCTCCAGGTTCAACTTCTCCACCGACAAAGTCTTCATGACCATCTGCCGTTGATCTTGCTTCAAGCCCGCTCTTCTAAGGTAGAACCATCCAATCACTTTGTCCGGCAGCTTCACCTCATGTGTTTCCAGTTTTCATAGTGCTCTTTCAAAGTCTGCCGTATATTCCTGGATTGTCTGGTTCTTTGAGCGTCTGGTATGCATAAAGAAGTTCTCGAAGTCATTGGGCAACTCTGTGATCGCATCGTATTTGAACACGGCGTCCAAGCGCTTCAACAACGTCGAAGTTCCGGTTGAAGCTTCAAGGTCGCTCATCTGTAGAAATTCAACTGCGTCCCAAGCTCTGCTTGTCAAGGCTGCCATGACGTTAAAGGCTGTCTCGCTCTGCCATCCAGCTAAAACCGTCTTCGGCTCGTACAACTGGGCCCTCTTCTTGAATTCTTTGTAGCCACATGCCCGGTTTGAGAACTCAGGAACATATTCATGAGCCTTTCCAGCGTAGGGCTTGATGCCGTAGTCCCGGAAGTCGCCATAGGTGATCTCAGGCAACCGCTACCAACAACAAAATGTAGGTGCGCACGAAGTCAACCACCATGCAAGAAAGACCGAGCAGGTCAGGAAATGGCGTAGCGCTCTTGGCCTCTTTGAGCTCAATTCCCACCACTGCGGTGGACACAATCCAAACAACAGTTTCAGCTGAAAATGAAATGACATGTTGTCATGACGTGTTTGGAAAACACTTGAAATACATAATAAAAATTAATTTACATTAAATATTAGAGAATTTTCTGTGTGGACTTGTTGCCGGAAGATGCAAACAATATGCTGAAGACGTCATAGTTCCATTCCGCTTCATGCGAACACAAATAGTACAAATAGGACAACAAATAAAATACTAAAAATTATAAATTCGAATTCAGTCACGTTATCTTACTATATCTTACTAGATGACAATTTGTTTCCATGTCCTGTCTCTGAGGTCCCCTGAGGTCCCAGACCCAGAGTACTGTGAGCCGTAGCTGCATAAATACGACACCGTACACACCATCACGCCTCGGGAGGAGTTTGAGGTGGCAGCATGTGGCAGCAAATGCGGAATAGAATTGAATAGAAGCGTATAGAAACATAATATGACCGCTGGTACAAGTGCAAGCATACATTGTATACATCCCGTATCTATTCATTATATGTTCTAAATTACCAAAATAGATGCTAAATGATGCTAAATGGATGTTCATCCACCCAAATCAAATACTATAGGTTTTGGCTGGTTTTGGCACATCCTCATATGCCATAGAAACAAACCGCCTCCCATTGCCTCCCATTGGTCGAATTCAATGTGTGCGTGTGTGTCCAAACGTGCCAGTTTCAAAAGACTTGCAGGATTTGAGTGATGAGATGTTGATGAGCATATTCCGCACGTTTCAGAAACATCTCAACACAGCGCCATTCCAGAAGGTTGAGCAGTTTGCCACCAAGGCCATTGTTGAAATCCAAGATCAATCCCAAACCTCAGCTTTCGCTCTGCGAAACTCAAGGAGAGAACTCAGGAAATGAAATCCATTCTGCACAAGTGGGGCCTGAGCACCAAATAATGTTTATCACACAATAATGTTTATCATTGTTTATCACTCTTGAAAGAAGACTATCTGAGCCTTCAAGGAGATTGTGAGAAAATCGACGGAGATCACATCTTGGGTTCCCTCTTGGCTTTTCAGCAAATCTTGCCTTCTCTTAGGGAATCCTGAACCTTTTCGGGTCGCGAATAACCTTCGGGAAGAACGGTCCTAGACCAAGACTTCAGAACTTCTGAAAAGATGAAGGCAAAGGCGCCTGCTGTAACTGCTGAGAGTTGAAATTGAATCCTGCATCATCTTAGCAGTTCATCCTTCAATCCTTCACCGTTCCTCACCATATCTCTCCATTCACCTCACCATAGAGCCTTGATCTTTGCAGATCTTTGCAGATCTTTGATGATCTTCCCGATTCCAGGTGAGGTAGCGCCTCGCATCGTGACCCTGTGACCCGCTTCAAACGAAGTCTTGGCGATTGCGTCTGGCCATTTCTTGCCATGTCTTGCCAGCGAGTCTGCGTCTTGCGCGTCGCCCCGGCAACGCGGCAACGATAGTGTTGCAAAACTATAATTATTCTTTTTGCCGCTGAAAACATCTCAAGGCAAAATCGTTGCTGCAAATCGAATGAGAAAACCTCTAATGGAATTGTAACAGCAGAAGTGCTCTACCAGGGCTGCCAGCAGGTCTTGTCCCTGTCGCCTGGTGTCCTGATGGTTTTAACACGAGGCTGAGCGCCGTTGTTTTGCTGTTTTTGCAAACGCCAAGAGGTCTGGTTCCACATTGCTGCATCAGGAAACAGGGTCACACATTGATGCAGCTCATATGGTTTCAGAGTGTGAAATTGTTCTCTGGCTACTACGCAGAAAATCTGCACAGCAACCTGAGTATGTCTCGTTTCAGATCGCAAAAGTGCGAAACTTTAATTTAATGCCAAATGATGCCAAAGAACAATAGGACAAGGAGACCTTCAATGAACAACGCCATCTCAGAGAAACCGCAGTGTGGAGCTTGCTCGATATCGCCTCACACAAAACCAATCAAAATCCATCAATCAACAGCTGAGTTCATCACAATTTCAATGATGCAGCAAGATATGACAAAATGCCTTAAAAGTAATTGAGGTTGGCAGGCAATGACTTTGGTTTTGATATACCTGGTACATCCTCGTACCCATCTCGCTTGTCCGAACTCGATGACAACTACACCCTCAGACTGAGACTTTTCTGGGCGTGCTAGATTAGCAACGCCCATGGTGCTTATTGCAACCAGTTGCGGCCAAGAGGTCATAGCAAGTTGGCGACGCACCGTTGACCTTTCAGAGACCGCGGATGCTCATGATGTCAAATGCAATATGAATCAAGTTGAATCAAGTTAAACATAATGACATCATAATGACATCATATTGCCATGATAATGACATGACGAGACATGCCCTGTGCAAAAAGTCCTACTGCTTGGCCCACTTCAAACAGCATTCACTTGATTTAGCTTGTGTGGCCTCAATTTAACATACTTTAACGTGTTTGAACTGTTATTTTAACTCATTGCCTCTGAGTCGCACTGGAAGATGATCCACGACATGGAAGGAGCGGTGACGTCAAGTGTCGAAATTCTGCGGTTGTTCGACTCTCCCGAGAGAGGTGCCACGTGGAAAACCCTGTCAAACTCGCTAGACCCTCCTCTGCAAGGGACACTTGTAACAGTAACACATTGTTTCGCTGCCGTTCAAAAAACTTTCAAGTCGGCGAAAGTCAAAGGGAAACAATCTGACGTACACAACGCCACAAGCGGTGTTAATATGTGTAAATGAGTTCACAAATTGAGAAGCGTCACAGCGCTAATTGGTTTATTCCTAAATGGTGAAGCAGAGCACATCTGAGGGGAGAGTTTCTGGAGAGTTTCTGGAGTCCTCCTCATCGCCTTGCAGAGATTGGAAACGACATCGAATCCAACGAAATCTGATGAACCAGATCCTTTCGTACTAGATCTCGTAAGAAAACGAAAATGATGTGTTTCCGACTGTTTTGTGAATACATACCGCGATTTTGTCAGAGCAAAGTTGAATGAAGACATGTTGAAATATGTTGAACATTGTAACGAAAGGATTCATGGATTCAGAATGGTTTCAGGCCAACGAAGCAGAGCGAAGCTACGCACCTGCCAGGACTCTGCTGCCATCCCTGCATTTGACGAGAGCCGCACAGAAACACTTACGACATGTCACGATATGTTGCGATGCACCACGACATCTTCCAATGTAGAACTCATAGAACTCAATAAACTACGACTACGACAATCTACGAGAATCTACGACTGGCATGGAGTGCCACCCACCTCATGCTTCAGGGCTTTCCGCAAGAAAGACGATTCGCTTTGGAGCAGCTCAGTGGCTAACACGTGCACCAAGAAAAGGAAAGACGCCATCTCTGACCGAGCACTTGCAAACCTGCAATTTCGACAGCTTCCAGGTAAAATATAGCGAACTGATAACAGATAAAACATAACAGCGGTGATTCTAAAACAAGTTGTGTCAAGTTTGTTATAATTCATAGTCACTAGGTCAATCTAATATGTCACAACTTTTCAGGGCTTTTGAACCACTTTTTGACCTTCCTTTCGACTTACCTCTTGACTGACACACACACACAGAGTAACATTGAATATCTGGACTTGAAAAACACACTCTGAGCCACGAAACGAGTTTGTGCCAAGCATAGCGTCATGCGACTGGAAATGTCTCAAGTTCAGAATCTCCTGCAGAATATACATCGTAAAAAATAGGTCAGTGCAAGTTCTTGAATGTCAATTGATGACATGATGCTCACTTTGTCACTGGCTTGACATCTGTCTCCAATTACAGCCTTCAAAAAAGTGAACTGTTATCACATCTTGACGCGTATGTTTGATGTGGGTGTTCTGATACCCGTGCGCGCGCGCGTGTGTTTTCCTTAAACTGTTGAAAGGGTCTTGAAAGGACTATTGGCAGCCAAGATTTCCCACATTTCTGAACTGAACGTTTCTTGGGTACATCCTATTTCTCAAGATTTGTTTTGCTGACCTAGACCATTTGGCGAGGTTTCTGGGAGATAGGGGGCGAGGGGGCTCACCGTGGAAAGAAGTTCTTGGGAATAGGATTTGCGTGAAATACTCTTTCATGGTTTTAGCAAGATGTTTCAACCGCGCGTTCCTCAGGCAAACCAACGTAGGGACCCAGGTTTTTGCGGAAGTAATGGATGAATGTTCTCGCCGGGGAGGGTATGCATCCAAGAAACCAAAAATACAATGCAAAGAAACAATAATTCAATCCCGCACAACACTTCATCATACTTCAGTGTTTTTCCTCTGAATCAAAACACAATGGAGTTGATGGTAGAGGAAACAGGACGTCGGTAATGATTCATCAAGAGCAATCGTTCACAGTAAGATACAGCAAGTACTTTTGTTCTAGTTTTCTGCGAAAGTCATACATTTTCTTCTTCGTCTTCTCCTCCTCCTTCTTTTCATTGCGTTCTCATTTTGATATGTTCTTGCTCTTCTTTGTCTGAATATGTCTGAATGTCTGTTCTTTACCATGATGCTATTATGTTATATTATGTCATCTTGTCCTTGCTCCGTACGCAAACGACTGCATTTCTTCCATTTGCTTTCCACCTATACATGGCCTGAATTATGTTGCCCTTCATCCCACGTTGATTCGCCATGCAAAACGAGCACATGAAGATGTTCCCATATGGTGCACGGAGGGCAACAATCGAAACTGTAGACTGCTCAAATATCCTCAAAATCTATTGAAATAGCGAGATAGCCAACGATACTTTACGATAGCGAGATAACCAAAATCAATTATTGAAATGCAATATCACCGTAAGCCAGAGTGCAGGTCCATGAAGAATCAGTAAAACATTCAGAGATTACAATGAACATTCTGCCAACATCCTTTTTAGCTACAGATTTTTGCATGTTCTTCACCCAGGGAAAACCTTTGCTCGAATATGTGATTTGTTGTTTTTGATTGGTGCTGCTTTGCGATCGTTTGCGACATGCGCATGGTTTTGTTCCAAAGAACTTCAGCATCTTGTGCATCTTGTGCACGTTTTCACACGAAAAAAATCTGGAAGTTCGGAAACACTTTAAATTTTAAACGAACCAAACAAACAAAACAAAACAAAACGGCAAACATGCGCCTCCCCTTGTCATCTTCCTGGATACTGCAATGCCTTGTAAATATCCGCCGACCCCGGCCAATGCAAGGGGGAGCGCGCCAGGGAAAAAGAGTTCTCCTACCACTCTTTACTACTGCTACAATGGGAAGCGAGCAGAAGCAGGTATATGGTTTCTGTTCTTCTTCTTCTCTTTTCTCTCGGTTTCAGAAGGGACGTTTCGGTGTTGTTTGGCACCCGTTTTTGTCCTTTCACTGCCATGCCGTTTTGCTGTTTGCCAGGGTATAAGCTTTTCCCATCGCGACAAGAGTTAGAAGCAATAGCAGAAACTCATGCAAAAGTTTATTTTCAAGGTGTGCTTTAACGACTACCAAGACTTGATGGTGGCTGCCCGTATAGGCAGAAACGGCTCTGTTAATTTGGCAAATTGGAGGATACAAAACAGATGCCAACGACACCAGACCCAGATTTGTCTCATGGGCAATCTTTGAAATTCTGCAGGGCACAACTCTGAACAGACAATCTGGTCAAGAGGAAAATCTCACTAGAGGACGAATGTCCATGCACAGGGTCTGTGTCTATCACATCAATCAGGATCATGTTGCTCGACCTGCAGCTCTTTGTGGTGAAATCATTGCAACCATGTGCTATGAGTGCATGCATTTTCAAATCGACGTACTTGCAGGTGATGGCAACAAAGCCGCCTACCTTTGCACTCCCAAGCGCCCTGGATGTCCCACATATGAAGTGAGCCTTTTACAGTTTTGGATCGACAGAATGGTCAACACAGCAAATCAGTCAAGATTGAAGCATTACGGCACTTCCCCTCCGGTAAGGGCCAAACACTTCATCACCTGTTCATACAATGACTTGGTACATCTCAATCATCATCTTAGAAACATCAACACTGAGAGGTACACAAGTGAACTTGCACAAAAGACTGAGAGATATGGTGACTGTTGCATGTTTACACTTCTGGAATGGGGACACGCACGCAATGAATTTTCAGAAAATGTTGATGATTTTGAGACTGAAGATCACATGAACCACATTGGAGAGTTTTTGTTCAACGTGAATGAAACTTGTCTCAGCTGCGATCATCGATCCTTCATGGTGGCACCATCAGACAAAGATGCGCACAATCCATTCCTCATGCACATCACTCCATCAGAAATGACCTGGAAAGAAAAACGCGAATATGTCCCAGGTGAACTTAAACAAGCTCGAAAACAACGACGAAAGGAGAAGCAGAGGGACAATAAGCGTAAAGCTTACCAGGCAGAAGAAGAAGATGAAGATGATGGACCATGGATCAATTTTACAACACAAGAATGGCTTGATTATCAACCTGAACATCGTCGTCAACAACGTTCAGGGGGTTATGGTCATTCTTCAGCATCTTCGTCTTGGCAGTGGAGACCGAAAAACAGATGAGTGTACACTTCTATCAGAAGAAGATAACACAAAACGATTTCTCTGTACAGCTTTTCAACTTCAGCTGATGTCATTTTCATGTCACATGTGTATATAGACTCTGTCAGATAGAGATAATATTTCACTGTGTTTTGATCACGTATGGTACGCACTCTTATCAGGAAGAGAAGATACCATCTTCGTGTACAGAGCTCGTTTTTCTGTAAAGTGGTATATACTCTTTTAAGTAGAGATAATATCACTAGGTCTCAATTTGTCTGAACAGATCAGCCAATTTCCAACTTCGATTTTTGTCCATTGATCACATGAATGTGTGACTTTGGATTTCCGAACTCAATTTCTTTTGCTGTTGCTTTGGTCAATTGTTTTTCATTTTTCATCATGACCTGAAATTCTGAATCTTGCGAACTTTCCAGTAGCCTATGCATTTCACCGGTTAGGCATTTGCCGAGACAGACCGTGTTGTCCGCACTGTGGTGCAAAAAGAATTCCCCAGAACCTCCAACCTTCTTTATTTAACATTTAAGGTAACCACTCTTAAATTATTTAAGGAAGGTTAGCTTAATTAAGGAAGATTGTTACCTTCGTTAATTAAGGAAGGTTTTCTGTAGGTTTTTCCACGAGTTATGTTGTGACATTATATGGTCTTCTACATTGATGCCACTTGTATTTGTTGTTTTTAATTCATGTTTGTTGAAAGGATTCAGTGTGCAAGCAAGTCGATGAAACTGTTGGTTATTGGCCTTTCGCATTTCCCTCCGGTCTTTGAGGAGTCCTTGCTTTTTGGCTCACACTTGACCCAACTTCCCGACCTGACCTATGATCCTACCAAGGTGTTTGCGCATCAATGCTTAAGACCCTTGCCGGCAACGTCGTCGCGCGCCTGTTTTCCGTTTGCAGTGGCATCTTTCAACATCCAATCCCTTTTGGATCCCACCGACCTCGCTGACTTGCACGCTTGTCAATCTGCCTTGCACTTGGATTCCAGTTCTCGTGCGTCACTTTGTCATGCTCAATTTCTTGCGCAGGGGTTGTTCATTGTCGGGTTGCAGGAAACAAGAACCTTTGGTGTTGGACTGCTTGATGGGCCAGGGTTCCCCTATTTCCGTTTTCGGTCAGGTTGTGCTGATGGCCTCTTTGGTGCGGAGTTGTGGTTCTGCAAAGCTCGTGCCTACGCAACCTTGCATGGAATCGATTATTACCTGCATCCGAAACATGTGACCTTGATTGATGCTTCACCTCGTCATCTGTTTGTGCGTGTTCAGGCCGCTTTCTTGAACTTTTCTTTGTTCTTTGCGCGCACGCACCACACAGCCAATAGGTTCCTTCGGAACTTGATGCCTGGTGGAATTCCTTGAGCGCCCTTGTTCAGCCACATCGTGGCGCTGCGCCATTGATGGTGTTGATTGATGCCAACGCCAGAGTTGGGTCTATTCAGACTAGCCACATCGGCGGATGCAAGTCTGATGTTGAATCCCCTACAGGCGCTTTGTTGCATACTTTCCTTGCTCAGGCAGGCCTGTGGCTCCCAAGCACTTTCCACCTCAACTGCGGTGATGCGGGGACATTGTGTCCTGACAGTGGTACTTGGAAAGACCATGCTGGAGGATGGCATCGTTTGGACTTTGTAGGGCTTTCCTTTGGCTTTCCGGGTCTTGTCACTTCGCATTTTGTATGGCCAGATTTTGACCGGGGCATAGTTCTTGAAGATCACCGTCCTGTAGTTGTGACACTTGATTTTCCGTTGTCTACTTTTGCTCTTGGCAAGTTGGATTTTCAGCGTCACCGGTCTTGCAAGCTGCCTCAGTCTCCAACGCAGTCCCACCTGGATGCTTTTGATCAAGCCGTGCGGTCTTTAAGCCCTTTTGAATGGACCGTTGAAGCGCATTACCATTTCGAAAATATGCAGCAGCGAATCTACGATTCTGCGGTGTCCACCTCTAAAGCCAACCGGCCCCGCCGTAGCCCTGCCATTGATGATTTTGCCTGGGATTTCTTGTGTTTGCGCAAGCGAGTCAAATCGCATCTGGTTTCCCTGACTCGTCGTTGTGATCGGGTGTGTCTTTTGGTGGTTTTTCATTCTTGGGTCAAGCAGTGTCTGTCGAATGCTTGGTCAGCTTCGGTGCCAACTTTCCTGACCACTTTACAAACCATCCGTTTTGAGCGTGCCCTATGCTGGAAGTTTTTGGAGGTTGTTTCCTGTCTTTCGCGACAGACCCTGCATCACTCCAAATCAGTCTTCTATAATGGATTGTCTCAGCGTTTGGGACCACATGTAGTTGGTGCTTCCTACGAGGATCTTTGGAATACCTTGCAGCAACTAGGAGCCATAGGCAAAAAACCTCGGCGGCGTCAAGCAGGATTTCAACAGGCCATGCAACTTCCAGATGGTTCTTTGGTCACTGCTCCGGACGAACTCGCATTGGCTTGGCAGGCCCACTTTGCCTCCATTGAAGCAGGTGATTTGATCTCACCTGCACTCTTGCGTGCTTCGTGCTTGACGCGGCAATCCATTCAACGTCCGCCTCTGTTCGATGTTCAGCCGGAAGATTTGCCCACGCTTCCTGAAGTAGAAAGAGCAGCACGATCGCTGAACAAGAAGAAGGCCACTGGACCTGTCCATCTTTTGCACCGGATTGTTGTCGGCTCGTCAGCTCGTACCATTTCTTCATTTTGAATGTCCTTCCTGTTTGGATCACGGTGTGGTACGAATCCTTCCTGTATTTCATAGGCCGATCTCAGCGTCAATGCTGCAAACCCCAAATAAGTGGCCAGATTCCTTCCGACTCTGCTGCTATCCCAACTTCTGCTGCTATCCTCTTTCCTTGCCTCCTTCGGTCACTGATTCTGTCAACCTTTTGGTTTCTCCATGGAAGCCGGCCACTTGCAGCTCACCGCTGTTCAACATGCAAATCAAATTCTGTGCAAAACGCTGTTCTCCCCACAGCCTACCTTTCATGGCTGACATCTGATGTCCAATGGCGATCAGAAGTGCTCCTGCAATGCGGAAGTTCCCACAGGCACAAGATGCCCGCATAAAAGCATACACAATCGCCAGGAAATATTATTCGCACAGTACAAAGGCACATATGTGCATATGTACATGCGTGTGTCCGTTTGTATGTGTGTATGTATCTATCTACCTATCTATGTATGTACGTAGGTAGGTAGGTATGTATGGATGTATCTACGTATGCGACCACCGTCGTTCACTCTGGGAGGCTCGAAGTGGCAGGTGGTGGGGGATGCCTTCGCATTCTGCATACATGTGCATTGTGCATTCATCGAAGGAAGTTTAGAAGTCAAACGTCCGACAATATGGAGAGATGAAAAGCAGAGCAGGGAAGAGGCATAGAGAAGAGAAAGATTAGGAAAGTCGCGAAACACTCTGTTTTTCCAATGATTTGTGGCTCCGGAGGGTCGAAAAGTAGGCTCGCTAAAGCGGCGGGTGCGGAGCCAGCTGGCCAGAGGAGAGACGAAAAATTGCACGCCGTTGTGGCGCGAAGCACATTTCCAAGTGAAAATGTACAAAGCACACCATTCTCGGACCACTTTTGGAAGTTGAGATGTCGAAAAAGTGCACGCCGTTGTGGCGCGAAGCACATTTCCAAGTCAAAATGTACAAAACACCTCAGCTTCGGACGACTTTTGGAAGTTGCGATGTCGAAAAAGTGCACGCCGCTGTGGCGGGAAGCACATTTCCAAGTCAAAATGTACAAAACACACCAGGTCCGGACCACTTTTGGAAGTTGTGATGTCAAAAAAGTGCACGCCGTTGTGGCGCGAAGCACATTTCCAAGTCAAAATGTACAAAACACACCAGGTCCGGACCACTTTTGGAAGTTGCGATGTCGAAAAAGTGCACGCCGTTGTGGCGCGAAGCACATTTCCAAGTCAAAATGTACAAAACACACCAGGTCCGGACCACTTTTGGAAGTTGTGATGTGGAAAAAGTGCATGCCGTTGTGGCGCGAAGCACATTTCCAAGTCAAAAGTGTAAAAACTGAGGGTTTTGAGCCTTTTTTGACGTGAAGATGTCGAAAAAGTAGAAACTGATTAACTTAACTAACTTGACTCACTTAACTAACTTCACTAACTTAACTACCCTAACCTCGACGACAACAGCAACAACAACTCCACTCCACCACACTCCACTGCACTAAATTACACTACACTACACTGCATGACACTACACTACACTCCACTACACTACATTACACTACACTAGTACACTACACTACCTTCCACTACACTTCACTACATTACACTACACTACACTCAACTGCACTACAACTACAACTACAACTACACTCCACTAAACTCCACTACACTAATTTACACTACGCTAAATTACACTGCACTACACTACACTACATTACACTGCACTACATTACATTCCACTACACTCCACTACACTACACTACACTGCATTAGACTGGATGACACTGCACCATCGATAGACAGGTAGACAGATAGACAGATAGACAGATGAAAGAGAGAGAAAGAGAGATAGATAGATCGATAGCTGGATAGATACATAGAAAATAGATAGGTAGGTAGGTAGATAGGCAGAGAAAGAGAGAGAAAGAGTGAGAGAGATCAAGCACCTTTCAATCCATCAGTGGCTTCGCTCTGTCATCCTTGATTCACAACAACCAACCTTTCCTATAGGTTTCCTATTGTTGAAACTTCCGCCACCGCCTTTCGCGGTACTACTGGTATATGTCTATATATATATATGTGTGTGTGTATTTATATATATATATATGTATATGTATATGTATATATATATATGTATATGTATACATATGTATATGTATGTATATATATATATGTATATGTATATATATATGTATATGTATATGTATATATATATGTATGTATGCGTATATGTTTATATACATATATATATCTATATATATGTGTGTATATGTACATATATGTATATGTGTATATATCTATATGTATATATGTATATATGTATATGTGTATATATCTATATGTATATATGTATATATGTATATATGTATATATGTATATATGTATATATGTATATGTGTGTGTGCATATGAATATATGTCCCTGGCGGCCTAGCAACTCATAAACAAGTTCTGCTGAGGGCAAATCAACCTATCCAGTTTGGACATGTTTGGGTCCAACTCCATGCAACTCCACCACGGTCCCACCATTTTATCTCAGCATCTCTCAACAACCGCTTTGTGCAAGCACAATCTAGAGGAAACAGTGGTACAAACGTGAGTTGAACCTTAATGACTGCAGCAAGCAGCCTGCAAACACCAAGCAGCCAACACTGTTGTATGCAGTCGTGATCTTCGAAGTGAACTGCGCGAGGTGATTACAATTCTTTGGTGCGTTTCTCCATGTTGTTTGTCGCACTGATTTGGGAATATGACCGCTCGTTTGCATTTTTTCTGCATCGGTTTTGAGTCAAACAATACTGTACTTGGACCGTTTTTTGAATTCTTTGTGCTGGTCCATCTTTTGCTGCAAACCCCAAATAGCAGCGCGCATGCAAATCGAATTATGTGCAACGCGGCTCTCAACTTCCAAGCTTGGGCGCCTTACGCTTGAGCAGGAGCTCACACGCCCGCTTGGACGCCTTATGTTGCGTCGAAGGATCCTGTCGCGCGAGCCATGTCAAACAAACTGACGCGCCTAGTGGCCTAGCAACTTGCCACCTGAGCCACCTACCAACCAATCACGAACGCCGACCCACCAGCCCCTCACCGCCAAGCCGGGCCAACCTAGCCGCAGATATGCCCACAGACCAGAAACAACCGACCACCAACCCCGACCCACCAACCCCAAACCTCAAAGCACAACCTAGCGCCACAGCAATCTGACGTCACACACCCTCAACACCCTACACCGACCCACCACCTTGCAAACAGTGCTCGCAAAATACCGCGTTTCCTACCTGGGCCAACATAGCCTCCAAGATGGGCCAACGACCGCCCAACCCCAACCCACCAACCCCAAACCCTCAAGCACAAACCACGACCAACCAACCCCAAACGTCAAACCACACACCAGCGCCATAGCCATCTCAACAACCAACAACCAACAAAAACAAAAACAACAACAACAACAGCAACAACAGCAGCAACAACAGCAGCAACAACAACAACAAGAACAACCACAACAACAACAACAACAACAACAACACCAACAACAACACCAACAGCAACAGCGATGGCAACAGCAACAGCAACAACAAGAACAAGAACAACCACGACAACCACAACAGCCAGTCTTGGTCCCTGCAAGAACCACTACACCTACGTCCGCCGCCACGGCCCCCATGGTTGGGCCCCTGGCCGGCTGTTGCGCGCAAGCGCTTAAATCCGGCCAGGGGCCCGCGCCCCCTGCCGCCGACCTCTCCCCCCCGCCAAAAACTACCGCGTTTTACAGTGTTTTGTGCTCTTCGCATTTTTTCCCATTTTTCGGCTCTTGTGGTTTACGATGGGTCAACATGGGCCAACATAGGCCTCAAGATGGGCCAACATAGCCCCAAGATGGGCCAACATAGCCCCAAGATAGGCCGCCGACCATCAAAATATCCTGCGGTTTACAGTGTTTTTTTGCTCTTCCCATTTTTCGGATCTTTTGGCTCCACACGGGTCAACGTGGGTCAACATAGGCCTCAAGATCGGCCGACATAGGCCTCAAGATCGGCCCACATAGCCTTCAAGATAGGCCAACATATAGCCACAAGATGGGCCAACATAGTTGGGCCCCTGGCCGGCTGTCGCGCGTAAGCGCTTAAATATGTATATATATATATATGTATGTATATGTATATGTATATGTATATGTATATGTATATGTATATGTATATATGTATGTATGCGTATATGTTTTTATGTATATATGTATAAATATTTGTATATATATATATAAAGATATATATATATATACATGTATATATATATATGTGTGTGTATATGTATATGTATATGTATATATATGTATATGTATATATGTATATATGTATATATGTATATATGTATATATGTATATATGTATATATGTTACTATGTATATATGTGTGTGTGCATATGAATATATGTGTGTGTGCATATGAATATATGTCCCTGGCGGCCTAGCAACTCATAAACAAGTTCTGCTGAGGGCAAATCAACCTATCCAGTTTGGACATTTTTGGGTCCAACTCCATGCAACTCCACCATGGTCCCACCCACGGTTGCAGCCTCCATCGACTCAACTTCCAAGCCTGGGTGCCTCGCAGGGGACCAACCCAACCAACCCAACGAATTCAACCTTGACCACAGCTGGCATTGGCGTTGCCCAGTGGTACGGGAGAAAAACATGAACCGTCGAACAAGATTCAACAAACGGATCAAGCCGCCTTACGCATGAGCAGGAGATCCCGCTCACACACCCGCTTGGAAGCCTTTTGTTCCTGTCGCGCGAGCCATGTCAAACAAACTGACGCGCCTAGTGGCCTAGCAACTCATAAGCAAGCTAAATGCTGCCATCATCATGTTCAAGGTTGATTGGTTGATTGGTTGATTGGTTGATTGGTTAATTGGTCGATTGATAAGTTGATAGATTGATCGATTAACTGGTTGATTGCCTAACAGGAGACAAGCTGGGAGACAACATTGGAAACAAGATGGGAGACAAGGGAGGTAAGGCCTCGGGAAGGCGGATACGCCATCCAGCAAAGGGAAACAAGAAGGAAGACAAGCTGGGAGACACTCTGGGAGACAAGGGGGCAAGACCTGGGGAAGGTGGGCGCACCATCCAACAAAGGGAAACAAGGAGGAAGACAAGCTGCAAGACAAGTTGGGAGACAAGATGGGGGACAAGCTAGGGGACAAGCTGGGAGACAAGCTGGGAAACAAAGGGAAACAAGAAGGAAGGCAAGCTGGGAGACAAGTTGGGACACAAGCTGGGACACAAGCTGGGAGACAAGGGAGACAAGGTGTTGCGAAGGCGGGCGCGCCATCCAACAAAGGGAAAAGGGAAGCAAGAAGGAAGACAAGCTGGGAGACAACCTGGGAGACAAGATGACCAGCTGGAAGGCAAGCTGGGCGAAAAGCTGGGAGACAAGGGAGACAAGGCCTCGGGAAGGCGGACGCACCGTCCAACAAAGGGAAACATGAAGGAAGACAAGATGCGAGACAAGTTCGGAGACAAGTTGGGAGACAAGCTGGGAGAGAAGGGGAGACAAGACCTCGGGAAGGAAGACGTTCTTGGATGCAAGCTGGGTGACAAGCACGGAGACAAGCAGGAGACAAGCTGGGAGACAAGCGGTGAGACACACTGGGAGGCAAGGTGGGAGACAAGCTTGGAGACAAGGGTGACAAAGCCTCCGCAAGGCGGACACTCCACCCAACAAAGGGAAGCAAGAAGGGAGACAAGCCGGGACACAAGCTGGGAGACAAGGGAGACAAGGCCTCGGGAAGGCGGACGCACCATCCAACAAAGGGAAACAAGAAGGAAGACAAGCTGGGAGACAAGCTGGGAGACAAGGGCGACAAGTCCTTGGGAAGGTGGACACGCCATCCAACAAAGGGAAACAAGGAGGGGTACAAGTGGGAGACAAAGGGAGACAAGACCCTTGGGAAGGCGGACACACCATCCAACAAAGGGAAGCAAGGAGGGGTACAATGGGAGACAAAGGGAGACAAGATCCTTGGGAAGGTGGACACACCATCCAACAAAGGGAAACAAGGAGGGGTACAATGGGAGACAAAGGGAGACAAGACCCTTGGGAACGCGGCCACACCATTCAACAAAGGGAAACAAGAGAGGGTACAATGGGAGACAAGACCCCCGGGAACGCGGGCACACCATTCAACGCCAAGGCGGACACCTTAGGAAAGCATTAAGAACCCCTAACAGTATACCGTTTGAGGAATTATGGTTGGTCCCCTCTTTTGTTGGTTCACACGCCCACTTCTGGTTCCTCCATTCACATCCAACATATACTATTCGTTCGCCCTATATATATTTGCAGGTGAACAGAGAAAATACTTAGTATGATGCTAGGTGTGAATGTGTAGAACCATATGTTTGCTTGTGTGTGCGCGCATAGTATACACATTGGACCAAAGTGGTTGCACTGCTTGTTTCCGTGGGTGCTATTCCGAATTCCGCTGGCTATAAGTATAAAATTGGATATGCAATGCACAACCCGCCCCTCGGAATATGTGGCATGCGTTACAACTGGCTTCACAACATCTATCTATCTAATTCACTATCCCAACTCTTGGCGTTGAATTGAACCAGATTTGTTTCACCCGCACATTGAATCTTCAGAGGCATTTGCAAACCAAGGCATCCATAAACTAAAGTGAGCGCAACTAACAAATTTCAAAGGTTTCGGCCACCCTGAAATCAAACGGTAGTCTCCCCAGCTCGAGTTTCGCAGAAAGAGTGGACTAGACTTAAGCGCAAGCGGAATGAGGAATGCCGGACACCTACCACTTATGATTGGGCCTATGACCCCATTTGAACTGGCATACAACCCTAGTTTGGGGTACTTTTGCGAATCATGATTCCATTTATGATATTTCATATTCACGCATAAACTAGGGCACCAGTCAGTCAGTGCAGCAAAAAGCTGACTTGAGAAGGGGGAACACGAAAGGTAGGAGGCCAAGATGGAAAGTGAAGAAGTTAGGCGGCATATCAAACCAACCGATGATGATGATGATGATGATGGTGATGATGATGATGATGATGATATTGATGATGATGACGATGTCGACGACGACAACGATAGAGTGGCATTCTTCAGGGTCACTTTTTGTTAGAAACAGCAACAACGCTGCCGTGGCCTCCTTCTGGCTATGAACAAATTGCATGGAAGCCTGATGGAGTAATATGATTGGGGGGCGGGATTAAACCTTTGAAAGCTTCTGTGTGTAAAAGCTTCTCTATATATATGTATATGTGTGTGTGTGCGTAAAAGCTTCTCTGTGTACAGGCTTCTGTGTGTAAACGCTTCTGTGTGTGAAAGTTGCTCTGTGTAAAGGTTTCTTTGTGTAAAATCTTCTGTGTAAAAGCCTCTGTGTGTAAAAGCTTCTCTTTGTACAGGCTTCTGTGTGTAAACGCTTCTGTGTGTGAAAGTTGCTCTGTGTAAAGGTTTCTTTGTGTAAAATCTTCTGTGTAAAAGCCTCTGTGTGTAAAAGCTTCTCTTTGTACAGGCTTCTGTGTGTAAACGCTTCTGTGTGTGAAAGTTGCTCTGTGTAAAGGTTTCTTTGTGTAAAATCTTCTGTGTAAAAGCCTCTGTGTGTAAAAGCTTCTCTTTGTACAGGCTTCTGTGTGTAAACGCTTCTGTGTGTGAAAGTTGCTCTGTGTAAAGGTTTCTTTGTGTAAAATCTTCTGTGTAAAAGCCTCTGTGTCTAAAGGTTTCTTTGTTTAAATGCTTCTGTGCGTAAGAGCCTGTGTGTATAAAACTTGCTCTGTGTAAAACCTTCTCTGCGTAAGAGCTTCTGTGTGTAAAAGTTTCCCTGTGTCAAGGCTTCTGTGTGTAAAAGCTTCTCTGTCTTTGAGTTTTTGTGTTTAAATTTAAATGCTTCTGTGTGTGAAAGTTGCTTTGTGTAAAGGCTTCTCTGTGAAAAATCTTCGCTGCGTAAAGCCTCTGTAGATCATAATGGGGCATATGTCCAACGCTTAAAATTTTGAATTTTCGCGTCCAATCCGTACACCGCGCCACAACTGGACGACAGTGTGGCCCGACAGAAAAGCAGGAGGCAGTAGCTCAAAAGAGGGTGGAAAAGAAGATATGAAGATGACGGGCGATGAGTCATGATAAAAGATGATGAATGATGAATGAGGTTGTTAATGCATAATGACTACTGGTGAGAAAAGCCGGAAATTATTCCATGTATAATGAGTGATAATGAAGTTAGTTTATCATGTGTGTATCTGCAACCCCCCATGCCGTCTATTCAGGTCAGGGATGATTCCAGCGAATCGCGCTTCACACAGAAGTTTTTACACAGAGGGGCTTTTAAACAGACGAGCGTTTACACACAGACCCCTTTACACACAGAAGCTTGTACACACAGAGGCTGTTACACACAAAGCCTTTACATAGAAAGCTTTTACACATAGAAGCTTTGACACCCACACACCTTTACCAGTAGTACCGCACAAGGCGGTGGCGGAAGTTTCAAAAATAGGAAACCTATAGGAGAGATTGGTTGTTGTGAATCAGGGATGGCAGAGCGAAGCCACTGATGGACCGAAAGGTGCTTGAGGTCTCCTCTCTTTCTCTCTCTTTCTCTGACTACCTACCTACCTACCTACCTACCTATCTTCTATGTATCTATCTATCTATCTATCTGTCGATCTATCTCTCTCTCTCTCTCTTTCATCTAATTACCTATCCTAATTACCTATCTATCTATCTATCTTTCTTTCTTTCTGTCTGTCTGTCTGTCTATCTGTCTATCTGTCTATCTGTCTATATCTCTCTCTCTCTCTCTCCCTCTCTTTCATCTATCTATCTGTCTATCTGTCTATCTGTCTATCTGTCTATCTATCTATCTATCTATCTATCTAATTTATCGAATATATCTAATCTATCTAATCTATCTATCTATCTATCTATCTATCTATCTATCTATCTATCTGTTCTTCTGTCTGTCTGTCTGTCTATCTATCTATCTCTCTCTCTCTCTCTTTCATCTGTCTATCTGTCTATCTGTCTATCTGTCTATCTATCTATCTATCTGTCTGTCTATCTGTCTACCTGTCTATCTGTGGTGCAGCGTCATTCAGTGTAATGTAGTGTAGTGTAATGTAGTGTAGCGTACTGGAGTGTAGCGGAATGTAGTGTAGCGTAGTGTAATGTAGTGTAGTGTGGTGTAATTTAGTGTAGTGGAGTGTAGTTGTGTAGTCGTAGTTGTATTTGTAATGTAGTGGAGTGTAGTGTAGTGTAGTGTAATTTAGTGTAGTGGAGTGTAGTGGAGTGTAGTTGTGTAGTCGTAGTTGTATTTGTAGTGTAGTGCTTGTAGTGTAGTGTAATGTAGTGAAGTGTAGTGGAAGGTAGTGGAGTGTAGTTGTGTAGCTGTAGTTGTAGTTGTAGTGTAGTGGAGTGTAGTGTAGTGTAATGTAGTGAAGTGTAGTGGAAGGTAGTGTAGTGTTAGTGTAATGTAGTGTAGTGTAATGTAGTGGAGTGTAGTGTAGTGTAATGTAGTGTAGTGTAATTTAGTGTAGTGGAGTGTAGTGGAGTGTAGTTGTGTAGTTGTAGGGTGTAGTGTAGTGGAGTGTAGTGTAGTGTAATGTAGTGAAGTGTAGTGGAAGGTAGTGTAGTGTAGTGTATGTAGTGTAGTGTAGTGGAGTGTAGTGTAGTGTAATGTAGCGTAGTGTTGCGTAATTTAGTGTAGTGGAGTGTAGTGGAGTGTAGTGGAGTGTAGTTGTGTAGTTGTAGTTGTAGTTGTAGTGTTGTGTAATGTAGTGTAGTGTAGTGTAGTTTAGCGGAGTGTAGTGTAGTGTACTGTAGTATAGTGTAGTGAAGCGAAGCTACATCTGAACCTCCAAAAGTGGCCCAAACCCCTGGTGTTTTTAACATTTTGACTTCGAAATGTGCTTGGCGCCACAACTGCGTGCACTTGTTCGACATCTGAACCTGCAAAAGTGGTTCGAACCCCTAGTGTTTTGTACATTTTGACTTGGAAATGTGCTTCGCGCCACAATGGTGTGCACTTTTTCAACATCTCAACTTCCAAAAGTGGTCCGAACGTGGTGTGTTTTGTGCATGTTGACTTAGAAATGTGCTGCGCGACCAAATTCCAGCGGCTTTCCTTTCAGAGTATGTGGTCGAGTCCAACATCTTTTATATCCTGCTGTTCTCAAAGCTTTCGTCACTGGAAGGGAGCCTCTTTCTGCCAAAGGAGGCCTCGAGATAGCCGTATACAAAGGGCGTGGCCCTCGATGCCAGTTTGGGTCGTACCGTGCTATCTTGTTGAGTGACCTGGTGGGCAAAGTGCTACACAAAGTTGTTCGCAATCGGATCTACGAAGCAGTCTCCAACTTTGCTCGTCCCTTTCAATTGGGTGGCTTCAAAGGCATGTCCCCTGTCTTTGGTAGTCTTGGTCTTCGTCTTTTTCAGCGAATAGCCGTGGCTCGTCGTCGATCCTTCTGCGTGCTTTTTGTTGATGTGAAAGGCGCATACTATGCTGCCTACAGGCAACTGTTGGTTTCAGCTTTGCCCCGCTCAGGGACCTTGTTGGCTTTAATTGACCAGCTTCCTGCATCTGATTTGGTGAAGCTCCGTTTGCGACAACGGCTTGACGAAGCCAATCTCTTGCAGAAACTTCCTCTCTCCCCAGCTTGGCGTGCTTTTTGTGAGGAAACGCTGCAAGATACTTGGTTCTCAACCGAAGGGGCCCCGAACTTGACTTTGACTCAGAGAGGATCCAGGCCTGGCGATCCATTGGCTGACTTGCTGTTTGCCGTCCTACTCAGCGACTTAGATCAGGAGCTTCACTGCTCACTCCAAGCTGCTGGGTTCATTGATGCCCAGCCTAGGTTGGATTTCCAAACAAGTTCCCTTGACGGCCAGGAGCCTCTTCCTTCTATAATATGGGCTGATGACATGGCAATACCTCAGAGTTTTTGCTCTCCCAGCGAGTTGTATTTCAGACTTCCAGACCTGTGCCGCATAGTTTTCGAAGTTTTTGCTTCGTACGGCATGCAGCTTTCTTCCGGATCTGGGAAGACGGAAATCATTTTGCGGTTTGTGGGATCGCATGTTACAGCCTGGTCTCATCGCCTTTTTGACATAGATCAGGGCTTTGTGACCTTCCCTTTTGCGGGTGAATCAATCAAGATCAATGTGCCCAAAGATTACGTGCACCTTGGTTCGGGCTTGGATTTCAAGGGCAAACTACATTTCGAAATATCCAGGAGAACTGCCAGCTCACGAGAACCTTTGCGATTGCTTCGGCCTCAACTGCTTCGGTCCCGGAGTGTCAGCTCTCGCACCAAGCTGCAAGCAGTGCGCTCCCTGGCTCTTTCCAGATTGCTGTACGGAGTAGAGTCGTGGCTATCTTTGACTTTGGCATCTTTTCGGATGTTGTCTTCAGCCGTGATAGCCATCTATCGCTCAGCATTGCCGCGCAGACTTGATTGCTTAAAACCTTTAGCCAAAGATGAAGTTTTGTCCCAAACTTTCTTGCCAGATCCTTCTAAATTGTTGGCGTTGTCTAGGCTTCGCTTTTTGGGTCAATTGGTTCAATTTGCACCCCAGCAACTTTGGTCTTTTATTTTTTGGGAAGCTACTCTTCACAGTGACTCCTGGGCTGATCTTGTGAATGGTGACCTGGCTTGGCTGCAGCGTCATGTGCCGCTGGTAGACCATTGTCCTGCAGAAGGTTTCCCATCACACTCCTGGTTGGCTTGGCTTAACATGGTGGGAGCACATTGGCATGGAAAACTGAAGAAGACGAATCGCAGTGCCGTGCGATATCGTGTGGACGCTCTTGCTTGGCTGCAGTGGAGAACCCACTTCTTCAGCATCCTTGAAGCAGCAGGATTGGTTCCGCCGGTTGCTGCGTTGCCAAGCACCCTGCATTGCTGTGACTTGTGTGACGCCAGTTTCGCTTCCGTCAAGGCATTGGCGCTGCATTGTGCACACAAGCATGGATGGCGAGCTGCTGCGCGGGCCTTCGTGATGGACCTGTTTGCCATGCATGTGGGATGAACTATCGTTCCCGGCCGAGATGCCTTCGCCATTTAGAATACCGCAGGACGGGGTGTTTGACTTGGTTGATGCAGATGTTTGCTCCTATGCCACAGGAAGAGCAGATCCGCTTCGATAAGTGGGATCTCCATCAAAAGAGAGCCGCCCGAGCGGATCCTTTTCTGAGACGTGAGCTTGCCTTGCCTTGCACGCGGGAATTTGAGCCTGCTGCAGACCTTCGGCGTCTCTTGCCAATTGAAAAGGCGGAATCTCAACAAGCAGTCGATCGCGAGATTGTCCAGCACGGGGATCATCACTGGATGAAACTGAAAGAGGCCCTTGTTGAAGATTCAGAGCGCGCCTTTGCTGTGACGGCTTCCAGCAATGTCCTGAGCTCTGCTTGCTCTCCACGGCCTGTTCCGGGGACCCCAGTGTATCTTGTGTTGCATCTTTTCAATGGTCAGCGTAAGCACGGAGACTTACAGCATTGGCTTGAACATTTTACTCTGGATCAGCCTTTTCGTTTGTTGACCTTGTCATTGGATGTGGCCATTGACCCTGTCCAAGGGAACCTTGCTGATGCTGATACATTGAGTTTCTGGTGCTGATTTGTCAGAGTGTGCGTCTATTTGGAAGTTGCCATATACGAAGGCCTTGCTTGCTTTTCCGGCTGTTAAACGGCTGTATGTGGAACAAGGCCAATTCGGTCAGGTGTCGCGCAAGGGGACTCACTTGCTTTCAATAGCCTTGCCAGATCTTGAGAGTTCATTTCAACAGTTGGCTCAACCCATGGCTATTTCCAAACATGGTGTTGGTTGGAACTCCCAGAATCTGACTTTTCGCACTGAGGCCTTGAAGGCTTATCCTTCCAGGTTCAGTATGGCCATGGCCCGGTCAATTGTGCACGCAGCAGTCCATGCACATAAGACTGGCAGGTTGAGGGATATCCGGCATGACCCCCGATTTACTAGAGTTCATAGCTTGTATGTTGGTTCCATCAAAGGGGCTATGTCCGGGGACCTCTTCACGGGGATGGCACGAAGAAAGGATGGTCTGGATGCCCCCCTTCCCACATTTAATTAGGTGCCTGTCCGCCTACGTCGTTCCGACATTGTGGCGTGGAAATGAGGAAAAATGAGGAAATGTGTTTTTGTCTTGGACCTATGGCTTTGGCCATATATAGCATGAGTACTGAGCACCCTTTATATACGCTGTCAAGGCTCAAGGAAGAGGTAGTAGAGACAGAGCTTAGCTCGTACTAGTCCTAGCACTGACTGGCTTCTAGCCGTGTGTGGAGAACAAGTGCTGTGTGACTGGAAAACGCCCCTCTTCACCCCCCCCAAAGACTAAAACCTTTACTTAAACGCTCCAAATCAGGGACATCCCCAGCGACCCAAAAGAAAGGAAAAGTAGCTTGCACAGCAAGCGGAGAACTCAGGTAGCTTGGTGCTACCTTTCGTGAAAAATCACGGAAGTCGCAGCCCGTTCACGTTCTTCACAAGGTTTCATACTTGCATGGGCTGCAAAGGCATAGGATTATCATATGTCATGCATCTCTGTATCTCTCTCTCTCTCTCTGTGTTTCCTGTGTGCGGTTTAGTGTTGCGCATTGTTGCGTGTTGGTTGTGTTGTGTGCGTGGTTCTCTTCTACAACAGCCGCTGGGTGCTGTTGAATCTCGAAGATGGCTTGGCCCGCCTCATTCACAGCAGCACCCGGACGGACTGCCTAACGGAATCAGGCGCAGTCTGACGCGTGACACTCAAATATGCAAACAGACCCAAATAATTCACTTTGCACCTGACAATCTTGACAGAGATGTGCCCACAAGAAATATGATGCAATTTCGAAAGTATTGGCTTGAGCCCCGCACCTGGAAATGCTCCTGAAGTTGCTGGCAAATCTCCTCGCAGGAAGCCTTTTTTGGGAGGCCTCTCGAAAGCGCACTTTCCTTCGCAATTGCAGCGAAGAAGGAAAGGATTCCGACCAAACTCTGCTGAGGCAGATGTCAAGAACTCCTGGGTGGCCTGATGGCACAAGGTGAAGATTCATTAAGTACATCAGTCAAACACCATGAGTCCCAAGGGTCAACACTCTCAACACTCTCAAGACGGCACATCCCAACGGCAAACATCGACATGAAATGACATGAACATACATGGACGTAATAACCAGTGAGTGATTCTGACATGTCCAATCTGGAGCGTTCTACAGGTGTTCGGCACCTTTTCGGTGTTGTGTGGCACCCGTCTTCTCCTTGCCATGCTGTTTTGCTGTTGGGAGGGTAGGCTTTTCCCATGGCGGCAAGAGTTAGAAGCAGTAGCAGAAACTGATGCAAAAGCTTCTTTTCTACAGTTTCAGAAGGGACGTCCGGCACCCTTTCTGTGTTGTTTGGCACCCATTTTGTCCTTCACTGCCATGCTGTTTTGCTGTCCGGGACGGTAAAAGCTTCTCCTATGGCGGCAAGAGTTAGAAGCAGCAGCAGAAACTCATGCAAAAGCTTCTTTTCTACAGTTTCAGAAAGGTGTTCGGCACCTTTTCGGTGTTCTGTGGCACCCGTTTTGTCCTTCACTGCCATGCTGTTTTGCTGTCCGGGAGAGTTGATTGTATCCATCTTGTGCTAGCCCCCTTGTGAAACAAAAGATTTGCACCTGTTCGGCGCGAGCCTACCTGTTCGGCAGGGGAGTATATGTTGTTTAATTGCAAAAAGTGATTGTATATGTTGTTCATTACAAAATGTTGTCCCGTTTTAAGAGGGTCCTCCTCAACACCTACCTAAAAGGTAAGTTCGACTCAAACGTTTTCCAGGGTCGGCGGCAGGGGCGGCAGCCCTTAGATAGCTGGTCTGTGTTTCAAGAAATTTTGAAGCAAAATCCGTAGGTCCAGTTTTGCCGGGTCCTGAGCCGCATTTCTGCCTCAGCGCATTGGCCACGCCCAGCCGACAGCAAATGTGCCAGAAAAAAACAAATTTGGCCATGATTTTTAAACCATGTTAAGCTAAGATCTGATTTGGTCCCTTTCCATCCCTTTCGGCAAAAACATTGATTTAGAAAATAACAAAACGCTAGGAAAAAGGGGGCTAGATGCATCTCTTTCGTTTCTATTTCGGGCAGTCCAACGACTGTCCCTCCAACCGCTTTTCTCGTCCTCTCTTTGACCGAGGAACTTTTCTGCAAGGCGCTTCTAGCAGCCTTCAAGGCCAAGGCGGATAGGAAGATCCCGACAAAATTCTGACAGAGATTTAGAAAGATTCAAAAGAAATGAGTTTAGTTCAGCCAAGTTCAGCTAAGTTCAATGATTTTTTTAATAATCTTGATTTTTTGCATTTCGCAGAGATGGTTTTGAGTCCAGGATGCTTCAGGGAGACATGCAAACATGCAAGAGTTTGAATTGCACGTTTCCTGTACGCACAAAAATTGCAAAAATCATAAACAAACAGTGCAGATCTGTACAAACAGTACGTCATGATCAGCCACTCTAGGAAAACACATAGTGTGACAAGGTGTTTGTGCATGCGTCCATGTATTTCCAGTATCCTTCATTGATTAGTTGGCGTACTTCGTGTCCCAACGTTTCCTTCTCACTTTGTTTGCCCAGTCCCTTGCCCTTACGTCTAGTGAAGTGTTCACGAATTCCGGCAACAGACCCCAAACAGCGTGGGAGAGTGGGAGGATGATGATGCTGAGATGGATGTGGATGATGATGATGATGATGATGATGATGATGCTGGTGCTGGTGGTGGTGGTGATGATGATGATGTTGACAATGGCAATCTTGAGGAAAGTGATGAAAAGGATGATAATGTTGATGTTGCGGAAGATGACGTTGAGGTTGATGATGTTGAGGCTGATGAGGTCAAGGGGGGAAGGTGATGATGTTGGGAATGACGATGTTGAGGAGGAGGAAGATGATGATGTTGAGGAGGAGGACCAATCCCAAAACCGGGACCCACACTTTGTGCAAGCCTGCACAATCGACATGCACTTGGGCATTTCACAAGGGCCAATTTAAGCGAGAATTTACAGTGAAATGCGGGGGCCCAAGACCGGGGACCACACTTTGTGCGAGCCTGCGCAATCGAAATGCACTTGGACATTTCACAAGAGCCACTTTGCGCGAAAATTTACAGGAAAAATGCCGGGGCCCAGATGGAGCACCCTGATCAAGCACCAGCCTTTACTCTTACCGTAAGAACCCCTCAGTGTGGACACACTGTTTGGGGAAAAAACAACAATGAAGGATAATTATTCCAGGTTCCTCTGTCTATCTCTGTCCACCGAGACCCTGCTCCATTCTTTAGATTAGGATGTTGTTCTGCGTTGCCGAAAGTGGTGGTCACATGTTGTCACGGCATGTTGTGATGACATGTTGTCCGAAGTCTTCCTGCCTCTAGGAGGATTTTGCGCCTGGTGGCAGTGGCATTGCTCTCGCCCAAAGCCTTGCCCCACAAATGTTGTGAACACTTTGCGGTCTGAAACAAACACTGCGAGCCACAAACCTACACCGTTTGAGTGTGCGCAACTACAAAAATAATTGCACGTTTCGATTTTACGGTTCTTTACAAAGTGTCAGCCCGAATCCTATCAGTGGTGTGTCGTGTCAGCAAATGTGTGCGAAGTTGGTATGCCATGTTGATCTTGGGCGGTGGGCTACATCGATCGCGGGACGCTCCGAATATCCCAATAATTATCTTCCTTTTCGAATCATGTTTTCCTATGCTTTCCGTAGCTCGAACACGTCGTCTGAAGACGTCGTGCTCAGACATGACGTTCGCACATGAGTTGGATGCAATCGACTTTGTTCTGCTTTATACCAAGTGCCTGTGGGGACACTTTGCGCAAGATCTCTGTCGTTGGTACAGTTCTCAAGCCAGACGCTCGGGCAAGACCTTTGCACGACTTTGCCTTAAGGCCTTGTTGGAGATTCAAGACGCCGAAGAGATTGCTCAAGCGCCAGAAAAAGTAACCGTAACCCTTCTCGGGACAACAGCTTGAGGAAGCAGCAGCCATCCTGCCAAGCATGCAAACTCAGGCGCGCAATCAAGTGTCCATACTGCCCATACTTTGGCAAAGCTGCTCGGCTTGCCATGTCGCAGTGGTCTACAGCCTTGCCAAGCTGTCTACAGCATGTCAAGTTTTAAGACGGCTTTGCTTTCAGCTTCAAGATGATGCAGAATCTTTGAAGGGGAGTGGCGGAATGTTTCGAGCAAGCCAAGGTCTGTTTGGCTCACTACATATCACAGCTTGCATGCTACGTGGACACCGTCGAGACATCGACCACTTGAGCGCGGAGGTGGTCCCGGCTGCCGTTTTCCTCCTTTTTGTTTTGTTTGTTTTCATGTTGTTTCATGTTTAGGGTCTTTGGAAGTCTTTGGGCACAAGTGCCGAAGACACACATTTTTTTCTTCCAGTGGTTGATCAGGCTGAAAAGGAGCCGAGCTGGTAGCTAATTGCTGTGCTTTGCATGGAAGCCAGCAAACATTGCCCATTGGTTGCAATGTTTGATGTGCTTGCCACCAGCTATTGTATCCTATTGTGGAGCTCTGGACAAGCAGAGAGTTCCCGTTTGGACTAGAGGCTGCGCATAGCCACCCCTCAAACCGAGAGCCCGTGCGCGATAGAATTCTTTACAATTTGCATTTCCAAATGTCTCAAGAACAAGCATGCAGGCGCAAGCAAGATCAGGAGCCCGTGCTACGAATTCTTTTTCAGGGTCTGAGTTGCCGGCTGCAGCACCAAAATCTGCACGTCCAAAGTCCCTGAGCAACGCAGCAGCATCCAGCGCCACACCCCGAATTGATTCCTCTGCAGCTCCACGCACCTCAATATCAGCAGACGCAACAGAGACGGAGACTGTGCGCGGCAGAAAATGAACAATCATGTATGCAGTATAGTATACATTCATAATTTATAATATAATGTAATTATATAATATATAATATGTATAAGTAAATAATAATAAATATATGCACACAAACTCGAGAAAATCTTGGGGTATAGAAAAATACCCGAGGTTTGAAAAGCAAACCCGAGGTTTCCAAAAACGTGAGACTTTCCCAAAACTGAAACCTTTAAAGACTGCCGTGGAACACATGTTTTCCCCCTGTGTATTTGCACAAAGTGCTGTGCTTTCTCTTGTTCTTAATTACGAAAACATGAAAAATCACCAAACAAAAATGAACAAAGCAGCTTACAATCCGGCTCATACAAACCGATCAAGTGGTACGTGTTTAGTACGGGTTTGGAAAAACCATGAATAACCGATGTTTGCTGGCAAAACCGATGTATTTGCAGAAATACTATGGGATAATTAGTACGGGTTTGGTATGGGCTTTCGAGAAACCCGAACTTTTCCAAACAAAAATCAAAAAATGTGTTACAAGACTGTGCAAAGGATTTGGGCACAAGTAAATCTCGAACAAAGGTGGCAAAGAGATACAGACTGGTTCTATTCTATAGTGAACTAGAACCTGCGGAACAAAGGAAGGCCTTAGCAAAATTGAGGAAGAAACACTGGATAAACCCGAGGTTTTCCGGCCATACCCGAGGTATTTTTCAAATTCATGGAATACCCGAGGTATTGTTTTATTTATACCCGAAGAAAAGTTAGGGTTTGGGTTTCGCAGGTAGATATAGTATATACATGTGTATCATATAATAATATACGTATATAGATTATATATAGGAACAATGTGTTCAGAAATACAAAACTAGACTTGCAAAAAAAATGACTCAAGAAGGCAAGGGAGACGATCAACGACCCAGAAAGAACTTCAAGAAAAAAGATTGTACTGGTAACTGTAGGAAAGAGCCCAGGACGAGGTGAAGGGTTCCAACATTCCAAACACAGGAGCTGATGTAAAATAGTGACGAAGAGAAAAGCAAAAAAACATGTGTTTTTTTTTCTCCTTTTGCTCGTTGTTCCTTGTTCCTTTTTGTCTTGTCCCTCCTATTTGTTCCTTTTTTGTTTGCGTTCTCGTTGTGACTCGAATGCCGCCCCTTGCTCCATTTTGGATATAGTGCGAGTGTGTGCGAGTTCTCCTTATACCATCTTATACCTTTTTTATTCGTGGTCTCCTGAGTCTCCTCAATTTCTCTTCATTTCCTGATTTCGCCCCCACTCTCTTAAAAAGGTGTTTTGCATGATCTTCTCATTCAACAATATTGTGTCCTTATGTTTTCATGTATGACTCATGCCTCACTTTTTTGTGTTGCCATGTGTGTAATTGTCGTTAGTTACATTTTGAGTTGTGTTGCCATTAGTTATCCATTCCCAGAGGATCCATGTATGGAATATTTACCTACATTGACCCCTAAAGTAATTTTAAATAATCCCAATGTAGGTAAATATTCCAGCACCATGGATCCTTAGGGATCCTTATGTTGTAAATTAGTCCAAATTGGATAATTGCCATTGTTGTGTAATTATCCATTAGTAATTGGATAATTGGATAATTAGTAATTGTCATTAGTTATCCAATGTCATTAGTAATTGTCGTTAGTTTCCTGTTAGTTATTACTAATGTTATCCACAACACAAAGCGTCAGGGCTCCATGCCAAAGCAGCTTCGGCTCCCAGATCTGTGCCGTGCGGCCTTGACTCAAAGAAACCGCTTCGCAACAGATACGCAACAAATACACAAAAAATACAGAAAAAAATACGAAAATTGTACGAAAATACATGAAAATACACATCATATATCATCACTATTGAATCACTATTGAATCAATACATATATGAATACACATTGGAATTCTTTCACAAATCACCCCGTACTGTCATTTCACAATGTAAAGCACAAAACCAAACTCAACGGTACAAGATTCACCAATATTCACAGTAATTATATTGTAATTACATTCATACAGAGAAATTCAATGCAAGACTCAGCGGTAGTGCTCGCCCCAATTCCTCTCCACTCTCCATGGACTCGTCATGTTGCATCGTGTGTTGACTCGCTTCCTGATGTTTTCATTATTTTTGCGTTTCAAGATGTTCTCACAACCGATTCAACTGATTCAACTGATTCAATTGATTCGACTGATTCTCCCAGGGATCCCAACTTTGCCGCCAGCTCACACAGGAGACAACATACATCGATTGTTTCGGCCTTGGCAGGGCTGGGCACAGGTGGCCTGCAACGCTTGGATCTGCTTGGATCTGCTTGGATCTTGGCCCTGTGATCCGGCACTTGACGCATCATGTGACGTTGAAATTCATTGTCATTGAAACACAAATTCCAATATTCCAAATTCATTTTGAAATTTCAAAATGCCATGATTTTTGGAATTTAAATTTGAAATTTCAAAAATCATGGCATGTGGTGTTGGAATTTCCAAATGTGTTGAATTTCCAAATTTGAAATTAATTTTGAAATTTCAAAATGCCATGATTTTTGGAATTTAAATTTGAAATTTCAAAAATCATGGCATGTGGTGTTGGAATTTCCAAATGTGTTGAATTTCCAAATTTGAAATTCATTTTGAAATTTCAAAATGCCATGATTTTTGGAATTTAAATTTGAAATTTCAAAAATCATGGCATGTGGTGTTGGAATTTCCAAATGTGTTGAATTTCCAAATTTGAAATTCATTTTGAAATTTCAAAATGCCATGATTTTCAAATGTTTTCGCCAGTTTTGCCAGACACCATTTAAAGACTTCATAAAGACCCGGTAAAATCGGCAAGATCTTGTCTAAATCCTCAGGTTTCCTTCTCTGCGCAACACGGGTCTCTAGATGTCTCTAGGCAAGCCGCTGCTGCAGAGAAAGCGGTCTGCAGAAAGCTGTAGGATCGGAGGGAGACAACATATTATAACATGTTATAACATATTATAACATATGTCGACATGAGAGAGCCCATCAACTGAAGCTACGACCAAAAAAGTCTTCGCTTCAATGCAGCGTTTTGCCGGTAGTTTGCATGAAATATCTGCCGTCAATTTGTCAATTCAAATCATTCGGATCAACTCCGAACGCGGCAAAGGGCCTCCTGCTGAAGATGCTGCCTCCGGGAAAACAACAAGACTCGGCCCGACTCGGCCTTTGGACATCAAAACTTCCCAAAGACTTAAAAACTTCTTAACATGATATGAAAATGATATGAACATGACATGAACATGACTTAACATGCGATTGTGATTGGCCAATGTTAGGTAGCAGAGATTAGCAGAGATTAGCAGAGTGCCGGTCACTTGCCTTCTAGACTTCTAGAGTTTGTCAGTGTCAGCATGCGAGCTGCGGATAGACAGCCTGTAATGTGTGGGTGTATCATGGGGATATCTTTGATACCTTTGGTTCCATTCCTATGAAAAGACATGTGATTGTTTTGCCCAAGATGTCATAATGCGCCATCTTGACCCCAAAAGTGGGGCCATCCTACAAAATGGCTGACTTGGTACCATGTAATTAGGGACATGTAGGGACCATATGGCAATGTTCAAGCCTGAAGCAATTCTTCCGATTCACCGCCAAATAAACAAATAAACAAAAATTAGGTTCACTTAGCTACTGCTCTTCTTTCCATTTTCAAATTCTGTTGAATACATTTTATGGAGAGATGTGGACGTGATAAGTGATACCCCACCTCTCAGACTGCAGACGCCCATCGTGCCGAAGATTTCGCCAAACAGCCAAAGGTGACAAGTTCTCATACTCTGCAGTACACTTGGCTCCTGCCAGCCTGGGCATCTCGGCATCAGCATATCGCAGCATATCGCACATCCCAGCATTCCCATGCTCCAAGAAAGGCCCCTTCTCGGGACTTCTCGGGACCCCAAAACGACTCAAAAGTCAAATGCATTTCGCGGTGTCGGGGTGGTTTTGTTCCGTCAGGAAGTCTCTCTCTGTCCTGGGGTCCCTGACGTTTCCGAGAGATCGCTCAATCTCTGTTGGCCCAAAGCACGCCACGCGTCCCCTGCTCCGATGAACAGAAACGCTTCCGTGGCTTCCTTCACCACCTGCGACGCTACGACATGACGGAGAGGCAATGGTGACATTAAAATCATGACATCTCCAAGAAACCTATTGACTGTGATAGATTGGAATCGATATGGATCTATAAATCTGAACAGGTACATAAAACACATAAAACACAATATCTTTTCTTTCGTATCGATTGTATACACTGCATATGTACAGTGTATAATAAAAAAATACATACGCTGCATTACATTACATTACTTTACTTTATTTTATTTTCCTTTTCATTACATGCATATTAGCTACCCCGGCTCCAAGATTGGCATCAGTTAACATCTCTTTAAAAGGACTAATGCACCTTTTTGATTGGAAACCCTTCACTTTCAGAGCAAGTACCGTCCATGTTTTTGTATTTTGCAAGAATAATGATTCCAAACTATTGCTTCCTTAAGGCAACATGTTCAGTCTTTCAAATGAGTGCAGTCTTGCTTTCAACATATCCAGTGTTTTCTTCAAAGCGCTGTCATCTATAATAAGTGCAATATTTAGGCCAGTGCCGCATTGCTTCCAAAGTATTCAGCACTTTTGCTACAAGATAATTCTTCATTACAGACTTTTAATTGAATGTAGTATTTTTTTCCAAAAGAGTACTTCTTTGATAAGACAATCACATTGTAATATGAAGGACGCTCTGACAAAGAGCGCAGTGTTTAATGAGTGCAATCCATTCAAATAATCCTTGTAAAACATGTCTTAATAAGAAGCGCAGTCTTTCAAGCCAGTGCAGTCTTCTTTTCAAATGTCCAGTAAATCTTTCGAAACGTCAATATACATGCACAAAAAGCAACATGCATTTATGAATAAGTGCAGTTTTTTAAATCAATGCAATCCCTTCAAAATGTGCACTGCTGCTTTTGACACACCAATCTTTGGTACGATGTGCAGCCCTTTAAACCAGAACAGTCTACCTTTCAAAATGTTCAGGATTTCTTTGCAGAAATATTCATGCGGAATATACAGTTTTTTCATTTGGAATAAATAAAGCCTTTCTGCATGAGTGCAGTCTTCCATTCAAAATGTCAAGCCCCCGCTTTCAAAAAGGCACTACTGTTGAACAATATGCAACGTTCTGCAGTCTTCCATCCAAATCGTGGAGCGCTTCCTTTCAAAATTAAAACGACTAACTATAATAGGACATTCAAAATTGAAACAATTTGAATCCAGTGCGGTCTTTCTTTGAACAATGTTTCTTCATGTTTCTTCTAGACGGGCAATATTTCAGAAGATGTACGGTCTTTCCAATGAATGCACTGTGTTTCGAAATGCCCGATTGTATTTACTTCTTTTAGACATGCAGGCAATATTTTTAGAAAATGCAAAGTCTTTCAAGTGAGTGCAGTCTGTCTTGTAAAAATGCCCAACACTGCTTTAAGAGAATGATAAGCTTGCAGTCTTATACATTCATTTGCCCCTATCTTTGCATGATATATACTTAGTTTTCCGTAGAGGGCAACCAAATTCTTTCAAAGAGAGCAGTGCACACATTGAAGGATATGATATTAAAGTAGTACCATGCGCTTTTATACAAACGCTCTACAATCCTTCAGAAAGAGCACTGTATACATTGAAGGAAAACATTTTGCAGTAGTATTATGCTCGGGAACCTTTTTGCAAAGAGATACTGCACATTTGAAAGGACTCTCTGACAAAATTCCATGAAACTGAAAATCTAAAATGTCCTCGGCTGCTGGCCGCAAATAAAAGACTGAAAAACTGAATGAAATATGTTGGCAAACGGCGGTTTCGCAACCTTCGCACACCCTTGTTTAAAAAAGAACGGAATCTTCGCACGTTCACAGCACCGAATGGATTGCAATCGCTTGCAATCAACTGCAATCTTGTGTATGCCACGCCTGGATTAGGATTCAAGGTTTACGACTGAAAAAAAAGTATATGGCTGTATATAGCATATCATTCTTACGTAATATCTGTATATATCTGTATTTTCTTTTCTCTTGTACAATCTCGGCCTCGGCACAGCCTTCAACGATCTCTTTGAACGCCACGGCACCACTCTTTAAAGCACGGGTGTCTGGCAGGCCTAGGAACGAAAATCACAGGAAATCTCAAGAACAAATGAGTCAGCAATAGTCAGCATACTTAAATATGTATTTGTATGTGTGCATGTACAGAACATCAAACTTAAGTGTCAAGTCACACCACTTCTAAACATTAACTAAAATAAAACAATTGGATAGCACGCAATAAACCAGCAATACACGTCAAAGGCTAGGTGAAATTGTGCAATCCTAAAATGATATGTTTCGCCAAACAGTTCACAAGTGCTGCAACTTGATATAGTTTGACTGTAGCCACTGTCTACAATCTGACCCTGAATTGTTTGAAGATTGTAGAAGAGTGCGTGAATCAAACACTTCAAACTTCAAAACAATTCAAAGTATATAATTATCAGTGAGTTATCAGGTGCAAAGGACTTGCTTCAAGCTCTTCCTGCCACTAAACGCCACCAACATTTTGCAACAACATGAGACCTTTTAACATCTTTTAACAATCTTGTAACATAAATTAGCGGGTTTAATCTTCAGCAATTTCATACCCTTTTTCAACCTCTTCATATTTGTTCGACATTGCTGTCACTATGCTGGGCATCTGGGCCAGGCAGTGGCACAGAATAGACCAGGAGTGCACACAGAGACCTCACCAAAACTTTGGAAACGAAAAAATCAGAAATTGTAAATTCTTTCTAATTCTTTAATATGAATTTAGTACAGGAAATCTTCGGATCTTGTGATTATTCTGGGATTTCATGGGATACTCAGACATAGATTCCTGATATTTTGTGAATGATTTTCACAGATCAAGTTGGCAAGATCAAGGCGATGCTATAGGTGGTAGATGCTAGAAAAAATGCCTGCATTGATTTTTTTCGCAAAAAATCAAATCAGATCCACCTTGGTCTCGCTATGTCTCGTTACATCTCGTTACTTCCTCTTTCCCCCGGGACTGGGATCCAGACCCCAGCAAACTCACGGACATGTATTCCAAGCACATGAACAGGACGTGTATTTCTCCTTGTTCACCGCTGTTGGAAGCCAAGAGGTCCATGGTGAAATATGCTGTGAGTCCAACCGTATACCTCAACGCAGAAAAACGAGAAAAAACGAGAAAGCATGAGAAAAAAAAGGTTCGAAACATGCTGAGTCAACAGTCGAAACATGTTGACTAGACAGTGCACAGGCGCACTACACAGAATACTCAAACTGGACCGGATGAATCGCGCCGCATATACCCCATGCATCTCCCTGCATCCCTGTGTGTAATGTGTCAATGTGTGTGTGTGTATGTGTGTGCAAATTGGTTCATCATGCAGTTCGTCATCCGATGTTGTTCACTGTCCGTGGTTTCACTGGGTGTCTCTGGGTGTCTCTGGGTGCCTGACTGCTTGGAGGTTTCGGACAAAGGCAGCAAACACGCAATGGCCACGAAAGCAACAGACACAACTATCACCCAAGTCTCAGAGTCCTGAAACGACCAAGCGAAGCAAAGTGAAACGACGAGATGCTCAAGGTCGCCGCAGCGCTATGACTATGACTCTGTGAGATAATCAGATAATCGGTTATCCGTTTGAAATTTGGCCAAGTGTTCCAATGTTTTCTCAAATCCGAACTGCCAGTGATCATATTTGATGTTTTTTGATTACATATATGAACCCACAATCTGATAAGACCATATTGTAAGCATCTGGCTGCATCAAACGAAGACATGTCTGCATCCCTCGCCTGGATGAAGTGACCAATGGCGGTTGCGTTGAGGATTGCCAAGGCAGTTCCTCGTTGAATCGTTGATGCTGAGCTAACAGGTGGGGAAAAATAGAGCCAGCAGAAGACTCTTGGTTTCTTTGTGCTATCTGAAACCCAAACTCTCCAGAATGGACCTTGTGTTTTGTCTAAAAGCCTGAAAGTGTGACTCTTCAGAACTTTTGTGTTGTCCATTTTGATCCATTTTGATCCATGTTGATCCATTTTGATCCATTTTATTTACGTTTCAATCTTGCTCAATGCCACCAGCATAAAGTATCATAAAGTCATATAAAATCCTGCTGCCTGGTTTAAGTCCCGTGCCAAGAACAGACACGAAGCAAAGGAAACTGGTCTCCTGCCGAAAAAATCGAAGCTGAAGACAGCTGACTCTTCATTGATTGCCTGGAAGCTCACTGATTGCCTGGACCCTTCCCATGCCTTCCCTCTTTCGCGGTTGTTTGAAGCTGTGATTGTGAAACTGGACAGTGGACAGCTCTATGTGAAACTTTACCAACTTCACAGTTGCATTGCGAAACTTCGGAAAATCGGAAGAGCCTATTTGGCAACTACGAAGTTGCAACTTGATAAGGTTTCGCACCGGCGCGTCGGCAGCTGGATGTCTACAAATGCTCATCTAACATGGAAGAAATAGGAAGAAATGGTGCCACGTCTTAGGAATGATTTGGTAGGCCTGAGAGTGCCTGAGAGTGCCTGAGAGTGGAAAGCTTGGAATTCAATAGCACTGACAGGGATGAACTTGCTTATAGATAAATGCAACATTAACTTGCCCAACACTGCAAGATTCATTGTGTTTCTAGATGTTTCTATGTGTTTCTTGCATCCCTTCCAAGCTAGTTGCATCTAGTTGCACAAGTTGCCAGAGATTAGTTTCAGAATGCGCCTTTGGACGACGGACGCAAAGAACGGACGCCATGGCGGACCAAAAACAAAAAGGGTAACTACATGTGGTAACATGTGAACTAATGTGGTAACTACTAGGGTAACTACTAATTGGATCATATTGGATCACAGTGTCCATGTCCAAACATGTCCAAACTATCTTTACAAGGTGAAGGGATGTGAAGGAGGAGTTCTCACAGAACGGAAGCCAGACCGGACTTGAAGATCGCATGCAGTTGAATCTAGACTGGAGGCACAGAAGAAAATACAATGACAATAAAGCACTGAAGTATACTGAAGTATACTGAAGTATCGCAATCGGAAAAAGCTGACTAGATGGGTCAAAGATGGGTTAAAGATGGGTTAAAGATGGACACGAAAGTCTCAATGACCTGTCCTTGTCAAAGGGCTGTCCTGAACCCCCATCATGTACCACCTACTCCGAATAGCTGACTGGCTGATTCAACCTTATCTTTTCTTTGGGGGGCGTTTCTGGAAGGTTTGCTGGGAGTCCTCACAAACAAAAAATATCAAAAGTGAAGGTGAGGTTAGTATGGGTCAAACCCACAAAGTATGCAAACATATGGGCCTTGTTCAAAATCTCCCTTCTTGTTTTGTGTGCGATAATCCCCGGCTTGCGTTACGTTTCGTCAGGTAGGCTTACATCATCACGCTTATAGCAAATGCTGTTTTTTCCTCGCAAACAGGTTTAGTGTATGGGGTGCTCATTGCTTTCTAGAGTTTTCGCCTTTCTGTCAAATGCTGTCTGCCGCTGTCTTGTCTCCCTTCTTCGGGTCGCGTTTGGATGCTGTGTCCGCCTTCTGGCAAGCTTGTCTCATCTTGTCTCATCTTGTCTCCCTGCATTCGTGCCTCATCGTGCCTCTCTTCTTGTCTCCATTTCTTCCTGCGTTGCGGTTCCGTGCTGTGTCTGCGATGTCTGCTTTCTCATCGCCTCTCTTCGGTTGTCTTCTTCACGTGACATCTTTGACATCTTGTTGTCACCTCTCTTCGCACAGCGCTGATGCTTCGGCCCTTCTTGAGGCTGTTCTTGTCTCCTTGTCTCCTTCTTGTCTCCTTTTTGCCTTGCCCTTTGTGTCGACCTCACAGCTTGTCTCCCTTCGTTTTGTCACGCTTCCTGTGTCCTGTCGTCACCTTGCTGTTGGATGCTGAGCCAGCCTTCTCCTGGCTTGTCCCCGCCGCTTCTGCCCTGCTATGCTGTGTTCAACCTGGTGGCGTGTCTCCCTTCTTGGCTCCGTCCGCCTTCTCAAGTCCCGTTTCTGGTTTCTTCCATCCTTGACTTCCTTGTTCCTTACCTTCATGTTCGATGTTGCGTCCGACTTTTAATAGCTTGTTCCCAGTTGGCTCGTTTTTTGTCTGCCTGCTTGTTGTCCTTCTTGTCCTTCTTGTCCTTCTTGTCCTTCTTGTCCTTCTTGTCCTTCTTGTCCTTCTTTTCATCTCGTCTTGGATCATTCGAAAGTCTGGAAGATTTTGTTGAGCTCTTTTAGATGTTGATTAAAAGACAACGGAATTCACTTCCTCTGAGGAATCTTGCTGTACAGTCTTGATACCAAACAACTGTTTAAGCCTACGTGGGCCCATGGGTAAGCCGGGCATTTTTCGCTCGTAGCAAGCTTCTGGTTCGCTTACGCTGAGCTTACGGCAAAAATTGGCAGCAAGTTTAAACATGAATTGTTTAAAATTGGCAGAATTGTTCAAACGCACCAGTCTACGCCACATTCGTGGTTTCACCTGGTTCAACCTTGTTCAACCTTGTTCAACCTGATTGAACCTTCAGACACGGAATGGTGCTCAACTGAAGTGTGTGGCGTCAGCATTATGTTGCATTGCGTTGCAGTTTGTGAATGATTAAGGTCACTATGACAGTTGCTATGAGTGCTTGACAAAAAGATACAAAAAGTGATTGTTAGGTCACTATTGTTGGTTATTTTGTGTTTGGTTGGTCCCATAGGCTTGGACTTTCATAGTCTTCCAGCAATTCATGTTGTATCACGACGCCCTTGCGGTAACATGTCTGCAAAAAAACTTATGTCAACCTTACGCAAGCCTTACACAACTCAGGAAAACGCGCACTTTACATTTAAATCTTTTAACGCATTATTTCCAGCCCAATACTAAAAATGTAAAGGGACATTTAGAACGCTCGTCTGGAAAGTGGACTCTTAGATGGTATGGGAATGGTTACCTGCCTATGTTGTTTGATCAAAATTTGATCTCTACCCTACTCAGCCCCACTCGTACCTCATCAAACAATATGATGTTGAACTACAATTTGGATCAGCATATCAAAGCAGAATAAACAAACGATGAAATAAAGACAAATGTGACGGCATAACGATGACGTGCTTCAGCTGAAATCACGGCGCAGATAGTACAGATATTATAAGAGTTTGCCGAAATCTAGCGAAGAGGATGATGAGTATGCAAATGGGATAAAGACAGAAGCTTGCTCAGCAAAGGGGATTGTGTGAAATAAAGTGAAAGATGTGTGGATGATGTGAGAAGAGAACGCGTGCTGCAACTAGTCACTAGTCATTAAGTCTCAGATTGAAACTGCTTCATTCACTCACTGAGGGGCAGGAATACTTGAAACCGGATTCAAGCAAAAGAGGAGGACCAAGTGCCAAACTGTGTCAGTGTATTTCCTTAGTACTGAGATGTATAATATATATATATTATAATATCCGCCGACCCCGGCAGACGCAAGGGGGAGCGCGCCCGGAATAATACTTTTGACTCTTGTTTCGGACTACTACCACAGTGCTGCTCTGCTGCTGCTGCAGCAACAGCTGCAGCAGCAGCAGTAGCATCAGCAGACGCCAGCACCAGCATCACCACCAGCAGCAGCAGCAGGAGCAGTAGCAGCAGCAGCAGCAGCAGCAGTAGCATCAGCAGACGCCAGCACCAGCAGCAGCAGCAGCTGCAATACAGTAGCAGGAACAGAAAGAATAGCTGCAACAGCAGCGCGGCGGACGCCTGCACCACCACCATTAGCAGTAGCTGCAAAAATGTTGTTCTTCGGCGCAGCATGTTTTTGGAGGTCGTTCCGTCCTTCAGTAGCATGGTGTTTCAGACGCCAGCACCAGCATCACCACCAGCAGCAGCAGCAGGAGCAGTAGCAGCAGCAGCAGCAGCAGAAGCAGCAGCAGCAGCATATATATTGTTGAGTTTTCTGTCTGGTCTTCATGCTGCTACTTAGGTTCTGGTTTGAAGTTGCGGAAGTTATAGCATACGTTATAACATAGGTTATAACCTCTGTAACTCTATAACATAGGTTATAATCTATGTTATGGAAGTTACAACATGAAGTTAGTCACTTCCTGTTACTAACTTAGATATATCTTATGTGGTAACTTCAACCACTTGTTTCAAAACTTGAAAACATAACTTCGATTAGGCTTGTTTTTATGCCTAATCATTTTCAAAAAGAACAGAGGCGCTGTTTGCAAGATTTTGGAGAGGATGATCCTCTGAAGTAGATTCAGCTTTTGCGTTGCTTTTTGGAGCGGGCCATCCGCTTTAGATAGACAATTTTAATATGAAAATATGGCACTACAAAGGGTCTACCCGTATACCACCGTATACCGGCCGTATACCAAACAGGAAATGGACCGTATACCAACCGTATACCAATGGTATACCAACTTGAGGGCACCATGGCAACAGACCAGTTGAAAATTTATACGTTGCTTTCTTTTCGATATCTCTGTAAAGCTTTCATTGAAAAATCTTTCGCAGGATTTCGCTGCAGCTCAAACTTAGAAGTTTTTGGGTTACACTTTCTTGTAAAAAAGCAAACCTCCAAAAACACAAAAAATAACTTCAAAATAACTTTGGAAAGCTACTTTTTATAACTTGTGTAACTTTGTTATAACATAACTATAACATACGTTATAACTTCCGCAACTTCAAACCAGAACCTATGTACGCTCCTTGACCTTCTCTACCTCTTGTTAGGCTTCTTGGGCTTCCCTACCTCATGTGATGCTGCTTACTGTGCTCTGTATCATACTGTGCTATTCGGTCTTGCCCTCACGATGCTACGCTGCATGATTCCCGACGTCAAACTACACTGCTTGACCTTCCCTAACTGATGTTATGCTGCTTAATGTTGTTGAATCAGATCGTGTTACGCTGTTTGGTCTTGTCTTCATGATGCTACGCTGCTTGGTCTTCTCTACATCATGCCTTGCTACACAGCGAATGAGTTTCATCAGCATAGGTTTTAGCACCCAAAACTATTCTAGGAGCACAAGTTTTTCGTGTTTGGCATCAGCAGCGTCACTAGTTGCCAATTTCTGGTTTCATCTAGAAAAAAGCGCTGGCGAGGTGAGGCGCCCAAAATTGCAGATTCTGTGACGGAACTGATGGTCAAAAGGCAACAACTCACTTTCATCAAGCAGAAGCCAGCTCACTTTCATATATTTTTACCTCGCTGCCAAAGCGTGCATAAGCGCTCTTGCAATGAAGAGACGGGCACGCCCTCAAACCTTTCGCTGTCAAGCAAACGCCGCGCAGCACCTGGACCTGGTAAGTCTTGTATATACTCTATCCGTACGATGGACAGTTCGAGGCTGCTGGACCTTCCCACCTCATGTCAGGCTGCTTGATGTCCCCTAAATCGTGTTATGCTTTTTGTTTTTGTTTCACGCTGCTGCATTGTTTGATCTTATCCTCCTCATGCTACGCTGCTGCACCACCCGCCCTACCTCCTGTTGCTTGGTGTTTTCGACATCAGATCTTTGATTTTTGATAGTTTGATCTTGCCTTGGCGATGCTACACTGCTCGACCTTGACTACCTCATTTGTGCTGCCTGATGTCCCCTACATCAGGTTGTGCTTTTCGATCTGGTCTGCATGGTGCTAGGCTGCTTGATCTTCTCCGCCTCATGCTGCCGCTTGATCTCCCCTGCCTATCCCCGCGTCATGTTATGCTGCTTGATCTTCTCTGAATCATGTTATGCTACTCGATCTGGTCTTCATAATGCCACGCTGCTTGATTGTCTCTACCTCATGCTATGCAGCTGAACCTTCCCTACCGCATGTTATGTTTCTTGGTGTTCCCTGTATCATGTTATGCTGTTTGATACTGTCATCAAGACGGTACGCTGCTTGATCTTTAATACCTCATGCTACGTTCTTGACCTTCCTTTCTTATGTTGCTTGTGTTCTCTCTCTATATATATATATATATAGTTGAGTTTTCTGCCGGGTCTTCATGCTGCTATGCTGCTTGACCTTCTCTACCTCTTGTTAGGCTTCTTGGGCTTCCCTACCTCATGTGATGCTGCTTAATGTGCTCTGTATCATACTGTGCTATTCGGTCTTGCCCTCACGATGCTACGCTGCATGATTCCCGACGTCAAACTACACTGCTTGACCTTCCCTAACTGATGTTCTGCTGCTTAATGTTGTTAAATCAGATCGTGTTACGCTGTTTGGTCTTGTCTTCATGATGCTACGCTGCTTGGTCTTCTCTACATCATGCCTTGCTACACAGCGAATGAGTTTCATCAGCATAGGTTTTAGCACCCAAAACTATTCTAGGAGCACAAGCTTTTCGTGTTTGGCATCAGCAGCGTCACTAGTTGCCATTTTCTGGTTTCATCTAGAAAAAAGCGCTGGCGAGGTGAGGCGCCCAAAATTGCAGATTCTGTGACGGAACTGATGGTCAAAAGACAACAACTCACTTTCATCAAGCAGAAACCAACTCACTTTCATATATTTTTACCTCGCTGCCAAAGCGTGCGTAAGCGCTCTTGGAATGAAGAGACGGGCACGCCCTCAAACCTTTCGCTGTCAAGCAAACGCCGCGCAGCACCTGGCAAGTCTTGTATATACTCTATCCGCCAAATAAACGCTAAGCGTCCATAGCACGGGCCCCCCCCCCCTTGAAAGGCGGACCGAGACATAACCGGCCCAAACTCTTGCACTTGCACCGCTCGCCCCCTAATACTTGCTACGCAAGGGGGAACTCAGGTAGCTCACCGCTACCTTTCGAGAAAAAGTGCACGCCGTTGTGGCGCGAAGCACATTTCCAAGTCAAAATGTGCAAAACACATCATGCTCGGACTGCTTTTGGAAGTTGAGATGTCGAAAAAGTGCACGCCGTTGTGGCGCGAAGCACATTTCCAAGTAAAAATGTACAAAGCACACCATGCTCGGACCACTTTTAGACGTTCAGATGTCCAAAAAGTGTACGCCGTTGTGGCGCGAAGCACATTTGCAAGTGAAAATGTACAAAGCACACCATGCTCGGACCACTTTTGGAAGTTCCCATCTCGAAAAAGTGCACGCCGTTGTGGCGCGAAGCACATTTCGAAGGCAAAATGTGCAAAACACCAGGGATTTTGACTACTTGCGGAGGTTCAGATGTCGCTTCCCTTCATTACACTACACTACATTACACTACACTACACTGCACTCCACTACACTACATTACACTACACTCCACTATACAAAACTAAGCCATACTACACTCCATATCACAGCACACTACACTCCACAGCACTACAACTAAAACTACACAACTACACTCCACTACACTCCGCTACACTAAATTACACTACCCTACACTACATTACACTACACTACACTCCACTACCCTACACTACATTACACTACACTAGACTCCACTAGAATACATTACTGTACGCTACACTCCACTACACTACAACAACAACTACACAACTACACTCCACTACACTAGATTGCATTACACTACACTACACTACATTCCACTTCACTCCACTACACTGCACTACATTACACTACACTACATTACACTCCACTACACTACATTACACTACACTACACTCCACAACACAACATTACACTACACTACACTACCTTCCACTACGCTTCACAACAATACACTACACTACACTCCACTACACTACAACTACAACTGCGCAACTACACTCCACTACACTTAATTACACTACACTACATTACACTATATGCACTACACTACCTTCCACTACGCTTCACTACATTACCCTACACTACCCTACATTACACTACACTCCACTCCACTACACTACATTACGCTACACTACACTGCACTACCTTCCACTACACTTCACTACAATACACTGCACTACAACTACATTTACAACTACACAACTACACTCCACTACACTCTGCTACCCTACACTAAATTACACTATATGCACTACACTACCTTCCACTACACTTGACGACATTACACTACACTACGCTACACTCCACTACACTACAATACAACTACAACTACACAACTACACTCCACTACACTAAATTACACCACACTACACTACAATACCACCACAACTACACAAGTACACTCCACTACACGCCACTACACTCCGCAACACTAAAACTAAAACTACACAACTACACTCCACAACACTAAATTACACTACATTACACTACACTACACTCTACTACACTAAACTACATTACAACCTTCCACTACGCTTCACTACATTACTCTACACTACACTACAATACATTACTCTACACTACACTCCACTACGCTCCACTACACTCCACTACACTAAATTACACTACACTACACTACATTACACTACACGGCACTCCGCTACACTAAATTACACTACACTACACTACACGACACTACCTTCCACTACACTTGACGACATTACACTACACTACACTCCACTACGCTACAACTACACCTACGACTACACAACTACACTCCATTACACTTCACTACGCTAAATTACCCTACATTGCCCTACACTACACTACACTACATTCCGCGACACTCCACTACCCTACACAACATTAGGCTACACTACTTTTTACTGAATGACACTGCACCACAGACAGAGAGGTAGACAGATAGACAGATAGATAGATAGACAGATAGACAGATGAGAGAGAGAGAGAGAAACAGATAGACAGATAGACAGATAGGTAGATACATAGAAGATAGATAGGTAGATAGGTAGATAATCAAAGAAAGAGAGAGAAAGAGAGGAGACCTCAAGCACCTTTCGGTCCATCAGTGGATTCGCTCTGCCATTCTTGATTCACAACAACCAATCTCTCCTATAGGTTTCCTATTTTTGAAACTTCCGCCACCGCCTTGTGCGGTACTACCGGTATTGGTTAACCAAAATTGAATTCACATGGTGGTGACACCTGGCCATGAGCGTGTGAAATAAAGCGTGTCAATTGGCGTCCGAATTTCCTTGCTAGCAGTTGCATCTACCATTGAATGTGACTTTTGGAATATAACCTTGTCCGGACGGAGTCAAACTAGTGCCTCAATTCCTGTCAGGCTCTCGTCTCTAGCTTTTGAATCTACCTTTGAGTCTGTTGGGCTACTTTGGGAAGCCTCAATCGCTGCCGGGCTCTTTTGAATCTACCTTTGAGTCTGTTGGGCTACTTTGGGAAGCAAAACCAGTCCGGACGGACTCAAAACTAGTGCCTCAATTCCTGTCAGGCTCTCGTCGCTAGCTTTTGGATCTACCAGTCCGGAACCCCCTTCACCTCCACCAAGCGTGCTCTATAGAGCCTTCCGGAACCCCGATCACGCTGGCCCAGCGCCTGCACCCATGTTTGAGTCTACATTCCGGATTCCCGCTACGAAGAGCACATATAGAATCATATACATCACTTGCCTCGTTTCGGTTGCTCTGCTCTCATTGGAGCATGACAGGCCACTAATGTAAGGAAGGGTAATGACAACACCTGCGTACTCTAAGGAGTGAACAAGCTGCATCAGATTCAATCAATGTGACTTGCAAATCTTTGAAGACCATCTTTCTTGTCTTTCTTTCGAATGAATGATTGAACAAAAACCATGTCCATTGAGACCAACTCGCGGTGTCGAGACAAGCCAAAAGTGCTAAGCCAGGCAAAATGACGCTACCGTTTCAATGATTCAAAAGCTCAAAGCGTGACCGGAAGCATTGCTGTTTCAAAAGCGTAGAACGGAAAAACCTGTCGCGGTGTTGAAAAAAACAAAAAGTGCTAAGCCAAGCAAAGTGCAGCTGCATTGCGCATGGCAAACAGAATGTTTCAAATGCTTGGGATCTGTAAAGTGGATCCTTTTTCCATCTTTTTCCACTCACACATCCTCACCTTCCACGCTTTGAACCCCTGCAGCGAGACCCGAGAGTTGTCGCAGAAAGGGTGGGATGAGGGCAACGAGGTCCTCTTGCTGCAAGCAAAAAAAGTGCGTGTCAGCCTTCAAATCCTCGGTTTCTGCATAGTTGGAGCCGACTATAGCAAGGAAGGCCACAAGCTGCAAGGAGTCACTGGCAGAGCGGATCTCCTCCGCTGCTTGCAGCAAGGCTGCCTTTTGTTCATTCTGGGCTTTGGCCTCAGTCAGTGTGTTGGATTTCACCTGAACAGCCACAAAACTGTTATGATCTTGGCAGAAGATGACAAAATCAACTGCCTTGCAGTTGGGCGGAGCCATGATCACCAGCAAGTGTTGCTCTTTGCCCTTCTGTTGGCTTAGTTCCACGGCTTTTTCCAAAAATGACACTAACTTCTCATCTGCATCCTCCTTGCTTTTCGTAGCAAGTTCTTCATCCTGCAAGAGCGAATCATCAAGGCCGATGTCGCAAATGCTGCTTGCAGTACCCTGTGTCAGAACCGATGGCAGCTTCTTGTACTTCCTCACGATCGCAAACATGGCAGCAAAAGCCGCCACAATTTCAGTGAAGTACGAGCTGGCTTGTTTCATGGTCTGGACGTTGCTGCTCTCAATGGCATCGAGTTTGTTTTTATATGCCCTGCCGGCCAAACCCATGAGTTTGGCACATCTCGGTGGCAGGTTCTTGTGAGTTTGCATCTGCGTGAAGAAGCGGGCTGCATGCCACGGAGCAACAGTTGGGAGGCACAAGACTTGCATCCTCCCCTGCGTAAGCGAGTCTATTAGGACATTCCCTTTGTAGGTGGCTTCAGGCATCAGATTCACAATTGTCATCTGAGACAGAAAAGAAGGATCTTCTCGTTCCCATATCTCTAGTAAAGATTCAAGATTGCCCGTGGAAAACATTGGGGGCAAGTTATTAACTTCTGCAAGGTGTGTTGTGGCCCTGGAGACAACTCCAGCTTCAAGACCTTGGGCAAAGTCGCTGATGTATATCGCCATCTTCTCAATGGCCCGTGCGTAGCCGCCAGTAGCTCCCCAGGCAAGAGAAATTCGGTACTCCAAGATGTCCCTCTTGATACCTTTTGCCTGATTCTGCTGCAGTTCATTGAGCTTGGCAGAAAAAAGGTCGTAGGCTTCAGTACCCAGCACTGTTAAAGTGTGAATGTACACCTCTCGCTGGCTGCCCCTGAACATCTCCTTAGCTGCTGCGTAGTTGCAGAGAGAAGACATGACCACAAAGACTTGGCCTCCCCAAGAGTCCATGGCTCTGCAAAGCTCCTGGCGTACCAAAGCTTCGTCCTTCGACTTTCCCACCTCATCAGCCAGGATCACAACGGGACGGTCACCGTACCATTTGCGCAGGATTTTCACAGCCAATCTGATGGCAATCTCAGGCTTCTTGCGAGACTTCCATGTTTCTACGAAGTCACTCCACTCGCACTTTGTCCTGCTCATGTGCCTTGCTGCACCATAAAGAACCCGCAGCGCCAAGTCAGTCTTCAGATTCTCTGCCAAGTCATCTTCGGTCATTCTGGAGTTGTAGGTGAAAGCTGAGATGATCGGTGTCTGGTTTCTACCATCCAGGTCGTGCAGCATGGGAATCTCCTCTCCGAGCATGGCCAGGAAATGGCTCTTGCCTGCTCCAGGTGCCTGTGCCACTAGGATGGCTGGGGAGTTGGCCTTGTCTGACGAACGTTTGCCAAACAATTTGTTTGACCTTTCCAGCAACGTCTTCACGATAAGTTGCACCTCCAGTTCACGATCTAGAAGCTGTGCCTGTGACCTACTGTTTTGCAGGGCCAGCATTCCGTTGAACGGACCCCTGTCCAAGTCGACAATGCATGAAGAAGCTGAAGAATACGTGGCATTTCTGTCATTCAGCGGCACGGCATCGGGAAAAAGCAGCCTTCCAAGAAGCTCAGTGAGAGACTGGAAGCCTGGCACCTGGAGCAAGAGAACATCCCCGGTGTTAAGATGTCGTCTTAAGTCTGTTAATCTCTGTTAAGTGTTATTGACCCTCTGGTTCTTTCAATCCTGTGTGCCATAGTTTGTTTACCTTGCTTGTGATTTGGAATTCATTCATCTTTTGGAGGCATAGTGAGGGTATTCACTGAAGAAACAGTACTGTTTGAACCATAGAATGTGAAGATATGTGAAGTAGCTTTCATCTATTTTTGCATCTTTCGGGAGAACTGTGACAACACTGAAGCTGTGCAGCGAATGGCCTTCTCCTGCTGGGCTTTCACCTCCTTCTGCGCCTCCTTCACCTTCTCCTCCGCCGTTTCCACCTTCGCCTCCGCCTCTTTCACCTCCTTCTGCGCCTCCTTCACCTTCTCCTCCGCCTTTTCCACCTTCTCCTCCGCCTTTTCCACCTTCTCCTCCGCCTTTTCCAGCTCCTTCTTTGCCTTTTCCACCTTCTGCTCATCTCCTTTTTGTTTGGCCTTTCGCAAGTCCTCCAAGGCCATGTCCACTTGCTTTTGCGCAGATGCTTGCTGGCCCAAAGCAAGTTGCAGCTGACGTCGCGCCGTAGTCAAGGCATCAACCTGTCACAAGTGCTCATAGCGGAGCCAGGTATTGCGGAACAAAAACTGAAAATGAAGACAAACCGGAAAATGAGGACATAAGGGATGAAGAGTCGCTAGAACGTCTCTTCAAACGGACTAAATGCTCTTCTCTTCATCTGCAGTCCGTGCAGCATGTTGCAAAAAATCCGCCCGCACCGAAGGTGCTGGGGCGTGATCTTCCGGGTGGCACTCGTAACAGGTTACAGGTTTACCTGGGGGGGGGGGCATTTTTCAGCCAAAACCTCCTGTTTTTGATAGGTCGTGACGCTCGCCTTCAAAAAACACTGTAAAAAACAGTACGGATTACACCTGTTCGTGAACGCGCCCGTCAAAAATCGGCAAGCGAAAAGTGAAAAAAAACCGTGTTTTTCAACTTTTTGACCTCAATTTTTTGGTTTGCAACATCTTTTTTTGCGGTTCCGCAGGTGGGCTGGCCCGGAGGCGGATTTTTGCGCTTTTGGACCCGTTTTTGGACTGATTTTCGTCGTTTTGTCAAAGCAGAAACACTGGTTTTTACAGTGTTTTTATGTTTTCTGCATGCTTGACGGCTAGCTTCAAAACTGCCAAAAACCTCGTAAATTACGCTGGTGTATGTTACGGTGTGAATGAAAACATCGCAAATACCAGTGTTTTTTTGACGTTGGTTAAAAACACACTGTAAATTACAGTGTTTTTGGCCACCTGACCCTCAAAAACCATGGTATTTGCAGTGGTTTCTGCTTCTCACTGCGCAAAAACACTGTAAATAACAGCAATTTCGCCGTTTTTTCATGTTTTTCGTTATTTTTTGAACTTCTTTGGTCCGCTATACATGGCTATCAAATTCTTCGCGGTTTTTTTTTTTCGAAAATCAGTAGTTTCGGATGTTTGTGGCCGCAATGGCCGACATCATTGGCAGTTACGAGCGGTCGCGAAGGTGTGAGAACAACATCGTTCAAACCTTGGCGGCCGCACAGGGGTTCTTGTCGCGGAGCGACGGCAATAGAAGAGAATAATGGTTGACATCATCATTAACAGTGTGGACCGTTCACTCTATATGTACCTATATGATCTTTATATATATATATATATCTCTATCTATCTATCGGTCTATCTCTCTCTATCTATTTTGGTTGGCCGACATCTTTGCCAGTGTGGAGCGTCCAGACAACAAAAGCCTTCAAACCTTACTGGCCGTAAATTTAGACATTTATGTGAAAGTTTCTCTCTTTAGCCATCTACATACATCTTGCATATATGATACCTATAAAGCTTTCAAATTTATTGTGTGAGCCCAACGATGCGGTGCGGGCGGTTGCCGTCGCGAAGCGACGTGAATAGAACCTAATTCTAATGACGTCTCTCCTTCTGAAAGATAGCAGCTAGCAAGTCTGTTCTTCTTCTGTATTTTTCGGTTTCTGTTTAAAGAAACAAAACTGGACGCGAGATGACAAATCCATGTCACAGGGAATCTTTGAAGCGAGGCAAAAGCAAAGTTCCTTGATTTAAGGTTTGAAAATAAACGTGAAGCAACGGCTTCCAAGAATTGAACAAAGTGAAGTTGTCGCGTGAAAGAAGGGAATGCGATTGGCCGAGGGCGGCGTGCCTCATCTGTTGCTGCTTCCTGCGGGTTGGAGAAATGCTTCAAAGCACTTTGACCCAGTTGTCTGCTACAAATTCCTGAAAGTTCATTCATCGGAAGGTCGCCCAGCACAGCTAACAGGGAACATAGGAATTATTGCGCTATGTTTGGGTCGCATTCCTTCAAGCCAGCACACTTTTGGGGACGTCAACTAGCCCATCTCCTCAACTGGCTTGATTCCTTGTGGGTCCTTCACCGAACCAAATGGAAACAGCATACGATTGCGCAAAAAAAAAGCAACCTTGAAGCTTTTGCCTGACGTGCGCAACACTCAACACGTCTGTGAACTGGGTGCAACGGTTCTTCCTTTTGTAAGGTCCTTGTTTGGTGCTGCAAGCCGCCCCAAACCATGTCGCTGACCAGACTTTTGCGAACAAAAAGTTCTGCATGGGCTCACCTTAAGGCACAAATACGGGATCCAATTCGATTGGCAACAGGCTTTCAAAAAGAAGTAAGTTGCAACTCCACTTGGATCCACTGCCAACTAAGGGTGAGGCAACAAACCCGGAGACAAGCCACGCTGTAGCCAAAATGACCAAGCCTGTCAAGGTGGTTTTCTTGTTAGCAGCTTCCTAACAAGCGTCCTGAAGGCACAAACTTGTGAACAGCACATATAGACATCGCTTGCCTCGTTTCCGTTGCTTTGCTTTCATGGCAAGCATGAGAGGGCCACTAACGTAAGGAAGAACAATTTCAACACCTGCATAATCTAAGGAGTGAACGAGCTGCGCGCATCAGATTGCAAGACTTTGATGATATTTCAAGTGCTCAAAAAACTTCAGACCCTTTGAAGACTATCTTTCTTGTTTGGAATGAGAGATTGAACAATAACCATGTCCGTTAAGACTAACTCGTGGGGTCGAAAAAACATGCTAAGCCAGGAAAAGCGCCGCTGCATTGATGTTGCGCATGTCATGTTCCAGTGCCAAATGCAGTTTGTCGTTCTGTTGCATTCGCGCATCAAAGGATTCATGGACTAAACCTTCACGGGCAGCAACAGCATCTTCGTCCACTTTTGTCCAAACCGAGACAGCGCAATCTTTGGGATAAAGAACTTCAGTTCGGACGATGTACTTCACCTGGGCACTGATCAAGTCGCCCGATCTGACAAAAACTATGTAACTATGAAAAGAAAACGTAACGTTGCACCGTGTCAAAAGCGCAGAATGGAAAACAACACGTAGAGCGAAACAAGGTTTGCAAAGGATCCAAGCTGCTGTTTTGCAATGAATTTTGGCGCTCCCATGCAATGGGGAATCTGCCTTTGGTGGCCGGAAGGAAAGCAAACATGAAGAAGAAGCAGAACTCCGTCTGTGTCCAGAACTCTGCTAATTCGAACACTCGTACTGCACACGAAAACATGGACAATCTTTTGCTCTCTTAAACTAATCTTCGAGTTGGTCTACATGAATCAAAATTATTTCCGATGACACCAAAAAAACAAGAAAAACAAGAAAAAGGAAGGTGTTTGAGCGAAGGACAACAGCAGGATCAGCCACCAACCAGCACAGAATGCGTTTCACCCCGTTTGCGCTTCTATACCATTCAAAGTGTCACAGCGAGGATAAGAAAAGCTCTCTTGCAAGAGAGATTTGAAAGAGTAAAGGTTTCTTGCCCTTGTAGAGACATTTTTTCACTCAGTCAGGCATGTTCACCTCATCTGAGTCCTACAACGCTCCAAAGATCCTTTCTGATCAACAAATTTCCAGGCAACGGAAATCCGTCAACCATGGCAACGCATCAAAAAGAACAACTTCTCGCAAAATTTGACAAAAAACTCCGGTCCGCGTTTTGCAGCACTTCTGTGAAGAGTTGGTTCATGGGTTGAACGACCAAATTTAGGTCTTGGGTTGCACAACACACGAACTTTGTCTGGTATTCTTTGCAAGCTGCAGTCATCTGCAAACCATTCTTTCTCAAACCTTTCTTTCTCAAACCTGCTTTTGTCTGGTTTGCTTTGATGTTCTTAATTCCTGTCCATGTTTGGTACACTCTCGGCTCCCAGCCCCAAGCTTGGCGCCAAGACGGCCCCAGGCACGGTCAAACTCATCTGCACCAACCTCAGCAAGTCATCACATGATTAACGGAAAATCCTCTTCACAATGATCCGTTCCTTTGAATAAATCTGTTTTTAGGTCATAGGAACCCAAGACTCTGGTGCCAGAGCGACCTTGCACTGTTCAAAACATTTTGGAAGCGTGCTGAAGGTCTCTAGTGCCCAAACGAAAGCTGGGGAAATCATGGGAAATCATGAAAACCCCAAACCATTTTTCCCGAGAGCGCCTGCGAAGGGTTCTTCGCAAAAAAGCAGCCGTTATACTACATCTTCACACCTTCAGACCTGCAGATCTAGATCTTCACACCCTCACATCTGCTGATCTAGATCTTACACCCTCACATCTGCTGATCTACATCTTCACACCTTCACACCTGCAGATCTAGATCTTCACACCTTCACACCTGCAGATCTAGATCTCCACGCCCTCACATCTGCAGATCTAGATCTTCACACCTTCACACCTGCAGATCTAGATCTTCACACCCTCACATCTGCTGATCTAGATCTTACACCCTCACATCTGCTGATCTACATCTTCACACCTTCACACCTGCAGATCTAGATCTTCACACCTTCACACCTGCAGATCTAGATCTCCACACCCTCACATCTGCAGATCTAGATCTTCACACCTTCACACCTGCAGATCTAGATCTTCACACCCTCACATCTGCAGATCTAGATCTTCACACCCTCACATCTGCAGATCTAGATCTTCACACCCTCACATCTGCAGATCTAGATCTTCACACCCTCCCACCTGCAGATCTAGATCTTCACATCCTCACACCTGCAGATCTAGATCTTCACACCCTCACATCTGCAGATCTACATCATCACACCCTCACACCTGCAAATCTAGATCTTCACACCCTCACACCTGCAGATCTAGATCTTCACACCTTCACATCTGCAGATCTCCTCTCGCTCTTCTTCTATTCTCTCTTAAGGCGGGGGCGGTACCGCCGGAGCGCCACGAAACGCAACCCTTTCGCACGAAATGGACGTTGGCCGTCCAAAACCAAGGTAAAATTGCGATTTTGAAGCGTCCCCGGCAACCCTTTCGCACGAAATGGACGTTGGACGTCAAAAACTGAGGAAAAATTGCAACTTTTATTGGTCGCGCGCAACCCTTTCGCACGAAATGGACGTTGGACGTCAAAAACTGAGGAAAAGTTGCGACTTTGAAGCGTCCCGCGCAACCCTTTCGCACGAAATGGACGTTGGACGTCAAAAACTGAGGAAAAATTGCAACTTTTATTGGTCGCGCGCAACCCTTTCGCACGAAATGGACGTTGGACGTCAAAAACTGAGGAAAAATTGCGACTTTGAAGCGTCCCGCGCAACCCTTTCGCACGAAATGGACGTTGGACGTCAAAAACTGAGGAAAAATTGCGACTTTGAAGCGTCCCGCGCAACCCTTTCGCACGAAATGGACGTTGGACGTCAAAAACTGAGGAAAAGTTGCGACTTTGAAGCGTCCCGCGCAACCCTTTCGCACGAAATGGACGTTGGACGTCAAAAACTGAGGAAAAATTGCAACTTTTATTGGTCGCGCGCAACCCTTTCGCACGAAATGGACGTTGGACGTCAAAAACTGAGGAAAAAATGCGATGGACGCTTTCGTTTGTGTAAAAGTGTCTGTGTTTAAAGGCGTCTGTGTGTAAAAGCGTTTGTGTGTGAAAGCGTGTCTGCGTGTGTAAAAAGCATCTGCGTGCAAAAGCGTCTGTGTGTAAAAGCGTCTGTGTGTAAATGCGTCTGTGTGTAAAAGCGTTTGTGTGTGAAAGTGTGTGTGCGTGTGTAAAACGCATCTGCGTGTAAAAGCGTCTGTGTGTAGAAAACGCGTCTGTGTGTAAAAGCGTTTGTGTGTGAAAGCGTTTGTGTGTAAAAGTTTTTGTGTGTACTTTTACCGCACGACATGGAACTGTTAGAGATTGAGGGTGAAAATGCTTGCTAGTGCATCCGTGCTAGGACGTGCGGAGCTCGGTTCGTTTGGTGTGGTAATTTGTGTGGGAATTGATATGTTCATAGTGAGCTTCACTGTTCAGTTTGCATGTCTATGCGACAATGATGTTTGCTTGTCAAACGCAGGAGTCGTGGTCTCAGGCTTCGAAGAACGAATTCTTTGCATTGAATTGTGCGAGTGTGTAGCAGGTTAGTGCATGAAGTTGTAGAAGTTACCAAGCTGTTGGGTTCGTTGTACCTTTGTGGATGTTTCCTTCCAGAACGGTGTGATGCATGTAATTTACAGCATCATGGTGTTCGACAATGATGTCCATCCCAAGTGTCAAACTCACGAATTGTGTTCTCAGGATGATGCAAGATGAAACAAGGCATTGCGAGATGATGCAAGATGGTGTTGCCGAGCTGCTGAGTTTTTTGTTACCGAGCTTTGTTAAACTAGTTTTTTGTTGATGCGTTCAGCCTTCAGTTTGCAGGTCTCTGCGACAGTGGTTCTTTGCCATGTCGAACTCATGAGTGGTGTTCTCAGTTTGGAAGTCAGAGAACAAATGTTTTGCAGTGGATTGTGCAACTCTGCAGCGGCAAGCATAGTTTACCTCTTTACCTCTTTCCTGGGCTCAGATGTGAACGTAGAGACAAGACGCATTGTGCACAGAGTGAACATCCATATTCTTATATGCACGCTGAATGTTCGTGAAACAAGTGACGATTGGCAAACAGGTATCTTGAACATTTCTTGCACTTCTCGAGGTTTCTGTAGGGGCTGTCCGTGAGATCTCGAGAATTGCATTGTGACAATGTCAGTGTTTGTTTACGATTCAGTGGATCTATGTGATGTATAGCACGAAAAAAAAATATGTTATGTTTTCATTGAAATGCATGAGCGGTGGACAAAAAAATACTACGGGAATCATTGTACCGTTCAATTTTGTACCGTTCAATTTTGTTTTGAAATCAAGCATGTCATGGCATTGTTTTGAAATCAAGCGAACAAATATGCATGTCTCGGAATTTCTGAATGCAAAATGTTTGGTTGAAGTCACGCACCCGTGACGTTTGTGGACGTTTTGTGGTCGCTGTTTCATTTGCTGACGGGAATGTCCGTGCGAATGGAGCATGCGACCGCGTCATCCGCGTCGTCCGATGCCGTGGAAATTCGGTTGCAGAGGCATTGCGAGATGATGCAAGATGGTGTTGCCGAGCTGCTGAGTTTTTCGTTACCGAGCTCAGGAGTCGTGTTTTCAGTTTCGAAATGAAAGAGCAGATGCTTCGCATTGGATTGTGCGTTGTACATTCCTTGGCTCAGATGTGAACGAATGGACAAGATGCGTTTCGCCACAAGAGATGTGATGTTTGTAGGTGAAGCTGTAGTGGACATATCGAAACCTGGCGCTTTCAATTAATACTTCTGTAGCCTGTACTAACAGCATGTCGCGCCTGGCAGCCGATTGCTTCGCAGCCGCGGGGAGATTGCAATATACTTCGTTTCAAACAAATTCAGTTGATTTGAACGATGCGCTGTTGGTATCTATTCATGACTGGAAGGACGCCGGTTCGAGAGAATTGTACATCTACGATCAAGTGCACATGAACGGCCCTCCGGAAATGGGCCGCCATTTCTGGGGCCATTTGCCACTAGCTTGGATGCATGAGCTCATGCTCGATTTCACATTGTATTACATTCTGTTTCCAAATGAAGAAGCAAGAGATGATGCCAACCGATTATGGGTCTTGGTGTTGAAAGATACTCGGCGGCAGCGCCCACATCGTTGGACATGACAGCAGTTAACAACAAACAAAATTTTGGTGCACAAACATGTCGCATAAAGTATTTGGGGATGTAAGTGTGTTCTGCCAGAAAGACCGTGGAGGGAATGTGGAGGGAATCCGTGCAAGGGCGGATGTCTTTGATGAACAAATTCTACGACACATTCTTTCATTTGTGCCTGGGAGCTCTGAATTGGCTGCAAAATATTCTTTGCAACCAGAAACCGGACACTATCTGGTAAAAGCTGGTTGGCCAGTTGTTTTGAAGAAAATGTGTCATTGGAAGGAGGCAGACACCACCATCTGTATTTGCAGCTGTGCAGATGATTTCTTCGATGCCCTGGCGCAAATTAATCTGTAGCAGTGTTCGTCTGGAGAGACTGTTCGTGACGAACATGCAAAACCAGTAGCCAACTGTTGTTTGTCTGTAAAGATTTTTTTTCCATCCTGTAGGGACATCGGAGAAATGCAGTGAAACAGGTGTCATCCTTGCCATCATGATATCGAACTTGCTATTGTGGAATCATTCACAGCATTCTTGCACGGAGTTCTAGATTCTTTTGGATACCATGGTACGGAGCCTTTGTTTGTGTACTTTTGCATTTTGTAGCATTTCCATTGCGACTATGTTTGCCCACCTGTGTTTGCAACTGAGGTCATCCACGGCATCATGGTGCCGAGCTTATTTTGTATCTCAAAGAGCGGATGCCTTGCATTGGATTGTGCGTTGATCATGGTACTGAGCCTGGTCTTGTGCACTTTTGCGATTTTTTAGCATTTCCATTGCAACTATGTTTGCGCACCTTTGTTTGCAACTGAGGTCACCCAGTGGTGCCGCGCTTTGTGAGCGTCTCTGTGTAAAAGTCTCTGTGGAAGCGTCTGTGTGTAAAAGTGTTTGTGTGTAAAAGCGTCTGTGTGTAAAAGGGTCTGTGTGGAAAAGCGTCTGTGTGTAAAAGTGTCTGAGTGTAAAAGCGTCTGTGTGTAAAAGCGCCTGTATGTAAAAGTGTTTGCGTGTAAAAGCGTCCGTGTGTAAAAGCGTATGTGTGTAAAAGTGTTTGTGTGTAAAAGCGTCTGTGTGTAAAAGGGTCTGTGTGGAAAAGCGTCTGTGTCTGTGTGCAAAAGCGTCTGTGTGTAAAAGCGTTTGTGTGTGAAAGTGTGTGTGCGTCTGTAAAAAGGCATCTGCATGTAAAAGCGTATGTGTGTAAAAGAGTCTGTGTATAAAAGCGTCTGTGTGTCAAAGTGTTTTCGTGTAAAAGTCTCTGTGTGGAAATGCGTCTGTGTGTGTGCGCATGAAAAACGTCTCTGTGTGAAAGCGTCTGTGTGTAAAAGTGTTTATGTGTAAAAGATTCTGTGTGTAAAAGCGTCTCTGTATAAAAGCGTCGCGTTTCTTCGCGTTCACGGAATGATGGTGCCGAGCCTTTTTCCGCAATGTGTGTGGGAATTACCATAATAAAATGAGATAGCACATGGCATTCGCAGACTCATGGTACTGAGCCTCCTGTGCACTTTTGTTGCTCACATTACATTTCTACATGTTTTCTTTCTACCCCCCCTTTCATTCTCTCTCTCTCTCTCTTGCTTTCTCTTTCTCTCTCTCTCTCTCTCTCTCTTTCTCTCTCTCTCTCTCTTTATCTCTGCCCCCTCTTTCTCTCTGTGGTTGCAAGACACATGTCATCTGATGCCCTTTACCAAATATTCTCTTCTTGATCAATCTTACTTTTTCACACCATATCTTTCCATAGCTCATATAAAATTCACCAACTATTCACCGACTATCTTTTACGACTACCATCCTCAGAGCTGCTTGAAAAACATCTTTTTCGCTCTCGGGCCAACCGTCGTCTAGTTTTTTTCCAGCGGATCCACCGGAACGTCATCATCCAGGCGTTTGGGAGCATTCTCTGCCCGCAAGTCTGCACCTTGGCATCTCATGGTCCAAGCAAAGTCGTCGCTTTTTCTTTCAGCTCAGACCATGGAAGAAAGAAAAATTCCCTCATGAAAAAATCTCGGGCAAAGACCACCTAAAAACTTTTTGTCCTTTTCCACTTCTGTGCATTGACCTTGCAAGCTCCAGAAAACCCCCAAGAAACTCCAGCCATCACTTGCAACTTCAAGCCTTGTTGACATCCCAGGTTTTTTATGAACTATTCCCAATCATAGGCCTCTCCGCAAGCCGCGGGCTCATCAAACCATCCAACCCGGCAAACAAGCGTCTTCTTGTCAGGGCAACAAGCCCAGTACTTTGCCGTCTCGTGGAAGACGGGTGGAAGTCTATGGAAAACGCACCTGACAACCGAACAACCGATATCTCAACTCAAGTTCAGAACGGACTTGGATCGATAAGTATGCTGGATGGGAGTACATTGACTACAGCTGAGCTCATCACTTTGTTTGATCCGGATATCTGGGATCAAAATACCTCGACGGATGATCTAAGTGAACTGCCAGAAATCCAGGGCTAGCGGCTAAAGCAACCAAATATCACGCAAATGATCCACCTGTTTCCTGCTTGTAAGCCTCCTGCTTGTTACATCTCTTACACCGGAGCTCGGGAGGTCGCACCTGTGGGCAAGGTGCCCGAGCTGTTGTGTTAGAGACACGTTCCACGACCTCACAAATTTCAGCCCAGGAACTTCCTCGTCAAAGGCTGCATGCTGACAATGCCCACTGCTCCATTGCTTTGCAAGTCTTTATAAGCTCAAATTCCTGTCGATTGTCGAACTACCCCCAAGAGCTTGAAAAAAACAAAGTCCATTGTGCACGCCGTGCACGCGTCACTTTCTTAGGGCCCTGCGCCACTTTCTCGCAGATTTATTCCTTGATGTAGTCAGAAGATTCACCTTCTTGTTAATCTGGGACCTCAGAATTCCACAGTTTCTGAGATAAGTTTAGGACAGAAACCAAGCCCATCCTGAGACAAACATTTTAGGTGGAACACCGCGCTTGGAGAGTTTGTGATAGGGCGAGGACCGTTTTGCTTGGTCAGCAGAGATATTCTCCGCCTCACTTCTGCACTCTTTTCACCATGGAAATTTTAAGAGACCATGCATCTAACGATCCGAAACTGAAACTAAGATGGTTTCCATGCATAGAAGATGCTTAGCGAAGGCTGGGCCCACCTGCAGCACAACTTGTAAAAATCGAGAGAAGAAATGAAAGAAGGACGAGAAGAGAACGAACACAGAAAAGATGCGGAAAAAAAGAAACGCAAAAAATGGAAAATGTGGGAAAAAAGGACCGAATAAAAAGATAAGATAAAAGAGAAGATGAGGAACTGAGAGAAAAATATAAGGATGAGAATGAGAGGAAAGAAAGAAAAGAACCAGAGAAGGAATGAAAGAAGGGCGAGAGAAATGAGAGGAGACAAAAAGGACAGTTAGAGAAGAGTATTCGGAGAGAAGAAGAAGGGAATGAGAGAAAAAAAGAAAAAGAAAAGAATCAGAGAAGGAATGGTGGAAGGACGGAAGGACAAACAAATCATGAAAACAAGAAAGACAAGAGTGAGTGAAGTGGAAATCAACTGAGAGGAGAGAAAGAAGGAAATGAAAACAGAAGAGAATGAGAACCCTAAAGAGCAAACGGCAACCAGACCGGTCTGAAGATTAATCAAAGCGAGCTTGAGATAAGGCAACTTCTGAGCATATGGTTTCTTTGAGGTCATCAACCTCAGCAAACTGCCCAGAACACACTTACAGGAAACATGACGAGCCAAGATGATAGCAGAGCTGAGGTGGTTACATTCGCCATCTCTCCCTTGACTTGGAACGCGTTGCCAATCTCCTTGAAATTCTTTTTGCGTCCTGCGAATCCGGAAAAGGCACTGAACAACACAAAAGACATGTCAACTTCCCCCTTTCGACCAGTGTATAGCTGTGACAAAAGACAAATGTGCTCTGTCGGCCACTGAGGCGAAGCTTACGCAAGCCCTTACGCCATCTTACGCGCATGAGGGAACTGTGTCAGCAAAATGGAGGGAAATCTTTGCCTGAAGCTTCCGAGCAAACTGGATTGAATACAGCATTTGGAGAACCGAAACAACACCCTACCTTTCTGAACATGACCTGACTAATACACTAGTTTTAGCACAAGCATGCAAATTAAAGGACCGGATAACCCCACAAGTCAACTTCTTCCAATAATGAGCAGCAAAGGTTGCAGCAGGGACGGGGAAGGAAGGAAAGGGAAAGGAGGTGGTGAAAGATCGAAAATTTAAAGAAATAACGTGTCTTTTAGTTTATAACTAAATAATTTTAAAGCTCAGATAAGTAAATCCCAGAAAGAGCAACCTTCTCCATGTTTGTATATGTTCATGATTTTTTTCAGAATAAATACCTTTCAGGTAATGTCTTTTCAGACTGGATCCTTTACAGGAACTGTCTTTGCAGGCCGTATCCTTTACAGGAACTACCTTTACAGATCAAATCCTTCACACACAAAAGAATTGTCTTTTCACACTTCAGCCGTTTAAGAACTTATTCTTGGGAACCAAAACGTTTCCGAGAAAGCATCTCCGAGCAACATTACTCAAGCTATCTAAACATACAGCACAACTTCCATTTTGTAACTTTTTGTTACTTTTTTGTAAGTTTCTGTAACTTAATGCTGACCTACGATTTATCAATGCACCCTGAATAAAGCTAAAACATTTCCAAAAACAAAGAATAAATGACCCCTAAATAAAGCTAATTTTTTTTTGGGCCCCAAACCCAGATTTGCCCAGATGGGGCTGACCAAAACCTTTATTCAAAAATGATAGCTGGAAATTGTCAAAAATGATGGATGCTCTTTCTATTCAAAACCTTTACTTAAACTTATCCAAAATCAACTCCAAATCAACTCGTCAAGGGTGCCCCCCATGAGGTGCCTTAGCACCAATGAGAGTTTGACCCTGAATAAAGCTACTGAGCTTCCCCCTCCCGCTGATCAAGAAATGAATACTAAATCAATACTAAATCCATGAAATGAATACTAAATCAATACTAAATCCATGACATGAATACTAAATCAATACTAAATCCATGACATGAATACTAAATCAATACTAAATCCATGAGATGAATACTAAGTCAATACTAAATCCATGAGATGAATACTACATCAATACTAAATCCATGAGATGAATACTACATCAATACTAAAACAATTGTTGGATTCCTGTTTTTTTGGAAATTGCATTTTATGTATTCGTTTTCAATTGTGGTAATTTAAAACCAATACATACAAACAAGTTTGATGGTGGCCCTAAAGTTTATTTGAGGAAAAGAGGAGGGGGGGCCTATTGATAAATCAAGGGTGGACATTATGATAACTTTTGCTAAGAACTTATGTTGAGTCTCTTAACATAGTTATGAAAGGTTATCTTTAGATAAGATACTTCCGGTAAGTTTGTTAAGAAATGACATCTTACCTAAACATTTACAACTTCACGCATCCGGCTAGCTGAAGTTATAACTTATTTGTAAAAAGATCTGAAACTTTACATCAGTAGTGAATCATTGCAAGAAGGTTATAAGGACGCTATAGAGTGTTTATAAGCACGTTATATATAATTCATATAAATTTGTAAGCCCACATAACTTTAAGCGTGCAGTCTCCGAATGGCTGTCTTAGGCCGTTTAGCGTTGCCGTATTTATCCGTATTTAAATGAAATACCCCTCGCGACTTGCAAGCCTTTGCCGGATTTGAAGCTGGTACGTGGGGAGGATTCCCATTCCAGCGCATGGTTTCGAAGAAAACATCATAGAGTCACGAGCACGGACGTGCTGGGAGTAAAAATGTAAACATGATCATGCTGGTGCCGAAACAGACTTGACACTCTCGACTTGGTCTATGAAGCCAGCTTCTGCTTGGATGTTCATCCAAACAAAACTCCCAAGAATGTATCTCAACCTAACCTATCTCAATGTGCTATCATATCCAGGTTTTGTTTCAGCCATTTTCAGCCATATCTCAATGTTTTGCAGCCTCCGCCAGCTCTTTCATCTTCGAAAGTGTCGCCTTGTTTTGCCAAATGTTGAGAATCAGGGACTGTATCCAGAAACAAACACCTGGTACAGGTTGCGAACTGGAAAATCACATAAAATCACCATTTTTCATAGGTAAATCAAGTATTTCTATGGGCCATTTGTTGGGAATACCCTCTTGTAAACATACACAAAACTATGGAAAATCACAATTTTCACTATTTCGACTGGGCCATTTTCAATAGCTATGTAACAAATTACCAGAGGGTAACTTTACTATATGTTCTACACATCGAACCCAGAAAAGACACGGAAAAAACTACATCCCTATAAGGAGAACTTCAAAAGCGCACAGGCTCTGGCCTGGAAGGACGTGCCCAGGTCTGGCAAGACCTCAGTTTTCCAAAATTGGTTCGTTGATCATCTTCCATCTTTTTCAGCTCAGAATGGCTGTTTTGATCCCAAAACAGGACAGACCCATGGCAACCCATGGCTGACGCAGTTTATATCATTTTATGCACTGGAGAGGTGTCAAAAGTGCCTTGTTATTGCCTTGCTATGCTCTTTTTGTCTGTTGGTGTTGTGCATCTTTTCCGAAAAACTCACCAGATTCATCTCAGTCTCCCACTCAGATCGACTCACGGTTCCCCCGAGTGGCCCTCTCTGCACCTCCACACCTTCAGCTTCACCCATTGAGATATCTGCTGGTGCCTTCCTACCCGAAAAATGATAGAAACGATAAAGAAAATATAAAGTAAATGATCAAGAAATGCAGCATGATAGAAATCAGGTTTCAAACTTTCACCCCAGTGCAAAAAAAGACTTGACAAAGGCAACCTGGTCAGCTTCCAATGTAAGGCAAGCTGGAGGGTCTACACTCTAAACCATGGTGCTGAACTGCGAGGCGCTACAGAAACACACCCGTCATCACGTCATCCGATTTCCATCAACGACCCAACGACTGGAAAGCCCGTTGGCACCTGGTCAAGCTGCGCACTTTATCGAGCCAGCAGCCGCAACACGACCGTCACGAGGCCAAAGTCTGGGCAGAAACGGGTTTTGACCAAGGCACATCCATGGCAAGTTGAGAACGAGAACCCAAGAGTTGCATCAAGTTGCATCATGATTTCACTCATGCAGCAGGCACATACAAAGGGTTACTAGAAAAAATGGATGCTGCCTTACTAGATCACACACCTAATCTAATCAGATAGTAGCAAAACTTCGGTATCTTCATTAAACATGATGAGACTATTGGATTCTGAGGTGACAACTTGTCACCCTTGGCCTTTGGTGAAGTCCCAGAGCCATCACTTGTTGCCTCCGTGAGCGGTCACTGGGAGAGGTACCGCACGAGCACCATCTGCACTGTGAGATGGAAATTTACGATGGCCATGTGTCCATATTTTTTCCTATTGGACATGGCCTGCTGGCGCCGCGCCTCTGGAATTTTCCCCGGCCAGGATCACCTCGCACAATGCGAAACAGAACTGAGCGGATCGAAAAACGACGACATGTTCTGACATGTCGAAAATATCCATGAAGTCATCACACATGGATGATCTGTCCCGATGTAAGGACGCAAACTGCAGAACAGGGAATGGCATGATATGCGCTGATGTTTGTTCACCTCTTACGGTTCATTCCAAAGTCCGTGGCAAAGCGTTTTTTTCCAAACGAGAGCCCTTGGGTCAAGGGCTGGGGTCAAATGCCTTCTGGTCGGCTTCTACTACCCGCTACTACCTTCTACGATTTTTCTACTTGGGCTGTCTCTCAGTAGATGTAGTCGCGGAAGTCTGTGAAGTGGTCGAACTCATTCAACTTCTTCCGGTCGAAGTCCTCATCCACGGGACTTTCTCCTGAAAACACAAAAAGGGATTGTCAAGGGTGAGCTCGCCCTCTGGAGGATCACTGTCGTAGGTAAAAAACCTCCACTTGAAAGGCTCCTCGTTGCCAAAATCCACTGTGAGGCACTCATCAGGTGTGCCAACTCGTTTGGGTTTGTTGACATCAGGGTTGGTCATATTGACCTGGCACTGGTGGTCAATCTCACAGGTGCTGTCCCCGGTCTCAACCTAAGAGGTCGACATTTCCTGAGGATCCTCTTTCCGGAACCAGCCCTTCCGAAGCCCTTCCTTGTAGACATTGGGGTGTTTTTCCAGGAAGTCCGAGGTCACTGGCTGGTTCTCTTGGGGCTTTTGCTTCAATTTCTTCAGCTCTTCCTCGAACTTTTTGAGGCCTGGTTGTGCCCAAAGAAGCCGGGCGTCCTGCCCCGTGTAAGCACCACCCACGTCGCCTTGCTTGGCTTTGGTGACAAACTTGGAGACCAAGTCGACCTGCCTGTGGCTCAGGACCGAGTTACACATGAATTCTCTGCTGTTTCGCAGCACCTTGAACTCGCTACAGCATTGCTCTTGCCAATCCTCCTTTTCGTCTCTTGTCAAGAAGGGCCCCGAGGTGCAGCTCCGGCCGTTCCATCCACGGGAAAGACCACAACAGCCCAACATTTCCACCTCGACTTTGCGCACATTGTCGGCGCAAGTCTCTTCAAAGGGCGTGGCGGACCATTCGACAAGGGTCATCTTCCTGATGTTCTTGGTCTCGTCCACGATCTCCACGCATCCTGACAAACATGGCGCACGTGGTGCTCGGAAGCGGTGAACCTTCCTGTGACGGGTCTAATCGACCCATTCCCTTGGTCCCTTTGTGCTTCGAGAGCTCATTGGCTTCACGAAAGAGGTCTTTGCTTTGAGGGGTGCCGAAACTGTCCAAGGTCCCCGTGGTGAAAAACGGGAATTCAATTGGCTAACAGCCGTGTGCCTCATCTGCCGATTCCTGCGGGTTGGAGAAACCCTTCAAGGCACTCTGACTCAGTCTGCTACAAATTCCATGGTAAAAGTGCATTCGTCGGAAGGTCACCAAGCAAAGCCTCGGAACATAGGAATTACTGCGCTATGTTTTGGGCTCGCATTTCGGAGCACTTCAAGTCAGCACATTTTGGGGACGTCAACTAGCCCCATCTCCTCCACTGGCTTGATTCCTGGTGCACCGAACCACATGGAAACAGCATACGATTGCGCAAAAAAACAAACCTTCAAGTGTGCCTTGCGCAACACGCAACATGTCCGTGAGTTGGGTCCAACGGTTCTTCCTCTTGGGTCCTTGTTTGGCGCTGCAGAGGTCCCACACCATGTCGCTGACCTGGTTTTTGCGAACAGAAAGATCTGCAGCTCACCTCAAGGCACAAATGCGGGACCCAATTCGATTGGCAACAGGCTCTCAAAAAGAAGTTGCAACTCCACTCGGACTGTGAACTAAGGGCGAGGCAACAAACCTGGAGACAAGCCTGTCAAGGTGGTTTTCTTGTCAGCAGCTTCTAACAAGCACATGGAAGGCATAAACATACGAAGAGCACATATAGAATCATATACATCACTTGCCTCGTTTCGGTTGCTCTGCTCTCATTGGAGCATGACAGGCCACTAATGTAAGGAAGGGTAATGACAACACCTGCATACTCTAAGGAGTGAACAAGCTGCATCAGATTCAATCAATGTGACTTGCAAATCTTTGAAGACCATCTTTCTTGTCTTTCTTTCGAATGAATGATTGAACAAAAACCATGTCCATTGAGACCAACTCGCGGTGTCGAGACAAGCCAAAAGTGCTAAGCCAGGCAAAATGACGCTACCGTTTCAATGATTCAAAAGCTCAAAGCGTGACCGGAAGCATTGCTGTTTCAAAAGCGTAGAACGGAAAAACCTGTCGCGGTGTCGAAAAAACAAAAAGTGCTAAGCCAAGCAAAGTGCAGCTGCATTGCGCATGGCAAACAGAATGTTTCAAATGCTTGGGATCTGTAAGGTGGATCCTTTTGCCATCTTTTTCCACTCACACATCCTCACCTTCCACGCTTTGAACCCCTGCAGCGAGACCCGAGAGTTGTCGCAGAAAGGGTGGGATGAGGGCAACGAGGTCCTCTTGCTGCAAGCAAAAAAAGTGCGTGTCAGCCTTCAAATCCTCGGTTTCTGCATAGTTGGAGCCGACTATAGCAAGGAAGGCCACAAGCTGCAAGGAGTCACTGGCAGAGCGGATCTCCTCCGCTGCTTGCAGAAAGGCTGCCTTTTGTTCATTCTGGGCTTTGGCCTCAGTCAGTGTGTTGGATTTCACCTGAACAGCCACAAAACTGTTATGATCTTGGCAGAAGATGACAAAATCAACTGCCTTGCAGTTGGGCGGAGCCATGATCACCAGCAAGGGTTGCTCTTTGCCCTTCTGTTGGCTTAGTTCCACGGCTTTTTCCAAAAATGACACTAACTTCTCATCTGCATCCTCCTTGCTTTTCGTAGCAAGTTCTTCATCCTGCAAGAGCGAATCATCAAGGCCGATGTCGCAAATGCTGCTTGCAGTACCCTGTGTCAGAACCGATGGCAGCTTCTTGTACTTCCTCACGATCGCAAACATGGCAGCAAAAGCCGCCACAATTTCAGTGAAGTACGAGCTGGCTTGTTTCATGGTCTGGACGTTGCTGCTCTCAATGGCATCGAGTTTGTTTTTATATGCCCTGCCGGCCAAACCCATGAGTTTGGCACATCTCGGTGGCAGGTTCTTGTGAGTTTGCATCTGCGTGAAGAAGCGGGCTGCATGCCACGGAGCAACAGTTGGGAGGCACAAGACTTGCATCCTCCCCTGCGTAAGCGAGTCTATTAGGACACTCCCTTTGTAGGTGGCTTCAGGCATCAGATTCACAATTGTCATCTGAGACAGAAAAGAAGGATCTTCTCGTTCCCATATCTCTAGTAAAGATTCAAGATTGCCCGTGGAAAACATTGGGGGCAAGTTATTAACTTCTGCAAGGTGTGTTGTGGCCCTGGAGACAACTCCAGCTTCAAGACCTTGGGCAAAGTCGCTGATGTATATCGCCATCTTCTCAATGGCCCGTGCGTAGCCGCCAGTAGCTCCCCAGGCAAGAGAAATTCGGTACTCCAAGATGTCCCTCTTGATACCTTTTGCCTGATTCTGCTGCAGTTCATAGAGCTTGGCAGAAAAAAGGTCGTAGGCTTCAGTACCCAGCACTGTTAAAGTGTGAATGTACACCTCTCGCTGGCTGCCCCTGAACATCTCCTTAGCTGCTGCGTAGTTGCTGAGAGAAGACATGACCACAAAGACTTGGCCTCCCCAAGAGTCCATGGCTCTGCAAAGCTCCTGGCGTACCAAAGCTTCGTCCTTCGACTTTCCCACCTCATCAGCCAGGATCACAACGGGACGATCACCGTACCATTTGCGCAGGATTTTCACAGCCAATCTGATGGCAATCTCAGGCTTCTCGCGAGACTTCCATGTTTCTACGAAGTCACCCCACTCGCACTTTGTCCTGCTCATGTGCCTTGCTGCACCATAAAGAACCCGCAGCGCCAAGTCAGTCTTCAGATTCTCTGCCAAGTCATCTTCGTTCATTTTGGAGTTGTAGGTGAAAGCTGAGATGATCGGTGTCTGGTTTCTACCATCCAGGTCGTGCAGCATGGGAATCTCCTCTCCGAGCATGGCCAGGAAATGGCTCTTGCCTGCTCCAGGTGTCTGTGCCACTAGAATGGCGGGGGAGTCCGCTTTGTCTGACCGACTTCGGCCAAACAATCTGTTTGACCTTTCCAGCAACATCTTCATGATAAGTTGCAGCTCCTGTTCACGATCTAGAAGCTGCGCCTTCAAGTTTTTGTCTTGCAGGGCCAGCTTTCCTCTGAATGGGCCCCTGTCCAAGTCGACAATGTATGAAGAGGCTGACGAATAGGTGGCAAAAGTGTCATTCAGCGGCACATCTTCAAAAAGCAGCGTTCCAAGAAGCTTTGCCGCTTCATCTGGCAAGAGAGAGAAGTCTGGGCCCACCTGGAGCAAGAGACAGCTGACATCTTCTACTGTCTGTTTGTATGTAAAGTCTGTTAAGTGTTGGCGATTCTCTGGTACTTTCAGTCCTGTGTACCATCCTGCTGTTTACCTTGTGATTTGGGGTTCATTCATCTTTTGGAGGCATACTGAAGGTATTCACTGAAGAAACAGAACCTATTGAACCAAAGAATGTGAATCATGTGAAAATATGCGAAGTTCCTCTGCATCTTTCGGGATAACTGTGAACTGAAGCTGCGCAGCGAATGGCCTTCTCCTCCGCCTCTTTCACTTCCTTCTTCGCCTTTTCCACCTTCTCCTCCGCCTCTTTCACTTCCTTCTTCGCCTTTTCCACCTTCTCCTCTGCCTTTTCCACCTTCTCCTCCGCCTCTTTCACTTCCTTCTTCGCCTTTTCCACCTTCTCCTCTGCCTTTTCCACCTTCTCCTCATTTCCCGATTCTCTGGCTTTTCGCAAGTCTTCGATTGCCATGGCCGCTTGCTCCTCTGCCCTTTTGACTTGTGCCAGTGCCTGTTCTACTTGCACTTGTGCAGCTGCTTGCTTGTCCAAAGCAAGTTCCCGCTGACGCCGTGCAAAAGTCAAGGCATCAACCTGTCACAAGAGCTCATAGCGGAGCCAGTTTTTGCGGAACAAAAACTAAAAATGAAGACAAAGCGAAAATGAGGATATACGGAATGAAGACTAAGTAGAACGTCTCTTCAAATGGACTAAATGCTCTTCTCTTCATCTGCAGTCCACGCAGCCTGCAAAAAAAAAACTAACTCTGACGACTTCTGTCTTTCTGAAAGCTAGCAACTCTGTTCTTCTTCTGTTTCTTCTGGCTTCTGTTTGTAGAAACAAAACTGGACGCTAGATGACAAATCTGGAGCGAACACGTCACATGTGACATGTTGAAGCGAAGCAAAAGCAAAGTTGCTTGTTTTAAGCTTTGAAGATGAAACGTGAAGCAACGGCATTCAATTGAACAAAGTGAAGTTGTCGGTTAAAGAGGACAAAGGCCGAAGGCCCTGTGCCTCATCTGCGGCTTCCTGCAGGCTGGAGAAATGCTTCAAAGCACTTTGACTCAGTTGTCTGTTGCAATTTTTTCGACACATGTTCATTCTTCGTAAGGTCACCAAGCACAGCTTAAAGGGAACATAGGAATTACTGCACTCCGTTTGGGTTCGCATTTCCGAAGGAGCAGTTCAAGCCAGCACTGAGTTTTAGTGAAGTCAGCCAGCACATCTCCTCAACTGGTTTGATTCCTTGTGGGTCCTGCGCCAAACCAAATGGAACAGCGTACGATTGCGCCAAAAACGCGCAACGTTTAAGTTTTTGCCTGAAGTGCGCAACGCACAATACGTCTATGAGTTGGGTGCAACGGTTCTTCCTCTTGGGTCCTTGTTTGGCGCTGCAAGCAGAGGTCCCACACCATGTCGCTGACCAGGTTTTTGCGAACAGAAAGTTCTGCATGGGCTCGCCTTAAGGCATAAATGCTGCCAGACCCAATTCGATCGCTGATAGACTCTCGGTCGAGCCGTAAGTTGCAACCCCACTTTGGGATATTTCAGCTAAGGGTGAGGCAACAAACCAGAACACAAGCCACGCTGTAGCCAAAATGATCCAGCCTGTCAAGGTGTATTTCTATGTATTTCTTGTCAGCAGTCAGATAGAGCGTATTGAAAGCATAAACATATGAACAGCAGAGGAAAATATAGACATCACTTGCCTCGTTTCGGTTGCTCTGCTCTCATTGGAGCATGACAGGGCCACTAATGTAAGGAAGAGTAATGACAACACCTGCATCATCTAAGGAGTGAACGACTCGATCAACGTGACTGGCATGACATATCAAGTGTTCAAAGCACATCACGGTTTTTGAAGATAATCTGTCTTGTTTGGAATCAAGTCGTTCAAATCATGTCCATTAAGACCAACTTGCGGGGTCGACACAAATTCTCTGAGCAAGGCAAAATGCTGCATCTTCCACATGTCATGCTCCAGTGCCGCAATTTGCCGTGCTGTTGCATTGGCCCATGAAGGCACGGACAGAATCTTCGCAGCAGCAACGGACAATACACTTTTGTCCCGAGGCAGTGCAATCGAACTGGGATAAAGATGGATATTCAGGTCAACCTCAGTGATGATGTACTCGCTTGGGCATCACTCGCCTCTGAAAACAACTCAACCGTAACCACTGGCATTGCTTGTTCAAAAATGTAGCAGCGAACGGAAAAACTACCATCCATCTATCATCCAATACTTGTTAGTAAATACCTGTGTACTGAAAATTGAACAAAATTACAATGTTTATCACAATGATCCCTTTTTGTTCCCATTCGTAACCAGTTTCATGTATATCTTTTCAACATCAATCAGCCGCCATTGCATGGTGGAAGCATTGATGCAGGTTGCTACGGCGCTACGGAGTTTGGGAAGCAAAGGGTCAGCCCCAAATCATCGATGAAAACCATGGATGTTTTGGCGCTGGGTGTGTCCCAAAATAGCCAAAATAGGAGTACCCTGGGTACAGTCAAACCTGGTTTTTGGAACATGATGGCTATTTTGGACTTACCGGCTTACCCCATTTTGAGACAAGCCCATCTATTTTGAGGTATAAAGTCCCTGCTTCTGCGTGCGCAAGGCCTGGTGATGGTGGCTATACGTTCAGATATGACGAAATGTTTGACGAAGTGTTTTGGACGTCTCGTCTTCACAGAACTTGTCCATTTCCAAAGCATCCACCCCTCCAGGTTTCTCCTTCGGCTCAGAACAGGTGCCACTGCAAGTGCTGAAAGAACTTCGCGGCGGCCGGCACCAGCAGCGAGACCTATCCCGTTGTTACACTGCCAGTATCATACAATGTTCATTGCGTCAATGTCCTACCAACCTCCCTCAAACATTTCCAACCATTTCAAACCTTAAACAAAAACAGCAACCGAATCTGAGAGATTCCACGCTGCAGACATGGGCCAGCCTGGCTTCTGACCAGCAGCAAGCTGAGGAAAAGTGCTCGCGAGCCTCCATGCAAATCGAGATCAGTGGATGGTAATATCAAAACAAGGCCGATTCTGTCGACATCATGCTGATTCATTCACTGATTCATGCTTATTCTGTTGATATTTCTTCATGGATATAAAATGACAATAAAATGATATAAACCGGGCCAATGATAATGATCACACTCGAAATGTTATTCCTTTTGCGAAATGTGAGGCCACTTTTGCCGCCACAAGCTGGCCGAGAGACCCGAGCAGGACATTGCCACTTGGCTCAAAACGCGACCTCCATGAAAACCCTGCTGAATATGCTGCAAACACTTGCCATCTTAAACAACTTGAAAACATTCTTAAACAACGAACAACCAAAAGATCCAATGGACAAAGTACGGATCCATAATCCCAGACAGACAGACAGACAGACCAGACAGACCAGACAGACCAGACAGACCAGACAGACGAGATAGATATCCAGAAAACATCTTCTAGGAAACTCGAACACGGAAAGAACATGAAAGAACAGTAGGATACCTTAAGCGCAAAGAGACTATGCAAAGGAGATCCCAAAGGGAAACAAACATTAGATGGTAACAGAAGCCGCAACAATCCTTCAAACAAACTCCGGAAGACAGCGAAAGAAAGAAAATATGAATACATGTTCCAAAGGAAGTAAAACTGTGCGCCCAAGACTTTTCAAGTGGTTTGCAAACGTTGGGCGATGGGACATGCATAGCTTCGCTGGGCAGGGGCGACACTAAAAATGCACTGCTGTTGGCACAGGTTTTTCGGGACAAATTCCATCAACGCGATTGTCCCGAAAAACTCGTGCCAAAGACTTCTCAAATGGTGTCTAAACGCTGGGCAAAGGGACATGCCGGACATGCATGGGAAAAGTTCTTTGCTGGAGGGGTTTTCATTTTGCTCGGCGTTCTGTCTGTCGATGCTTGGTTTTCGCTCCCTTTGCAGCGAAGCAAACTAAACGAAAACCCAAGCATAGGATATGCATCAGCGGGGAAATAGCTTGGGAAGAGCTCTGCTGGAAGGAAGCGGCACTGAAAATGCGGAGCTGTTGGCACGGGTTTTACGCGGAGCAGCTTTTACACAGAGGAGCTTTACACAGAGGAGCTTTACACGGAGGATCTTTTACACAGAGAAGCCTGTACACAGGGAGGACTTTACACAGAGAAACTTTTACACAGGAAAGGTTTTACACAAAGAAGCTTTTACCCAGAGGAGCTTTCACGCACAGACGCCTTTACACAGAGAAGCGTTTACTCTCAGAGGAGCTTTTGCACACAGAAGCCTTTACGCACAGAACCTTTTGCACACACACAGAAGCTTTTACACAGAGAAGCCTTTTGCACAGAGCAGCTTTTTCACAGAGGAGCTTGTCACGGAAAAGCTTGTACACGCAGAGGCTTTGACACAGAGAAGTCTTTACACAGAGGAGCTTTACACAGAGAAGCTTGTGCACGCAGAGGAGCTTTTACACACAGACGCTTTTACACAAAGATTTTTTTACACAGAGCAGCTTTTACACACAGAAACGTTTACACACGGAGGAGCTTTACACACGGAAGCTTTTAAACACAGGACAGAAGCTTTTACACGGGAAAGCCTTTACACAGAGAAGCTCTTACACACAGAAGTTTACACAAAAAAGCGTTTACACAGAAGCTTTTGTGCAGAATTGTGCAGAGAAGCTTTTACACACAAACGCGTTTCACAGGAGTGTTTACACACGGATGCGTTTACACACAGAAGCCTCCACGCACAGAAGCTTTTACGCAGAGTAGCTTTTTTACACAGAGAAGTCTTTACACAGAGAAGCTTTTACACAGAGAAGTCTTTCTTACACAAAGGAGATTTACACACAGAAGCTTTTTCACAGAGCAGCTTTTACACGCAGAAGCTTTTACACAAAAGAGCCTTTTCACAGAGAAATTTTTACACACAGAGGCTTTTTGCACAACGACACTTTACACAGGAAAGCTTTTGCACACAGAAACTTTCACACACAGAAGCTTTTTACACCGAGAAGTCTTACACAGAGGAGCTTTCACGCACAGACGCGTTTACACAGAGAAGCGTTTACACAGAGGAGCTTTTGCACACAGAAGGCTTTTACGCACAGAACCTTTTGCACAAAGTAGCTTTTACCCAGCAAAGTCTTCCACAGAGAAGCTTTTAGGCACAGACGCGTTTACACAGAGAAGTCTTTGCAGAGGAGCTTTGGCACACAGAATCTTGTAAACACAGACGCGTTCACACATAGAAGGTTTTACAAAACACGGCGCGCAGAACTTTTACATAGAGCAGCGTTTACGCAGCGAAGCTTGTACACACAGAAACATGTACACACAGAAGCTTATACACAGAGAAGCTTTTACACAGAAAAAAGCCTCTTTTACACACAGACGGGTTTACACGGAGGAGTCTTTACACACGGAGGCGTTTACACAGGAAAGCTTTTACACACAGAAGCTTTTACACAGAGTAGTTTTTACACAAAGAAATCTTTACACAAAGAAGTCTTGACAGAGAACCTTGCACACACAGAGGCTTTTACACAGAGAAG